ACAAAAAAGGGGAGAGATGAGAGTGGTTTCGAAACCTGCAGGCAGAACATGTTGATGTATAGATGGGAGATGCAAGTGTTGGTGGGTATGTCGATTTAATGTGCGAAAGATCCAGAAATTGCTTCGGATCCAGAGCATGATGTTCGATGCAGTCGATTGATGAATTGTTCATTGGTGCCGAGCAACGTCTTGCCCCAGGTAAAACACGTATCGCGGATAGTAACTCACCATGGAAAAAAAGGTGACATCTTTGATTCCTCGGCATTAATTTGGAAGACAGGGAGACAATGTTGAGTTACTCAAAAGGGCTCATCAATAAAGTCATCGAATATACTGGTATGTCTGACGCTAGCAAGAAGCTTTCTCCTGCCGCCACCATCCTCTCGGAGCTGACAGACTGGGGGCCCCATTTGAAGAAGAGTGGAGCTATCCAGCTGCGGTTGGGATGTTCTTTATATTGCGTCAAACACTCGCCAGACATCACATTTATGTGCACCAGGTGGCACGATTCAGCCACAACTCCAGGCATTCCCATGCTCAAGCAATTAAACGTATCATTCGGTATTGATTGGCACAAGTGACAAGGCATTTGTTTTAGCCTAAACTTGATCAGGGACTTGATGTTGGGTCGATGCGACTTCGCCGGATTGTATGGATATGAGGATGAACAGGATCCTGTGTCCTCAAGTCTCGCACTGGATTTGTCCTACTCTGTTTGGGTGCCCTATTTATCTGGTCGAGCAAGCTACAGACTGATATTACTTTGAGCTCCACTGCTGCTGAGATGTTGCCTTCAGCATGTAAATGAGGGAGCTGCTTCCTATGCAGCTTTGCTCAAAGAAATTGGTAGCAACTGAATATGCCGGTAATTACTGACAGTCTCGTGCGCTCTACAGTGTTCGAAGACAACCAGGTTGCCTGTCTCTTGTAATGTTCCAAAATGTCTGCGCGCAACAAGTATTTGGCATTGAAGTACCATTTCTTAGGTCAATATCGGGAGTCGAAGGGCATCGTGCTAAGTAGTAATTCCGATTCTGGAACAACGGGCCGACATTTTCACTAAGGTCTTCCGGCTCCACAGTTTGCTGTCATTCGGAGCTCCTCATGGGATGGTAATTTTCCTCAGCACTTTGCTGGGGACTCTCTCCTATCGTTTCTTGCTCCAGCTTCATTCAGCTGTAAGGGAGTGCGACGGGATACAGCTTACAATTCAGCTTTACAGCTTTACAATTAGCAGGCTTATTCTAGCTTAATAATCAATAACTGCTCACTTATTTGGAAATACAAACTTTACATCTCTTAGATCGTTAGATTAATCAATGCACAATGGTATTGTCGCAGTGGACTGTGCGATAGTGGAAGCTGAAGAAGAAGATTGGAGGAACAATGCCGTAGACCCAATAAAGCGAGAGTCCGCCCTAAAGCATTTCAACCATTTCCTAACCCGGTACGACCGTGGAATGAAAGCCGACCAACTTCTCTACCAAGGCGTGAGCACTGACGGATCCCAACAACAAATCCAAAAGTTCTGGGACCGTCTTATTGGAGCCTTCTTCAAATACCTGGCACATTCAGCCATGAAATATCTGGATCCCGAAAAAGGAAGAATCAGCTATGTAACAGCCACCGGGTATGCATCCTCCATCAAAACCTACTACTGCGACAAGTTCAAGCATCAAGGTCCACCCCTCACCGTATTTCAAACAGAAGACTGGAAGAGGCTCCGCTGCTTCCTCCTTCGGAAGTACAATGCGTCGAACAAGCAAACCGGAAAGAAACTTGTTAATTCAAAGATAGCGTCCACTGTCGAAGACCGCAAAGCAATGGCATACGGCAGCTTTTGGATAAGCACCATTGAAGGTGCTGAGTTCCATTGCTTGAACACCGCTCAATTTCAAGTGGCTGGCCGCGGTAGTGAAGTCGCTCTTCTTAAAGTGGAAGACATCTATTGCGTTGGCACATACGAAGATACTCAACAATACCAAATCATCTGCTGCAGCTTACAACGTGACAAAGATGGTCCATTGCAAGAGTTAGGTATCTTTCCCCACCGTGATTCTGTGCACCATGATATGTACTTCGCGCTTGTCTATTACATTGTAATGGGTGGAACACCGACCGATCACGTGTTTTCTAACTTCAGCGAGAAAGCAAACCACGTGTCGAAGACAAACAAACAACAAAGCCAAGTTTCAAAACTTTGGAAAACCTACTTCAATGCACTATTCAGAGAATTCAAAGGGTTCTCCGAATCGGTAAACGAGGAGCTTTCAAGCTATCACGCCCGGAAAGGTGCCAACCAAGCACTCTCAGAAATCCCAACAGTCAGTGGACTAGCTCAGATCTTCCGTACCGGATGGGAAGTCCGTGGGTTTCACTCAGTGTTCGATTACGTAATCGGATCGGCAGTACTCATCAATCAAGCTGGGAAAGCAGTCAGTGGTTGGACAACGAAACGAGACAATGAAATAGTTGGAGGATCTCCTCCAGTCCTAAACGACATTACCTCTGCAGCCGAGAAAGTAAACAGCTTTGTCACAGCGCTGTTCTCAAATGATTTCAACAATAAGTGGCGCCCCAGTGTTCGAGGATTGTTGACAGCAAGTCTACTCCGGTTCTACGACGACTTCATCGACATCATTCGAGAGCATCCAAACCGTACATTCGAATGTGTCAGTCAGCATCCATTTGTATCCAAAGTGGACAAAGCCAGGAGATTGGCAGGTGTTGACGAAGACATATGGAAAAGCTGGTGCAAGGAAATCCAAGAAGGGTTTGTACAGAGGAACCTTACTGCGTTACCAATTGAGTTGACAAGAGACAGCAATGGGAACTTTTCAGACAATCTACGTTTGGCTCCGCGCAGCTTTGTTGATCATTTCAATGCCCTCACCTCTGCGTATTATAGCCTCCATTCCCAACACCTAATGCAGGCACGAGAGCTGAAGGAAGTACGCCGCGACCTTTCCACTCTGGTACTTCGCAATGAACGCATGGAGCAGCAACTCACATCAGCCACCAATCAGCTTGAGCGCGTCGGCAAGCGCATTGAAATCATAACACCAACCAAAAAAGTTTCAAGCAATGAACCTGTTGGAGATGGTGCCTCCACCCCTTTTTACTCAGCAACAATTAGCCTCTGGCGAAAAAACCTGGAAGCGCGAGACTATTTCAGCAATTTCTTCTACGACGAATGCCTTGAAGGGTACAAGCAAGAGTTAGCCAGCTCCAGTTGGACTCGTCTGTTGCCAAGTGAGCAAACCCGCATCAAGAATCACCATAAGAAGCTGAAGAAGTTCATCAAGATCATGCTCTTCTTCTGTCCTGAGTATCCCAAGCCAAGACCAGAAAGCCCAGAAGAGCTTGTGAAATGGAAACGAGATGTAGCCCACCTTGCCAATGCAGCAGAAACCGCGTTGTACAGGTGCCTTGACCCAAACTCAAAGCGCAGGAAGTTTTCCTTTGACTATATTTTATCCCACCCTCTAGTGAAGCGCTTTGATAGCAAGGAAGACGAGCTCAACAAGGACCTCCCATCTAACACACCCAGGCCGGTTCGCATGTACTTCGGCATGATTATCGATTAGTTTAAGTTCTAGCCTCTAGCATCTTCTCCTCACTCCTCGTCCTCCTTTGATGTAACCAGCTCGACATCTTCGGCGCCCGACCAGGCTCTCGAGCATCGTTCAACTTCGGTTAAAGGTTAAGGCTAAGCTAGCTAGGTTAGATCGTACCATGCGTTAGCAACGTCATCATGCGCCAGTCGGATACCGCTGCTCACAATTTCAACAAAAAAACTCCGAAAGAAACCGCTTGTAAGAGCTCTTGACGGGGTATGCATTGTTCGTTAAGCTCTTCTATCATGAAGTCGTCAAAGAAGAACACCCTGATCTATCGATTAGGAGAAAGATGGAGGTCTCTCTCAGATTGCGAAAGGCAACAGTACGCTTGATTAAACTGGCACATGTGTAGAAGTTGACGACTGCTCCCCTGCAACATCCTTCCGGTTGATTTGATCCAATCGATACATCTTGGTAACCAATTCAATAGCGTAGTCTTTGACCTTGCAGCTCTTCTTGTTTCGGAACTGTGCAAAAGTCTTAACTTTATTAGGAATCCTGTAACACATTTTGTTTTCGTCAGAGAGATGCCAGTGGACCATCTCCTGCTTGTACATAGCCTCGTCTAGTCTCATCTGCTCCCTCATCAAAGTAGTCTCTTCAATGATCGTCGACGCTTCCAGAACCGTGTCAATAAACGAAAAATGCAACCCTCCTTTCCGTAGCCCATGGACTATCTTATTGAATAATACTAAGCTAGTGTATTTGATGTCATTGTAATGGCGTTTAGCCAAAGATGTATTAGGCTCTTGGAACTCATTCACAAGACGATGAATATACCGAAATCCCATCGTCCCTTTTAATGACGACTGTTCCTCCCACCCCCCTTTCTTGCTTCCGACGTAACTTCATTCCAACCTGACCTTTTTGATAAAGCCATTCAGATCATCCATTCTAGTCCGCCTTCTTTTTTCTATCATAAACGACAGCAAGACGGTTTAGGTGAATAGGAAGTTCGCGGAGTTCCTTTAGATTCGTGACACCTTCCTGGCTTTGGGTCGTCCCCACCAACCGGTTTCTGGATACTGAGACAACGAAGATTGTGAAATAATGCTTGAGGCTGGGAATCACGACATTCGAATGTGTCAGTCAGCATCCATTTGTATCCAAGGCCAGAGACCCGAGGGGCCAAGCGTAGCGCGTGAGCCATATAGATAACCCTAATTAAGGTTATCCATATGTCGAAACTATTGTTACCCCTCGGGTCTCCCTGGTCCCCTGTACTGTTTTTCTTATAGTGAGGACACGAAGTGGGGGGACCGGGGGACCGATATTAAGTGTAATCAAGCTGAAGAGTTAGAGAACGGTACTCAAACTGTGATTCCACGTCGGTCCCCCGGTCCCCCTACTTCGTGTCCGGTCCCCAAGCTCACCACGGACCAGGGAGCCTTCCAATTGAGCATAGCCTCGCGGCGATTGAGCGGTAATGATCGCAAATAGTACTTCAGCTGACTTCATTTACGAGTAGAACTTCAGCTGATGACATGCAGACATGCATTAGTACTTTATACTTCGTTGTACTTCATGCTGACCATTGCATCGCAGGCAGTACTTTATCTTCATGCCGACAGACGTTTATACTGCACTAATTCGTTTTTTTTACTTCATGCCAACCATTGCATCGTACTTTAGACCCAAGAGACAACATCATGCAGCCAAGTCCATTTTTTCGTTTGTTTGTTTAACCGTGCCAACATGCCATCGCCAACATATCTTGGCCATGATGTGAAAAGCAGACAATGGGAATTTTCCATCCCATCCTTCACGCTTAAAACAATCGAAGAGCTAGGGTCTAACCTTCCAACATGGGTCACATATCCAACATTCGCCGAAAAACCAAATAATACAGGCACCCAATTCATTGAAGGCGTGATCGCCACAGGCCACCAAACACGTGAAGGTCAGATAAGAACCGCTCTAGGCTGCTGCTGCTTTCTCTCGCCGTCCTCCAACCTTGTTGCCGCCATCCAAAATATCCATAAACACCCAAACAGAGAATTCCGTTCAAAACCAAAACGTAAACAAGGGCATCGATCAGATCTTGAAGCATTCAAGGTTCATGTGGACTCTGGAATAGTTGACATGCCAAGCCTTGAAATACTCCACCCTGATATATTTAAAACACGCCTAGGCTTCGCTCTAGGCTACGTATCGGCTGCAACGCAGAGACGTGTCATAAGTGAAAAATGAAAGATGAAGATTGCAGAGACATCTCATAAGTGAAAAAAATGAAAGATGAAGACCTCCCTAAATTCTATTGGTATTGTCGCACAGGTAGATCCGACTTCGGAAACATGCCAAAAGTTGATGCCACTGGATTACCGTTACGTTTAAAATTCAAAATTAACCGTCATTCTACCCTCCTCCATCTGTATCAACGTCAAAACCATGAAGAATGAGGTTGACACCATCGTTCGTAGTGTGTTTGGAACAAAGTGCCTCCCAGCAACAACAATCCCTCTACTGTACCCCTGTTTTGCTGGAAAATGACCCCTCTTGCTGGACGCTGCTGGAACGTGACTGACATTCGTGCAACGTGCAACACCAGGAAGACAGTTTTGGAACTCGGGTAGGCGAGGTAAATAAGATTTTACTTCAAAATTTGTATTGTAAATATAACCCTTAACCCTAACATTACCGCGCCTCGCTACATAAAACTGTGTCGCAGGGAAATCGAGATCATTATGATTACGTGGCATCTACTCTATTAATACATCCGGGTCACAGATGATTGTTCAATCGTGTGCCGGCTGACACCATCCACACTCTTTTTTTGAGTTTGACCCCGGACCCGCCCACCAAACTGATCGCCAACGTGACAGCGTGACGAGCAACGACACCACGACTGACACCTCTTATTGCATTTGTAAGAGGTTGTCTTCTTTTTAAACACGACGTAACCATGACATCAAAAGCTGTAACAACAGTTGATGAGAATGGCGAGAAAGAGAAGTACATCGTTTCAAGTCAGGATGAGTTTCTACATCTGTTCGAGAAGCTAGTTCTTAAAGATGAAGATGGCTATCGCATTGGCGGATACCTGTCCCTTAAGGATGGCCAAACATACTATGTGGCCAGCGTGCCTGCTGAATACCCTCCGCTTAGCCCGGCTGCTTTGCGGGGCCCGATGATAACCCCTCGATTCCCCCCTTCCCCTCCACGTGATGGAATCACAAACGCGCCGTTCACTCTATTTCGACATGAGTTCGTCACTCGTGTCCTAGATTTTGCCAAGAAGACAGTAATTTTGCGTTCTCCTCCTGCAACTGGCAAAACGTCTTTAATTGATTTGACCGAGAAGAAACTGCGGGAAACAACGGAAGCAAGAGTCATCCGGATCAATGTCGGTGAATGCGTGGACGACCAAGGACTCATTGATATGCTGGTGGAAGAGCTTGGCGTAAGGTGCAACAAAATTGGATCGCTTTTGGGCGACACGTGGGTCCTGATCGACGATGCTCAACTTGCTTTCGATGCACAACGATTCTGGAAAATCGTTGTAAAGGATTTTTCGAGAATTGATTCAGTAAACGTTGTCATTGCAGCTACATATGATTTGCAGTCTCAGGGTACAACTCCCTACTCCTTTGGCGAACAGACGCACATTTCAGACCTATTGCTGTCACCAGAAGAAGCAGAAGAATTATATGATGGATACGTCAAGCAAATACCTTATGCAAGGGACTGGGTTGCCTTCAAAGATACCCTTCTGAGGCTAGCTGGTGGTCACGTTGGAGTACTCAGTGGTGGCGTTGCGATGCTTTACCGAATTGAAAAAGAAGAGCAAAAGAGGCTGACTCAATCAGAGGCCCTTGCTGCGTTGCGAGACTCTCGATTTCGAGTGAACTTGAATCGCTGTTTCCCATGCAAGAAACTTATGAATGAAAAACAGAGAATGGCAGTTTCCGAGAGAATTATCAGCAAAGGACATATGTTAAACCCAATCGATGCTTCTCAGGGCAGTCAACATGATGAATCCTTGGTGCAACTTGTCCGAGCTGGTGTTTTGTCTAGCACTGGTGCCTTTTCATGTCTGGTAGCCCAATGGCTATATTTCAATAGCTTCTACAATCGACCGGCAGAAGGACCGACATCTATTGGAGAGTTGATTTTGCAGGCAGTGCGTTCACTTTCTGCCCTGAGGCTTCGCCAATCTTGTGGCACACAACACTTTCCGCAGGAGGCTGCATTCCAGCAGCTCTTTAATGAGGCCTTCACCAGGCTACTGCCTCCTGCCGTGTCTGTTTGTCCTGAGTTGAATACTTTTGCCAAGGACAAAAATGGGAGGGTCTTATCAGGCGAACTGGACTTTTATATCGGCGAGGATAGGTGTTGGGCAATTGAGCTCTTGAGGAATGGGGACAAGATCAACGAGCATGTGGGGCGTTTTGATCCTCAAAGTGGGAAGTATCGGGGTGTCGGATACAAGGATTATCTTGTTGTTGATTGCAGGGGTGCTCTTGTTAGAGAAGTAGCAACCATGCAGGATCGATGCACCATTTATTTTTCCGATAACTTTCAGTCAGCCCAGTGCAAGATGCGGGAGGATCCTCTTGTAACAATTGACCTGAGCGATTAATTGAGCAACAACGTTCTGTAGAGGAACGCCCTTCCACCACGCAGTGGTGAACTGGAACGGGAGCGAGCCCGGCCGGATGAGACCTAAATGGAAATCCGTTAGGATTGACATTTAGGTCGAAGCCGGCCGGGCGAGCTCCCGGGCAGTGAACCACATGAGGTGGAGGGGCGTATCTTCTGGAACCATGTGACAATTTCACCCTAAGTAACTTAACGGCCGTTAAAGACAGGTAATCACATTACCTAAGTAAGTAAAATGTGACCATTTACATGTCACCTGCGACAAGCTCGAAACAAACTGCCCAAACTTGAACCGTGGTAACTGATGCACCAGTCGCAACAACAACTACAAAAGGAACCAACACGATGACGACCACCACTTCGAACAAAGAGATGTGCAACAAGCCCTCGCGGCGTTTGAGCGACACACCCAGAAGGAGCAGTAGCAGTTGGGACAATAAGTACCATAGTACTAGTGGCAGATGTCGTTGAAGAAATTGAAACTGGTGTCCTCGAACGAACCAACGAACAACTAGCCTTGACTGACCGATCGACCAGCCTTGACCGACCGATCAATCAAAAACAAACCAATGAGTGACCACACCAAGCATCAGCAGTAGCACCGCTGCAGTAGTAGTAACAACAGCGACAACAGTACATCGTAGTAACATCGGCAACAACAGTAGTAACAACAGCAACAACAACCAAGTGCGACCGACTGACTGAAGTTTGTTTGCATGATGGTATTATCCGTGGTAAACTGTGATCGTTCCAGCTTTCCCAGCAAAATTTGGGGAGGAGTGGAAGAGTACTGAAATTACTATAGTGAAAACAGTCGTGTTTGCTTCTCAACTTCAATCTGTCGTAGAATTACTACTAGAGGCTACACGAATTCTCCAAAATAATTGGAGCATGGTTCCCCATTTCCTCCTATGGCAACTTCTGGCTCAGGTCCGCCTCACGGCGACAGAGCATCCCCTATTTTCCAGGAACAACTAAATCCACCAGTAATTACAGTTATGAGAGCAAGCCGAGTGCCTCTATCCTTCTCATCACATTTCCTTTGCTTGACGCTCGGACTCCTTACATGTACTAGTTCTGTAAACTTCATACCGCCGAGCCAGCCGAGAAGACGACGGCCACACGAATCCAGCAGCATCAGCAGCACTTCAAGTGCTGCCACACGGAAGGTTCTATTACTGTACCGATCCTCTTCATTGCATTGAGCCACATGATGCCCCGGTTGAGGGCCATGGTCGTGCATTTCGCCGCAATATGGACATTTAACCTCAGTATCATCCACCCGTCTCAATACAACAGGAATACCGTAATGCTCTTGCAAGTAGCTGCGCATCTCTTCCAATGTCATAGAAACTCCGTCGGCCATGGTCACGATTTTTTTGCAGACCCAAAATAAATATCTAGAATATCCTTCACTGCAATAGAGCTCCATGGAACTTGTGGGTGCAACATCCAATGGGAATAGGAGGAATTAGGACAGCATGAGCGCACATCAGTTTGGAAATCCTCCCTTCCCGCAGCAATTGCTCTAAAAGAATCCTCTCAATCTCCGGCTCCATAATGCAGAATACTATGCAAACCTAGAACGGAGAAGTGCAAAAGCCGTTGCCTTGATCCGTAATCGGTGCCCTGGCGATCCAATACATGTAGTTGAACGTTTCATTCTGGTGATAAGGTTAGAGGTCAGCGAATGTTCCGCGGGGGATCCAAACGGCAGCATCTCAATTTAGTCCCGGTCGACGGTTAGCTGCCTAAATACCCAATCTTGTTCTGTAATTAGAAGATCTAGGCGGTCCCCCAAAAGGGGACTATGGTCAAAACGTGGGATCAGAGGGTATTTTCTACCCTCACAACTCCATAGCCACAAAAGAAGTGCTCACACTAGTAGTTCAGATTCCTTTCCCTTCCATCCTTCTCTCTCCGACCTCCTCAACTACGCTCTTCAACACGAGCAACGACCTTTGGTATGGCAACCATATGCATAGCTCAGATCTCAGCGTACAAATCCCTAGATAGCTAAATGGTGTCACAACCTCTCAGGCGGCCAGGGTGGCCGGTGAGCAGATTTGACTGTGTGAAAAACATGCACTCTGTTCCCGGGGGTGGGAAGCTTCATATTTCCAAGGACGGTCAATACAAACCGCTTGGATCTCTGTCTCTCAAAACCTCTTGGATCTCTCTGTCTTTCAGCAAACTTACAATGCGCTCTTGAAGGATGTTCTGTATGCCACTCAGAAAGACTTTGGAAATGCGGCTGGTCTCTTGGGTGAATTCCATGGCCATTTTCTGGCTCCAGATGGTTTTACTGACTTGATTGATGCCATGCATGCCTGGGACAAAGTGCCAAGTATGTAATGATAAGCTCATGCCCTTCCAATGAGTCGAGTCAGGGCGTCCCAGTATGTATACTCGGCCAAGTGCATCCTTCCAGGCATAGCCCAGAAACTGGTTCGGCCGGACCCCGTCCCCTTATTGAAGAAGGCGCACACGAAGGTACCAATATGTATCACAGGAGAAGCTGCCAAAGATGCCTGCGATCATTTGGAGAATGCCTCTATCAATTGTGCCATTGGTGTGACTGCTATGAGAGATCTTGCTATGGCGGGGAATGTCGTCAATTCAGACGAAGAAAATAGGAGTACTGCTGCTTGGCGGAAAGCAGTGAGACCAGCCACAATCATTACTACAAGTTGATGAAAGTAATATGCACTACCAATAATGTATACAGTGGTCTAGTTTACTAAATTAGATGATATCTTATCATGTTGATCGTTGCCCGCTCCGAAGAAGACATGTTTTAGGCTTTGTTCTTGTTGGCAACATTGATCTTTGGAGGAACCGACTTCTTCGTAGTCTCAACAATGGCTTTTGCGATTCGATTCACTTCGACTGTAGGATACTGCGAGCAAATGACTAGATCAAGAGACCAGGAGCGTTTTCGTTCTTTCCCCAAGGCGTAAAAGACCGAGGCAGCAGCCAGTTGACTAGGCTTGAATCGACGTCGAAGATCATAGCTGAGAAGCGTCTGCGTCAGGACGGAAAGAGCTAGTTCCTCATTGGCTTGGGAAGCCACTCGTAGGTAGCGGACCAAAAAGCTGTAGGGGCTTGGAAAGGTAATTCGGTATTTCAGGGTCTCGAGAATCAGTGTTTCCCGTTGGATCAACTCGGTCGAAGTAATGGAAGCTTTCAATCCCATGGCGCGAAGGAACCGTCGAACACGCACATAGCCGACTTGTTCGTACTTGAAGGCAATCAAGAGTGCAGCGACCCCAGTAACAACCATGCTGGACTCCCGGATGCGTCTCTTGGCCAGGAACCGATCTAGAATATCAATGGCTAGGAAGTAGGTCTCGGGAGACAGTCGTGTGGCATAGTGCAATAGCCATTCCACCAGAGCAGATCGCGATTCACGGTCAACTTGAGGTTGAAGTGACATGTAGGGAAGGATGGAGGTTTCAGTAGCGCGCAAGTTCTTGAAGATGTCTTCGACGTAGTCGTCTTCCGGGTCGTTGCTGGGCGATGGGTCATGCTCCGTCTTGCTGGAAGGATCGTTCGTGAGAACAGCAGAAGTATTTTTGCCCTTGTGTGTCTCGAGAGAAGTCAGGATGGACTCTTTGGTTTCTATCGGCTTTCCACTGAATGTTTCTGGCTTTGTGGTCAACGTTGGTTTCTTCTTCTTCAGGGGCTGGTGGACCGAGGATGGGGTTGTCGAATGCTTTCGTTTGATGAACCGATTCTGTGGGTCGTTCGAGACATCCTGCAGAAGAATGAACGAGTGATAATGAAGAACAACACGGTGAGATGGCACGAACTACATGTACAGCTGATAAAGAAGGCAAGCTCAAGCAAAGGCAACTCACCCCAAGAACACGGCGCTTTTGTTGCATCGGAGCTGTGGAGATCCCGTCCATCATGTTGTTGATCATTATCGAATGCGGAGATGCGGAGAGTGTTCTGTCTCTTTGAGGAAACAAATTAACAAGTGTTGACGTCTACTAGCTAGGTTCTAGAAATGGGAGACCCAAGTTTTGTTGTCAAGAGCCTGAAAGATGAGCTGCGCTTGTTTTGAGTTCAGATTTTTTCGAAATTTTTTGATTAAAATAAAAAAAAGAGAACGAATAGGGTCATGGAGGAAATAAGGGAAAGAAGTGGCACGTGGTCCGCAGAAACAGGGTTTAAAGGATGCCACATGGGTGCTACCGGTACTGTAGGGTAGCATGTAAACATGTTGATCACTGAAATACTGTACGTACATGTTGCTGCACCAGGGTTACTCGGCATTCTGTCTGTTTGCCTTTTGGCCATAAAGTGATCCTTTGACTTATGGAAATGTCTACAAACCATTGAAAAGATTTAAGACATTAGGAGACATTAGGAGACAAAGTGATACATTGGTAGACATTAGTATACAAAGTGATACATTAGTAGGCAAAGTGAGACATTGTGAGACATTGGTAGACAAAGTGAGACATTGTGAGACATTTTTGTACTGTTTTACAGTACCTTGTAGACATTAGTAGACAAAGTGATACATTGGTAGACATTAGTATACAAAGTGATACATTGGTAGACAAAGTGAGACATTGTGAGACATTGGTGGACAAAGTGAGACATTGTGAGACATAAGCCACTTTTTCTAAGGAGCATAGAACATTTAAGCAACTCTGTAATCAGACACAACAGCTTAAATAGACAAAATGCCGAGTAACCCAGGTTGCACCTGGCACCACTCCACACCACGCCTCGCGCTTCCTCCACTAAAACCATCAAACATCAGAGGTGGCCCTATCACTCTACTGTGTGATAGGCTTCGAAGGATGCTATCGAAACTTCAGCGGCAGAGTTCTAGACGGCGAAGCTCAACTCTTCTACATGTATGAGGTGAGGTTGTTGTTTGTCGCAAGTCTCTCACAGCAGCATTGTATTTCTCGAATCCCAATTCTCAGCCTGCCCCACGCTTTGCGTCATACAGCTAGGTATCCATGCCGCCACCAGTGAAGCAAAGAGAGCAACCATCATCGAAACGCGTCGCCAGAGAAAACCTTCCTTATCACGAAAGATCAAAACACTACCATTGCATGTTGGGGGCACTAAACAACAATGTAATCATTATCGCTGCGATGATATCCAATCCCTGCATTCTACAATGCTGTAGTTGATCAATGCATGTGTCCGTATGGATACGATGTTAGCTATCGGGACACTAGAAGTTGTTCCCAACCGCTGCTTTCTTTTCTCGCGCAGCTTCGGCTTGAAGCCGCACCGTAGATTCAACGGGGGGCTCCTTTGGAAGTCCCTCACGCGTTGTTCCGAAGTCCACACAAACCCACATCCAAGGGGCGTTTTTAATCGCCGTGTTGTTGGTGCTTAGAGCAATGCTTTGAGCTGTCCCAGCACAGCACCTCGAATCAATCGCTCTCACCAACGACCAACGGGGCTCTACCGAAACATGTAGGTATAATTTCGAAGGATCCCCCTCGCCTATCCCTGCTACCATCCAGCTTTCTGGTACCGGTAGTCTTGACTCCAACGGGGTGCTCCTATTGTTGTGACCGCCCTTCGGTTCCCATAATGAAAGAACCAGAAGCGGGAGATCTTGTGTTTCCAGCAGAACAGGTGATAAATCCGACAACGACGCACACAAAGAGTTTTATGGTTTCGAGCCAACACAGCGGCAAAGTTTTCAAGAAGAGTGCTGGCTCTCCCATGGATGCTCCGATCCATTGGCAAGAAATGAGGCAGGGAAAACTGTTTATGCGTTCCTCGGATCACGGGTCGCGCCCCATGCCATTGATACATGTTGCTTCGCAAGTGTTATTGCCAAAAAGCATGAAGAACGATGCAAATCGTACTTGATATCCTCTATGCAACCATCGTGTAGCCGAGCTTGTAGCCCGCATTGACGTGAGAGTTTGTGGCGATCTTGGCTCCGCGGTTGGGTTGGTGGCTGTTGGTGGTTGTTTTCAAACATAGTCAAGTGGAATCGAATCTGAATCAACCAACAAGTGGATTTGTTTGAATCTATCTCTAGTTGTTGCTTCGATCCAACGTCGTTGTCGTCGTGTTGTTGTCTTTTTGCTTGAATGTTGGAGTTCTCTGTTCTGGGTCCAAAGTCCAAAACCGAAACGCTTGATACTGGTACATGTAGGCGTGTACATCCAGGAGGAGATCATGTGGCGTCGGATTTCTTGAATGATCTTGCTGGTTCTTTCACTAAGTCTTCACCTCTGGAAATTACAGTATTTGCATACTATCCCAGACTGAAAGTCCGAAAGGACTTAACTAAATGAAAGTTCAAGTGCCCTACTTTCACCTTCTTCCCAGACTGGATGTCCAAAAATGATGATGTCAGAATTACAGTACAGGCAATCGTGGCAAAAGATCTTATTAGTAAAGCTCTTTTGCTCATTTTTCTCGTCGCAAATTGTCAGGATGGCCGTAGATCCTCCGACTGTTCGAGATCTTCCACCTTCAGGTGTTGATAGCAGTGATAATGATGGAGAGCTTGACATTGAGGGCACTATTGAAGTTGAAGAGAGTCAAGTAGTTAGACCTCCGGGCGACATAAACTCCGCGGGCAACTTGGCACCCAGCAACCGTCACCCTCCATGGTTGCCAGAACACATGTACCATTTCAAGGGTACTGCCATTGGTCCCACAGACTCAATGGTCATCTATCCTGGAACCATGAACCTTCCCCAGCAGTCTACAAGAGGAAACAGTCAGACTCAGGAGACTCCTTCCACCACTGTGACTGATAGAACCCAATCCACCACCCCCACGTCATTATATGTTCCCAGCACAGGCCAGACATTTGTGTATGACAACAACCCTGGCACTTTCTTGGCAAGTGCTCAGCTTGTACAAGAACAACCGGTCATTAGTGCTCATTTACTGGAAGCACCATCACAATTTTGTGCCCAAACACCATCTCAACTCTCTGGTTCCGGACGTTTTCTGCCAGATACAAGTACAACAGGTGGCAAATGGCTCTGTCTTGCACTGGCATTGCTTGCTGTAGCTGGTGGCCTTGGAGTGACAGGAATATTGTGTGCCAGTGGGGTTTGTGGGAGCAGTAATAATGAGGTTCCACCAGCCAATGCGACAACTGGATCACCCTCTTATGTCGATACTTTGCCTCCACAGGTTACCGATGTTGGCGACGAGAACCAGACAGCGGAATTTATGATGATGGCACAAACAGGTGGCAGCACAGAGCAATTTTCGCCCGCGGGGACTTCTTCAGCACCGGCTTCGCAGGCGCTACAATCAACTCCAGGAGATGATACTCAAAGCCAAACCTCTCTGCTTCCTCAAGTCAATGAGTCTACCAATGGTACTTTGCCTCCATCGCCCCCTTCAATGTCTCCGTCAGAGAGGGGTGCTGGTGTTCCCCCGGCATCACCTTCTCTCCTAACACTGGTACCATCAATACAGTTGCCTGAAGGCATTGCATCCACCCCCCAAACACCATCTCCATCCCTACTGAGACGCCCAACTTTGAGGCCTAACACTATGGTTCCTATTGGAGATCTGGCAGCTGCTGCAGAAAGCCCCACCAACAATATGGCAACAAGTATTCAACCAACAATCATATCAGCAACACAACATCCAACTAAGCTTTCTTCCAAGGTGCCACCATCCCCTCCGAGGCAAACGTTCGATCCAGCGTTCATTCTTACTACATTGCCTCTCCCAGACCAAACACTCGCCCCAATCAATGAATCAAGTCCAACGCCAACAACTGGAGCCACATCATCTCCAACAATGAAGGCCACAGTACAGCCAAACCCCAGACCCAGACCAACTCCAAGTGCAACAACTGCAAATCAAAACCCAGCACCAACAAACCAACCTACCACAGAGAAACCAAGCAACAGGCCAACGCCCAGGCCAACACGACTCTCAACCAATAATCCAACCCCCCTTCCAACAGCAGTCCCAACGAGTGCGAAGCCGACTCGTGCTCCTTCCCCTAAGCCTACAACTGAGAATCCAACAAATGCGCCAAGTCGCGACTCTACCAGGCCACCAACGATCAAGCCAACATCAAATCCCAAGTCCCTTCCACCAACTAGGAACCCAACAAGGAACCCCACTCCTGAGCCTACACGAAGCCCAACTACGCCACCAACACCAATCCCGACAAGAAAACCAACAAACAATCCAACTCAAGAACCAACTAGGAAACCTACCCCTGAACCCACACCGAGCCCAACCAGAAACCCAACAAACAATCCAACTCAAGAACCAACTAGGAAACCTACCCCTGAACCCACACCAAGCCCAACCAGAAACCCAACAAACAACCCCACTCCTAAACCTACTCTGCAACCTACAGATCCCGCAGCGGATGACGATGATGGTGAAGTTGACTCCAACCTGGGAGACGATGACACAGGAGACGATGATTCATGATCTCCTCTCGATTGACTTAGGTGGTCAGTGTTTCTTTTTGCTTGTTACTTCGTTGCACTATTTTGATATTTCTAGTTGTACTATTTATAGATCCCCACTTTCCTATTTCTTCTGCACTGCTCTATTCTTTATCCGAAACAGTAAACTCCCCTCCCGCTAGTAGACTTGTATTCTAGTTCAACAAATATTAAACAGTGAAACTGCAGAAAAAGAAATTTGAAACCAACTTTGGGGTCTACTGGCTCTAGCTAGCTAGCCACATTTCTTTCTTCCAACTCCCACAGGCATTGCTTTGAACGAGACGCTTAGTCTACTATCGAGGCACGGGTCACACTGCACCTGGTAGCTAGGCATCGCAAGTATCTGTGAAGTGGATTGATCCCAACTCTGCCTACAGCTCATCCCCCCTTGCGTGCTCCTCTCTGAGTCCTTGTAACTATGATAACTGTACCTACTCTAAACCCCCGTTGAGACACCTTGTAACGATTGTGCCTATGGAACGTGCTTATGATGTAGGACACGACGTCTTCAAAAACTTAAAAGCAAGGTTAGCCCCCTGTTCGGAGGCATTTTTGGCACGTCAGTCCTTTGGACCGTTGGGTAACAAATCAAGGAAATGACATCACGAAATTCTAAGACGGATTTGAAAAACATGGGTATATGTCTACATGTAGTAGAAAATCATTTTCTAGACAATCCAAAACGCACATATTTTTACACTTTGATGAAACAAAGTTGAATTTATCCCCAAACTCGTTGGTTTGATTTTCCTGGCTTAAAGATCAATATTGCCTTCCCCCCAACGACCCAGAGGAGCGATCATGGATCATGGAGCTCATCTCGTCGCCTCTCACAGCGCAACACCCCTTCGAAAGTCGCAAAAGTTTCTTGTTCGTTGTGTCCAAACAGGTCTCTACCGGTACTCCTTGAAGACAACTGTTCATCTGTAAGCCATGATTGCAGCCGATCCTCACACTGTTCGAGATCTTCCTCCTTCCGATGTTGGGTCTGTCAATGGTCATGAAGAAGTTGAACTAAACAGAAATACTGACGCTGGGGAGAGTCAAGCAGGAGATGCCCCTTCAGAAGCAGGGGGGAACCAAGAAATGGCGGATCCTTCTGATGCAGGCGGTATGCGATCGAGTTCAAACAGTACAAGCAGAACCCGGCACCCTTCTTGGTTGCCAGAGGACATGTTTAAGGGTGATGCTGCTGATCCCACAGACTCGATGTCCAACAGCCCCATCACCACACGCCTTAACCATCAGACTATTGGAACCCGCTCATCTACCCGCACCCCACTATATGTTCCCAGTGGCAGTGCAGGAAGGACGTTTTTGGATGACAACAATCCTGATACTTTCTTGGTCAACACTCCCCAATTGGTTGAGGCCGAAATTGAACCCGTCAATGCATACCTTGTTGATCCCTCCAGGTATTGCCTGCCAGATACAAGCACTGCTGGTGGGAGACGGCTCTGTGTCATTATTGTTATCGTGCTGGCAGCAGTACCAGTAGCATGCGCCCTGGGCATTACAGTTATTGTCTGTGCCAATGGGCTTTGCAGCAATGATGAGGTTCCACCACCTCTTCCAACGACTACTTTGGGCCCGGCTGTTGGAACTTTGCCTCCACAAGTTGATTTGATTGATGGTGACGATGCCATGAATCACACATCAGGATCAATGATGATTGGACAAACCGATGTCAAGAGGACAGAGGAGCAGGAGCAGTCCACGCCTGGTCTTGCTGAACTTATCGTGCCATCATCACATCCTGTGCCTTCTTTGGTTCCGCTACAACCACCTGGCAACCCATCATCTGTGCCTTCTCAACACACTGAAGCTTTGCCAACATCACTCCCTTCTGGCACACCAACAGGGCTGGGTGCGGCAACATCATCCCCCACTGTACCCACTTCACTGCTAACAAGACAGCCGGCTAAAGGCTCGTCCACTGCTGCACAAAACAGTACAGTCATTCCAACACCACCTCCAACAACATCTCTAACTTCAACGCCCCCTTCCATCAGACCAACAGACTTTCCATCACCCATCTCAACCCCGTCTCCATATCTGACGAGGCATCCAACACCAACGCTTCTGACACCACGACCCAGCTTAGTAATGAATATTGGAGATCCGACAGTCTCAACACCAGCAGCCACCACTGTCCCCACCATGTCAACAACCAAGGGACCAACAATGTCACAGCCAATGACACTCCCTTCCGAAACGCCTCCACCTTCGCCTTACCCAGTTTCTGGCCAGACAGAGCTGCCCTCCTCGGTTTCCCCAACGAGCACGCTGCCAGTTTCGCCTCAAACAACAGGCAAACCATCTACGGAACCACCATCAAAAACTTTGTCTTCTGTGACATTGGCCCCTTCCATCGCTAGTCTCTCAGGAACATCGATCCCAAGTTCCAGCCCGACTCCAGGGACGATGACTATCAGCCTTCCGCCAGACCCAACACAAACACCAATGATGGCTCAGCAGCCTTTAACAGCACAATCCACAAACAGCCCGATCAATCAGCCAACAAATAGGGAACCAACTATGACCCCCACCGCTGAACCCCAACCAAGCCCAACTACAGCGCAGCCAACCGGAAATCCAACTCCAAGTCCAGCATCCCCAGCTCCAACTCAAGAACCCACTTCAAGCCCTGCCAAAAGGCCACCAACACCAAGCCCAACTAGAATCCCAACTAAAAACCCCACTAGAACCCCCACCCCTGAACCAACACAGAGTCCTACCTTGTCACCAAACAGGAGACCCACAGCAAACCCAACATCACTTCCTCCAACTAGAAACCCCACTGGGAACCCCACTCCAGAACCAACCAGAAACCCTACCCCAGAACCCACACATAGTCCAACCAGGTTACCAACCAGGAGGCCCACACCAAACCCAACCTCACTTCCTCCAAGTAGGAACCCCACTAGGAACCCCACTCCAGAACCAACTAGAAACCCTACCCCAGAACCCACACAGAGTCCAACCAGGTCGCCAACCAGGAGGCCCACACCAAACCCAACCTCACTTCCTCCAAGTAGGAACCCCACTAGAAACCCCACTCCAGAACCAACTCAGAACCCCACCGGAGAACCCACACAGAGTCCAACCAGGTCGCCAACCAGGAGGCCCACACCAAACCCAACATCACTCCCTCCAACTAGGAACCCCACTCGGAACCCCACGGGACCACCGACACAGAGTCCAACCAGTTCGCCAACCGAAAGCCCCACAGAACCACCTGTAACCACCATTACAGTCCGGGCTCGATTCGGCTTCTATAACTCGTTTGGTAGTGAATTCATGGAAATCAGCGACGCTGAAAGAGAGGTAGGATTGTTCTGGCACTTTTTGCTGTGCTCTCTCGTGTACTACATTCCTGATTTTTCTCATGCCACGCTATCTTTAGGAGGTTGAACGCATTATTGATGACTTCCTAGACGGCGAGTATTCCGGTGGCTTCTCAAATTATATTGTTGGTAGCTTAAACAGCAATTATGGGGGGTTTAATGCCCCTTTGGGTTTTCAGATGAGGAGGGACTACAATGCTTATTTCTGGTATAAGGATTTTCCTTCCATGTTCAAAGGCGACATGTCTCACGAAGAGGTTTCAAATTTTCTCATAAAAGAAGATTTCACCAACCCTGACTACCGCAGCTTGTTGGATTCTGTCCGGTCATCATTACCAGCATTTAGCAACTTGAACATGCTGCAGGTTTCGGATGAACCCCTACCCCCATTGACCTAGTAGTTTGAAAGGCATATCATTGGATATTTTGTATGGATATGGCGCGCCCCACACCAGGAACCCGCAACGCAACGTAACGGCCTCGTTATCCTCGGTACGCCTCTATCAGGTATGATGATGGCGATTCATCCCAGTGGTGGTAGAGGTGGAGACAGTTTGCGTAGGTACATGTGTAACTTTTGTGTTGAATCGAATCAGTCGTCATGTCATTGCGCCTGGGAAGACAATTAGAAGTGCATCACAATCGAGGGCAAGAACTCGGGGCGACGAGCGAGTTCGATCGTTGGAAGCGATTGGTGCGTGGGCTCTGCGTCACTTGTGCTCTCCTTGCTCAGTGTTCTTTCAAACTGCAGATCATTCTCGACGTTTGACGTCTTGACCGTATCAATGACGAGATTCGATTCAGGGCTCCTTCGCAGCCACTCGTCAAGTAAATGAACTTGCATATATTGTTGTTCCGGCGAGGAGTTTGATTCGGGGTGGGGTCAGAGCTCATGCATGGCCGTATTTGTTTATTGTTTGGCTTCATTCTCAGCTCGTCGAATGAGTACAGTATGGTGCGCGTCAAAGCGAAGCGAAGTTCTGCGTACGGCTTAATTCGCGCGTCGAGAGTCGAGTCAAGTCGAGATTCGTTGAAAGTGGAGTGTCGAGTCGAGTCGAAACCTCCAATGATTACGATATCACCTGGGTGTCGTTTCTCCTCAAGGTTGGACGGTACGGTACGGTACATCCTTGGACTCTTTATTGACTTTGCGAGCAAGCGCCAACGCTCGCAACGATGGATGGAGTGTCTCTGTTCTTGCGTTGCTCCTACAGTACGGTATCTTTGGCTGGACGAGCGAGGTCGTGCATTGCATCGCTCCGTATGGTACCGGTACCACCGCAAAGCATCTCTACTGCCTGGCTGCAAACTCGAACGCAGCTGTAGTGTGCCTTCTCGTCGGATCAGGTACCGCACTCGCACATGGCCTTTGGTCCTTCCTGGAGGGCATAACACCCGGCACTAACAATAATATTATTATATTAATTCAATCCCGAAGCAATCCCAGAAAAGATGACGTCGAGAGCTCTCAAAGATCCATCATCACCCAACATCCCAAACAAGGACCGAGCTGAACCTTTCGTGGGTCGTACTTTTAACATCAACCGCCTCATTACTATAGTGTCTTTGTTGATTGACAAAGAGCCACCGCTTTACTACGACAATCACAAAGGCTTGTCTTGTTGTCTTTGTTTGTTTTCATAATATTTAAAAAAGTTTCCACGATGACTTCGGAATTGCGTCAACGTCATCAATCCACTTCGCAGTCGAGCAAAGACGAAGATGTGCCTGCCATTCCACCGCGCAACAACAACAGCACTGACCGCCGCCAACGCTTTGAATCGGTCACGGAGCTACCGGCGCTGCAAGAAAATGGCCAACCGGCCACGGAACGAACGGAAATTCCCACATATAGCCATGCGGAGGAAAAACCGGAAGACAATAGTGATGATGGCGTGACAGGGAGCAACAAGACGCAACAACAAGTGGCCAAATCCGAGGGCAAAAAACGCAAAATTGCCGTGCGAATAATTTCCAGTGTTCTCATGATCGCCGTCTTTTTGGGACTCATGAATATGGGGCATCTATACATTTGCATATTGGTGGCACTGGTGGAACTGTTGCTGGTGAGTGAAATTTAGTAGTGCACTTCATACCATCGTGGATCCAGTTGTCACTCATTTTTCTTTTGTTTTGTCACTCATTTTCTTTATTTCGATTATATAGTTTCGAGAATTGGTCAAGGTCCGGTACAGTGCCTATTTCAACACCATTCAAGACACGATTCCTCTCTTTCGTACCACGCAATGGCTTTGGTTTGCCGTGGCCATTTTCTACACGTACGGCGACTTTTTTCGAGAAATCATTATTCAAGGCAACCCGGCATACCACTGGTTGTCGCAGTATGCCCACTACCTGCCCAGTTTGTCGTTTTTGCTCTACAGTGGTACCTTTGTCATGACCATTGCCACCATGCAAGTGGGGCACATCAAATTTCAACTCAATCAGCTCTGTTGGACCATTCTGGTATTGTGCCTTACCGTGGGGCAGCTCAAGTATATTATGCACAATATCTTTAATGGCTTCTTCTGGTTTGCTCTGCCTATATTGTTGGTGGTCACCAATGATATCATGGCCTATGTCAGTGGAATGACGTGTGGACGCAAGTTCATTCGACGACCGTTCATCAGTTTTTCACCCAACAAAACGTGGGAGGTGAGTAGATGGAAAGAATACATGCCAATGGAGGCATCATGACGCTATGATCGCATGACTAATCTCTCTCTCATTCTCTGTATATTGCAGGGCTTTATCGGGGGTGGCCTCTGCACTATGGTTGCCGCATGGTACATTAGCAAACTGCTGGCACAATTCCCATGGATGCACTGCCCCACCAACAAATTCGAATTCTTCCCACCACCACTACAATGCACACCCGATCCCATTTTTGTGCCTTCCACATTGCGATTTCCATCGCAAATGTTTGAATTGTTTCCCCGATGGTGCCCCAAACTATTTCCCAATGTCGTCGAAATTTGTTCTGTCGTTGCAGTCGAGACAGAGGACGTTACTACTACTTTGACTCCCTGTGTGTCGGGTGACAAGAGGCATACTCATCATCATTTTGAATTGCTCATGACAGTCTTTCCAGTGCAGATTCATGCATTGGTGTTGGCACTCTTTGCCAGTTTGGTCGCCCCCTTTGGGGGATTCCTTGCGAGTGCCATTAAGCGGGCATATCGGCTCAAAGATTTTGATAGTCTCATTCCGGGACATGGGGGTGTCATGGATCGTATGGATTGTCAGTTCTTGATGGCACTCTGTACATGGGTTCATTACAATACATTTGTCAAGATTGCCACCATTAGTGTGCACAAAATGACATACATGTACAATCAACTAACCGAAGAGGAAAAGAGAGAATTTTTGGAGTCCATTACATTGGTGGCCACCAAGAACAAGAGTCGCAATAGCAACAACAACAACAACTTGAGATTGGACGAGTCCTTCTTGTAACTGTTGTGGATTGTGGATATAGTTGTACAGTTGGCTGGGATACCGCGCCGAGAGATGGCTGTGCGCGAGACGATGAAAAGTGTTGTGCCCTGCTGTGCAGATGCTGCTGGGAATCGAATCGAATCGAATCGAATCGTTCCATCCATGGTTGCAACCAAGTTTTGAATAAGCTACTAGCAGTGCATTTTTCCGTTCTCCCTATCGTTCCGCAGGCCGGAGTGAGGTTGCAACTGTAACGTACGCAAGATATACAGTAGCAGCTCCACGAGGGAGGCTTGAATCATTCAATGATGCACTTTAGAATATCACAAAATATATTTCATGCTATTTCATACACCATGTCTCAATCCTAAGAGTGATAGGGTGTTCCTCACAAACATCAGAGGGAATGAAGTTGGCCGTGGCAGATTTTGTCTGCCAACAGGGACGGAGTACTCGTATTTGTTTTATGAAAGATGGTTGATCATGATGTACTGGTAGGGTACAGTCGTAGCTTCGGACCTTGCCGGATTGTGGCAATGGTTCCACCCCACATGAACAGAAGGAGCATCTTCATCAGCGCCATTGGTTTAGTGGTAAAATTCAACGTTGCCATCGTTGAGCCCCGCGTTCGATTCGCGGATGGCGCATTTTGGATGCTCCAATGTGCTGTGATTTCCTGAACGCTTTCACAGCACTAGTCTAGAGTAGGCTTTGTCGCAACTTGAGCTCGCTCCCACTGCTTCGCTACTTTCGGAAATGTGTCCCGCTTTGCATGGACGTGCTTCCATTCCTCCTACAGGTTTTGCTGCGCAATAACCAAACTTGGTTTTGTAAGCTACGTGCTGCTGTAGTAGCACGCCCAAGGTTGCCAGACTCAGTCGAGTGGAGGCAGGGGCGTGGAGTTGGAGTTGCCAGCATGGGAGGAGTGCTTGTGCCATGGCTACCGTTACATAGCCAGCCTGGCTGCAGAGAATCGAATCAAATGTGCCGCAAAGGACTGTTTTGGTTTCTAGTGCTACTACTAGCTAGAGGTTTGGCTGCCAGGGCTACAGTACTGTAGCTAAATGTACATGTAATACCGGAAGCCAGACGACCACGATCTACCAGCCGATGTTGAAAAGCTAGCTAAGCTACGATGGCAGCCCGGTTTGAAAGGGTCGAGGATGACCGGGACACGGAAACCTGGTAGGTACCGGTATGTACAGTACCGGCGACCGGCGACCCTTCAATCGATCGAGGCGGTTGTTTAGAGTCCACGGAAGGAGTTATCGGAGATGTTTAAGAAGTAAGCTATTGCCACATGCACAGCAATGGATAAAAGGATGATGAAACCCAGAGGTGACAATGATGATACAAGTACCTGTAGATCTGAGGATGAGGACAAGCTGTCACATAGGCAGCAATTTCTTGATGGTCTCACAAAGAGGTCCGAACTTGAAGCCACACAGATCATGGGACACAGCACCAATGAATCGGAGCGCCACCATCAGGAGAACCAAAACATGCCAACATCTCAGCTTTCTCGAACCAAATCCAAGAGTCCTCCTCCATCAAGCTCTACACGTATGGACAATTCTTCCTCTTCGGAGAGAGAAATTTTGAAGGTACCCGACAGGGCCAGCTCAGTAGCAGCCGCAGTAGAGGAAGAAGATCTGTTTGTAGAAAACAGGACGAAAATTCCACCCAATCAAAATAGGACGGTGGCAACAGTAAATACAGCCTTTACTACGAATGATATAGAGGAACTGCCACCACCAACTGTGCTGCGTCGACAAACACCCCAACGTGAGCAGTCCTGTCCTGGAGCATACATGGTTTCTCCTGGAGAATCCATACAACGAACAGAGAAACTCAACTATGGGATATTACGAAATGTTGCCAATAGAGTGACTATGTTGTTGCTCCCTGATAGAAGTCGTGATCAGACTGCATTGGATGCTGAAGTTTCAGCTGTTGATCCAACCGAGTCGCAGAGCCCTAAACTCCAGAGCAGGAAGTGTGTTCTGCTTTTGCTTGTTGGGTTGCTTGTTGTGAGTATTACCATTGGCGGTGTCTGTGGAAGTGGTGTGTGCAGTGGAGGCAGCAGTGAGCAAGTGGTGCCTACAATGCCTCCAACCTCACAGAAGTATTTTGAGCATCAAATGGCAATTTTGGATTTCTTTGGAGAGGACTATTTTGATGGAATGGATATTGCATCCTCCCAGTACAAGGCCTTGGATTGGATAACAAATGATCCCATAGTACCAGAGGATGATCATTTCATTCAAAGATATGTCTTGGCAATCTTCTACTTCCACACAACCCAGGAGTCACGGTGGCTGCGATGTAACCAACAGAGCTTATCCTGCTACGACATGCATGGAGATTTCATTGGTGTTTTCTGGATGCATGCAAGCAATGAATGCCTCTGGGGTGGAATAGAATGTGATGATAAAAGTGGTCATGTTACAGAGTTGAGTATGATATACAATGACTTGAATGGGAAGCTGCCAACAGAGCTGGCTGTTCTCTCCAAGTTGACTGTTCTCAATCTGATGGACAACAGACTCACAGGGCCCTTGCCCTCAGAAATCTACAAGCTTGCTTCATTGGAGGAACTGAATTTGAGTGGCAATTCTCTGTCAGGAGAAATCAGCACCGAAATTGGACTCCTGACAAGTCTGTCCAAGGTGGATCTTTCAAACAATCAGTTCTTTGGAATATTGCCAGAAGAATTGTCTGCCTTGACAGGGTTGTACCAGTTTGACATCCACGGAAATGATGGCTTGCATGGCAAGATTCCTCAAGCTGTATGCGACAGTGCCAATAGCCACAATGAGACTGAAGAAATAATAGTCAAGGCAGACTGTGCCGACTTGAGCAGTGGATATGAAAGAGTGACCTGCCCAAAGAGCTGCTGCACAGAATGCTGCTACGAAGGGAAGTGTTTTCCTGCTGAATGAGTTCCATGGCAGACATTCCCAGGGACTTCAAACAAACAAAAAACTAGCTTTTTGATTGCATAAGTTAAATAGCTGAGCATGTGACACATGTTTACTCCACACTCTTTTGATGGCACCTTTCATTTTGCAAGCTATTGTCTTGGACGGTGCGAAACCGCAAGCTGATTCTATTCTCGATTCATTAACCAGATAATTGACCCGCAGGGTTCCCGCGGACTTTGTCGAGTCCATCCCCACATGGCCAACAGGGACCGACTGGCCGGCATAGGAAGTCTTGACTTGTGCTCGTCGAAATATGGAAGCAATACTCCCGAGCATGAAGCTACAGTACCAGTATAGTAGCTAGAAGGCTTTTCTACAAGACGAGACTATCTAGCCAGTTTGTCGCGAAAAGGTCTGAATGGTTGCACTGCTGCCCTACGATTCATTCATTCGTTCGATGCGGTATGATTGATCATTCGGCTCGATTCAGCCACGCCGCAGTGAGGTGAACTACGCCTTTGAATAGTCAGAACAACCCATATCCGACCAATCAAGCCGCCAGCTATCCTATAGCCAGCCAGCGAACGAATACAAAGCAGCCTTAATCATTCTACCTCTAATGGAAGCTGCGGGCATCTAGGCAAGATTGCGGAAGGAATAGCAGGTTTCCCATCTAAATGCGTTTCTTGTACCGTTATGGACTATGATTGTGTATGTTAGTTGTTGTCCCTTCATTATCATTTTGTTGTTTGAGCTAGCTAGCTGGATGTTGCTGGTAGTGGTACTAGTGATTCGCTTTGTCAATGTGCAACCGTGCTTTTGGGGATTGATTCCCCTCTCGATTGCTCGATATCACCACCACTACAGCTTGCCATTCGATTCCTACCGTACAAGAAGCAGAGTGCTTCCTGTATGTAAAACTGCTCACGTCTGTGCGAGGCGCACCCATTCCCAGCGATGTGCCTCCAGCGATACCGTACCGGTAACGGTATTCGCCGTTGTTGGGCATTTTCTCGAATGGATCCATCCACGCTGTCTGTGATCTTTCATGTCGTTCCCCGCCCTGACAGTACGGTCCATGCTCAACAACTCTGTCTTCGATGGCTCACAACGCCAAACTTGATGTTACCCTTGGGAGGCGACCCACTGCTGCGAAACAATCGCTTGCCACTGGAATTTCGCTTGTTCAACGTCTTTTGTTGTTGCTGCTGTTGTTTGTCGGCGCCGATGGACAATAGTCGATGGACAATACCACTCTCGGCGGCGGCTTGGACTCCAAAGACCTTGGACTTGTCATGGTTCGAGTACGTGTTGTGGAAATCGGCCCAGCTCTCGCCGCGGAGTGGGCGGTTTTCTCGTCGTTCGGACATGAAGGTCATCATCATGGTTGCTATTATTATTGTTTGGGAGTTGGCTGTTGCGTTTGATGGGAAGAAAAGAAGCAATTTGTGAGAGAAGCAGAGAAGCAGAGAAGCTTCAAGTTCGAGAGAGAGTTCCCATGTGTGTGTTGTCTACTACGACCACGGCAATACTGCTTTGTCTCTGGGGCAGAGGGGCTTATCTGGACTGCAAGCATTCTTCACACGAGCTCGAGTTCAATTGACTCATTGGACTACATTGCTGGTACAAACTCTACGGCAATGCAGGGTAAGGGCAAACGGCAAACACTTCACTCACTTACTTACATGTACTTACTTGTTCCTCGGAATAACAGGCTCGTCTCGACTCGACTCAACTTCACTTAACATCGTGCTTTCACCAGACAGCAGATGCAAGAATCTTCGCTCTAAGGATTTAAAGGACTTCATGATGTCGATAAGCCACAGAGACATCCACCTCACCATTTTGGCAAGATTTGTCTTGCAATGCCAATCTGTGATTGATTCGATTCATTCGATTGATTGACATTCATTCACTACTAGTACACCGAGCTGGCTTCCAGTATGGTGGCACCGGTAATAGCTGACCACAAACCACAACACCAATACTGTATGCGAGAGATCTATTCCAAAAGCTACGTAGCTACTAGTACTGCTTGGTGGATTAGCGAATGTTACGGATGTGTGATTGCCTTGGGAGATGTATGGTACCGTACTTGCATTGGATACGTATACGGCCTGACTCACCCCCCAGTCGAGTCAAGTCCATGCGGCCAGCTCCGTACACCTTACTTACTCTGAGAAGTAACTTATTCAGGATTTGCTTGTTCATACGGTAGGCCGGCGAGAGCTTGAATAATGGTTGAGATTCTTGATCCACAGTCTAGTCAAGTCTTGCATTGGTGGCTTGGTGCCAGGGAAGCCTAGCTAGTCATGCATTGCCAGGGATCGATTGTATGTATTGATTGGGTTTGGAGGTCCTGTTGGTTTGGTTGGTGGAAAAAGGTACCTGCATACGAGCATGACTCTGTTGGTCACCGCTAGCTACGGTAGACTTCATTGGAATTAGGTTGACGACATGACTTCGAGGTTCAAGGTTATTAGTCGAAGGCTACCGGTAGGGGCAGATGAGCGATTCGATTCTCCTTAGTACATGTATGAACTGTAACCTGCGCACTACTGCCTACCGGTAATAACGGCAGGGTGGCCGTGGATTTTCTGGAAAGACCTTGGCGACTGTTCTTGTTCTGGCTTTGCTGCCCACCCTCTGAACCTTGGCTCCGATTGTATCAATCGAACTTTTCGTGCTTGCAAAGAGTCCCTTATTTTTAGCCCAAGAGCCTGGTGTTGTATAATCAGTTCAAGTTGGAAACGATTTTCACCAGCCAGACATCTTGCTTCGAGCGTAACTGAACCAAAGCGTCCAGCGTGGAACGGAGGCAGCAATCCGAGCGTTTACTATATATTGTTTTGCTTCCTTTCACAACCCAAAAACCAAAACACAAAACCAATCCATCCAATCAACCCACCATGCATGCCCTGAAAGAAGCCTCCCAGAAAACCTTGGCAGAAGCACTGGAACTGGAGGAGCTTCCCCACCGAGACAAGGTGTTGGCAGCGGAACCCATGCCGAATTTTTCCTCCACTCCCAATGGTCCCAATGGCGGCTTGCCCTTGTCCTTTTGGGCTGCCTGGCAATTGAACGATCGACCACGTCGCGTAGCTCTCCTCTTGGATGATTGTCAAGAAGAATACCGTGAATACGCCATCGACATTTTGCCACAACTAGTGTCGTTAGTGGAGACTTTTGGCCGTCACGGCGATGGAGTCTGCCGTGTTTGGTCGGCATGGTCGCGGACAGTGGATGATGGGATTTCCAATGCCATGGACCGTTGGTACGGTCCTCGTGGTTTGCGAAAAGACGAACCGGAAAATGCAGTTTACATTTTTGGTGGAGCCGAAGGCATGAAGCCACTGAAGGAAATTGCTCCCACCCAACAAGAAATCGACGACGGCTGGTTCTACATGGGACGTCATTTGGACATGTTTTGGAATTTTGATGACACTGGCAAGAGCTACTTGGATGAAAAGTTGAAGGCGGAGGGCATTGACACGGTTGTCATTGCTGGATTGTGGACCGACGAGTGCATCCTCAGCACCGCCTATGCAGCGAGCTCTCGAGGATATGATGTCGTCGTCGTGAGTGATGCTGTGGCGACCGCCACTGCCAATCAACAAGCTGCCTTGACCATTGCCAATGGAACCGTGGCCAAAGTTTTGACCGCCAAAGAAGTGATGGACTATATGGAAAAGGAATTCCGAGTAGGTCAACCAGGTGCTGTCAAGGGAACCAAACATCCGGATGGCCGAAAGGACTAAAGTGCTTGTGTTGTCCTTGCTTGAGTACCGGTAGTTAGTTCGATCACACTTTGTCATCAACCTGCCGTATCTAGAACAATAAAGTAGACTGCAATACGATTGTTGCAGTGTGTCTTTCAAAGTCTCGGTACGGCCTGCGTACGCCGTTCTTCTGTTGTCGTTGTGACTGGCATCCATGAGCTTCGTAAAGGAGCAAGGGGGGAACCAGACAAGGACTTCAAGGTTTGTGGGCGAATGCCAATCCATTCAGTCTGATAAATGGGACCGGTTGCTATCATTAGAAACGACAAATTGTCACGAGGGGGTGAACGTTATGGGTGTGCCAAGAGGGTTTCCGGCACTCAAGCTAAAGCTTGTGTGGAAAAGAGTTTGACGCTGAACGGAAATGAGACGCTAGCCACCCGTACATGTATGTTCGAAGCATTCTTGGTGACCTTCTTGGCTAGAGCCGTGCTGTCTATCGTCCGCCCAGCCAATGCTTCACAGATGTGGCCACGCTCACTCATGTCTTCTTGGTGCAAACAGGCGTGCCCATTGGCTGCCCGTCGATGGTTGTTGGAACTACCGAGCCCATGCAAGAAGTGAAAAGAGGGGATTTCATGTGCTGATAGATCCTCTGAAGATGCATGCAGGAAAAGGATCCGATTCGATTCTGTCTGATAGAGAGAGCCATCAAAGGCGCCACTTCTCAATCGGAGGACGAGATATCTCCCTACCGGTAGCACAAACTATGCCACTTACCTTCAAGATCGGGTATTCACGGTTAAGGAATCGGTTGCTTGAAGAAACTAACAAGGTAACTCCCGAGACCAAGCCAAATTGGCGTTTTCATCAGCTAGCTCCGATGCTGTTGGAAGCAAGTTGGGCAGCTATGGCACGCTATGAAACGCGTAGGTCCACTCAGACTTTGCACTTCGGCAAAACTTGGAAACGCAATCAAGAGGGTGCCACAAGTCCATGCTAAAAGCAGTTTGGGAATAGACCACGAAGCGTGAAGGTGCAAAGACTACGAAGCGTGAAGGCAAAGACCAACTTCCACAATGAGCAACGTTCAAATTATCAAGCGCATTGTTGAGGAAGGAGTGCAACCAGAACGATGTCAAATTTGTTGGTCGCATACTCGTACCATGTTCCCAATCCTACTCTGATGGCAATCGTTCGTCATAACCAATCTCATACGGGGTTGAATGGCTGCTTTGGGTGTTTGTTTGAGAAGTTCTAGTAGTATGGTAAGTAGTTTATCATGTATGTTAACTGGATCAACAGCAAGGCTAGAATCAAGTGCTGCCGTGCGCCCCTTTCCCTTCCGTAGACAAAATCAAGACTCGCCAGTCAAACTGCTCTCAACCGATTCATACAAGCTTGGCACACCTGGGCGCATCTTTTCTAAAGAGAAGTCCGGTATGCTCACCATTAGACGCAATGGCGAGACAGACAAAAATACCATAGCGATGCAGAGAGACATCAAAAGACAAAATGGGTAGTGCCCCCTGCTGCCTAGAAAGCACCACTCGTGGCCATGTCCAGGTCATTGGTGGCTGTCACATCATAGACACAATTGCGAAAGGCACCCGGGTCTTCCTTCAAATGAGCACAAGCCAGCTTTGCAGATTCTTCGGTGATACCCTCACCAAGTCGACGGGCCTCCTTCGCCTTTGTCAGATCAGGAAGGATGCACTTGGCTGGGTACTGGGGAGCCCTGGCAGCCTGGAAGAGCATGGGCTCGTCATCACGGACCTGCCACTCTTGTCCCATGGCATTCATGTGTTCACTCAAATCAGTGACTCCATCACGAGCCAGCATGCTGCCATGGAAATCACCCAAGAGACCAACGACTTTACCAAAGTCCTCCAGAGTGGCATTCCGGACCTTGACACTGACAATATCCTTGAGAATGCTCATGGCAATCTTGGAGTCATCCGAGAGAATGATGTCGAAGCGGTGTGTGTTCTTGCCCGCAGGGCGCGGGGTGTGGATGATGGGGTATCCTCCAATGGTAGAAATAATGACAGGGTTCTTTCCCCTGAGATTGGTTTCTTCTGCTTCTGTACCGGTATTGATCAATGCCCCGTCCACTCCATTAAAGGCGTATTCACCCCAGGCAGAGACCTCCAAGGTATCGTTGCCAAGACGGACAGCCGCAGTTTCAATGAAGCTGTATTCGTATCTCTGTGTAGCACGGACATGAATATCCAAGTCAGCCTTGCCCTGGAATCTGGGGACATGAATGAGCTTCAAATCACTATATGTATTGGACAAGATAGTAGTAACAAGCAGACAAAGTAAGTATAGAGATTCGGATTCCTACGCTGGCAACAATCAGAGCGATCATCAGCCATGCAGCTACGTACCATGCACCATGATAATCAAACCATTCTCCCGCCCATGACTTGATGTGTGGGTCACCAGCTACTCCCGAGTTTACCGGAGTTGGAGCCGTTCCTCCGCTTGTCGTTGGGGCGGGAACTCCACCACCGGATTTGGCCAGTACGGAGGGCAAGAATGCCATCACGAAAAGGAATGCATATTGGAGGTTCATCATTGTATTTGGTTTGTTCTTCTTGACGGTACGGTAGAGGGCTCAACTACTTGTATATCTAGGACGAGCTCTTGGACGAGAGAAGATGATGATAATAAACTGTGAGCTTTCTTGTGGGAAGCCGCCACAAATCGCAAGGAAAACCATTGAGGCGTCCAGGATCATCAAGGATCAAGAGGTGACCAAAAACATTGCATGCTAGCATGCTATGTGTTAATATCTAGTACCGGTATGCTACATGTAGTAGCCAGATGACTGGATCATGCCAAGTGCCAAGTACCAAAATTCGAGACACTCTATGAGGGTTATTAAATCTAGTTTTCTCCCTTGTTGAAATGTGGCTTATTTTTATTATTCAGGGACTTGTGAATTGTTTTGGTGCACTTTGGAAAGAATTGTTTAGACATTGTGTCACGGGTATCAGAATCAGAATGTTGCGGAAACCTTGGAAATCAAGTGCACGGATTAGCAGGTACCAGGTAGTCTACTAGCTAGTAGCTACTAGCTAGTGAGAGCCTAGTGAGATGCTCACAAATAAATAAAGTGCTTTCCTGGAACCTGTGAACTGTGAACTGGAACTGTGTTGGGTGAAGTGTGAAGCTTCCAAATTGAGCCTCAGTCACAGTTCACAGTTCACTGCTCCTTTGAATGATGCTGTGATGGCATGGCATGAATGTACTACCTAGCTCCTACTAGCTAGTGGGACGTACCGTAGGACGTAAAGCTCCTGCTGGTCCTCAAGCTCTTGGTTGTTGGATGTTGGGTGGTCATGGCATGGTCCTGTCATGCACACCATGACGCCATGATGTCATGATAGATACAAAACCGTGTGGTAACTTCGTGGTAACTGTCTCGATCCTTCAAGTAGGACTCTCGACTCCAACTCAGTACATGCACTACCGGTGCTAGTATCTTAAGCCTTACGGAAATCCTGGCGGATGGATGGATGGATGGATGGCCATCGACAACGCACAGTAGTGTAGTATTGGCTCGATGATTGCGTTTCGTTTGTGGATCTCACAACATCAAGGATCAAGAGTTGTGTCCACGCTCTGCGTCCGTCACTGATACTAACGGAGCCCATTACTTGACCTACTTGGAAACGTATTGACGTCCTTTGTACATAGGTATACCCACCCAGCATGAGCCGAGGAGAATGTCCACCCCTCGATTGCTGTGCATAGTGCGTTGCTTATGGTTGCAGCCTGGCTAGGGCGAGGGACTGCCCAGCCCGATGAACCGACTCGACTCGAGTCCGCCGTGATGAGTGTTCTGTTGCAATGACCATGGAAACTTCAAGATTGGTCCGTTTTCCGAAGCATTCACTGCCGTCCATGATGAGTGTTCTGTTGCAAACGACCATGGAAACGTAAAAGGTTCGACGGCTCCCTGTCTGGTCCCTTTCATCCTGTGACAAAAAGCAAGAACCATAGCACTACCCCACGGACCCCTGAAACAGTCCAGCTTTTCCCGACAACATCGTGGTCAGATCAAGCCACAGCTATACAAGGAGAGTTTCGCAACGGCTCCATGTGGTGCGAATACTATACATTGTAGGCTAGCTAGCTAGAGTGCACAAGCTGTGGCTGTCATTCTCGCAAAAACTTGTCGTCGCAGGGTACCCCGGCATGTGTGCAAGCCAACATCATTGCATCCCACCATCAGTCGGACAGTGCAGCTTCACTGTTTTGCTGTACAGGCACCGTGGCAAGGCCTTGGGCCTCCAAATCAGCCATGCCACCGACAATTGCCATCCGAATGGAGCTTGCTGTTTTTGATGTTGTTGCGCTTGAGCCAATGAACTTGAGCCATTTATATGAGCCGTGCCTTTTATGTCATTCTGTGTGTATTGCAGAAGAATCTGGTCCATCTCCTGCTTGCTTCGTCACTGTGCTTTTCATATCTCTGTCCAGGATTCTCTCCGCTTGTGCTGTGCTGTTTATGTTGTACCGGTACAGCTTTGCGCAAGCTAGATCAAGCACATCAAGACCATCTTCTACTACGGTATGATGATGCTGGTGATGATCCGAATGCATATGCATATGCATATGCTCTGAGCAAAGCATCATTTTCGTTGCTATTTAGTTTGGTCCTGGTTCATTCTACAGCATCGAGTGCCTGTGGAAGATGATGGTGGCTTCTCTGCTGGTCAGCACTGTGCAGTGCAAGAAGGCGAGACAGAAATGGTGCAGCTCATGCAGCACGATTATATACTCAACTTTGGATGCATGATGGTTGCCATTCTGCACTAATGCGTGTACTAGATAAGGATGGCAACCACGTTGGGAGATGACGATAATACATTCATGTACCGGTAAAGCTCAATTCCGTGTCATTTCTGGGACGAGTACATTATAATCCAACAAGTAGCTTCATCCAGGTGTCTCACTATTCATTTATCTCTAGCTAGCATGGTTGCGCTTTACTTTTTGTTGGTTTTGGCCACTGAACACTGCCTCTTGGCATGTGATGCATAATCATTGCATAAAGCGCCCAGCGTGCTCCAAAAACAGTCTGCCCTACAAAGTACCGTATTCCATGACCCTAGTCCTCGCAGTATAGAGACAGTGTCAATTTTGTAGTTGCATCGTATAGACTCGACTCCAATAATACAACTTGCAGAGAGTTGTTTCTCCTGCAACCCTTTGAAATCTGCAATATTCTCCTTTCCTCCTCTTGTTCCTCACCACTGCAATGCGACGCCCTTGGGTGATGCTGCTGCGGATTCTTTTTTGGCTTCTGAATCTCCATCTTTGCTCTTACTCTCTCTGGTACGATACCGACTGGGGGGTCCTTCCTTGCTGGGTCCAGCACCCTTCATTTTACTCAAACGACTCATGACTTGGCTGGATTGTTTGTTGAGATTTGGGCGTTCTGCTTTGAGTGACTTGCTGCGTGTCACTCCACGAGCCGCGGTACGTGCATATTGTTGTTCTTCCTCTGGTAATGCTGCAGACTCCTTGGGTCGTCGGGGTGCACGACGATCTTTCTTTTTTTCTTCTTCGTCTTCCTCTTTTGTCAAGGAAGCACCGGACTTTTTATCCCCCTTGAAGGATTGAGAACGTCGCAACAACTGTACCCTGCTTCCACCAGTACCTTCTCCCATGGCTCTCAATCGACGTGCTCGATTGCTGGCAATTGCTTCCTTATCCATTTTTGTCTTGGAATTTTCCCGACGGGTCATGCGGGGTCCACCGAGGGATCGCATGGAATTGTGACCACCATCAAACGTATTGCTGCGTGGGGGTGGGCGACGGCCTCCTTCTCGTCCATGATGAGAGTCGCTTCTTTGACCAGCACTGCGACTTCCCCGTAGGTGATCCTCTTGAAAGGATTTGGATCGTTGTGGAGGTCCTTTACCACGGCCACCTCCTCCTCGTCTGTGACGGCGATCGTCTTCCTCTTCTTCTTCGCTGGCTTCACTTCCTTCAAATTCTGAATCAATATCTACACTGATGGCGACGCTCTCATCATCTTGCGAATCATAGTCGTCATCGTTAGAATATCCCTTGGGCATGTAGGCCATTTTTGAAACTCTTTTACTTGGGGATGCGGAGGAAGCTATCAATGGGTAGTGCGTCTTTTGGATCGAGACTCTTTTCTTTCTCGATGAGGCCTTGACCAGTTTGGTGAGGATTGGAAGGAAAACAACAGAGGTACCACTATAGCTGCTCTGCTCTGGAGTTCGATGACAGAGCTCCTGATACTACAAGACCACTTAGTCTTGATGAAGAGGTTACTATGGTACGATACCAATTGGATGGAGGTGGTTGTGGCTGTCATATTTTCGTTGTCAGAGCATGGATAGCGGAGCTACCGGTACGTATGAGATGGGTGTCTTTCCTGTGACGTGCAAACACGTGCACACTGTCGGTGCCGATGTGCCGATGACTCTTGAATCCAAAGATTTACATGTGTTTCTTAGTCCTCGGAAGCATCAGTCTACCCAGTATGACTTTCAACGGGAAAGCAAGCATCTAAAGAATTAGGAGTGGGACTTCGTATGCACCGGTACCGGTCGCGCTTAGAAACAAAAGAAGTGAGGTTCAGCCAGAGCATCCTCGGCATCAACTACTGTATCCCCTTGCACCGATAGGTACTTGAGTCTCATTTCCCTCCACCATGGCAGAGTCAATTTTGTTTGCTCTGTGACTGCATGATGATACTGGCAAGTGAACGGCAATAATCCCTCCTCGAGATCCCGGCTTTTGTGACGAGATAGCATAGAGGGTGCTGGGCACAATCATGACATGCCCGGAATCTCTAATGTACCCATTGAATACAATGAAACTTTGATCCATTGCTTGCTCAATGGACAGTGCGGATCACTTATGTCAGTCTCACTGAATTTGATGGGAAATGTAATTCTCGCATTGAGCTAGGAACACGTCCAAAAAACTAATACGAATGATCCTTCCATTAGGGTAATTAGTTGCTGTGTCCGCCATTTGTGAAGAAAACGTGACAGAATGCCCTTGTTCGATCTGAGACAATTAACCGTTGTGGCTAGCTAGTGCGGTAGTGCAGTCGACTTCGTGGCTTCATCCGTCTAGGACAATTTTTCACCACGTCCTTTCATTACAGTAGCTAGCAACTTGTTCGCCAGCTACGGTCGTACGGTAGACCAATGCTGGTCCATTTTTTAAAACGCCCCATCATCATCATCATCATCATCATCATCATCTCTTTTTTGTAATATATAGTATTACCCTCCATACAATCCCATCCAACAGAGTCGCACTCCCGAAAATGCCACGACGGCCAATTCCAATCGCACAAAGTTGGTTTCGGACATGCTGAGCATGATGGGTTTGGCTCCCATGACACCCAACACACTAATGACGCCGAGAAACCCCGCCAGTGGCATCATGGACCATCCCAATGTTCCACTCAAGAATCGCATGGGTAGCTTGCCACAGTTGAGAAAGCAAAAGAACATGGCCCGCGTGCCAATATACGCCGTGGGGGGCAATCGCACGACACTGAGTAGGTAGACATTCAAAATGGGTCCCATGGCGTTGGTGAGCATGGTGGCGGCGCCTCCGACAATTCCCACGACACAGGCCCAAATGAGTTTGGTGGTGGGATCTACTACTACTGTATGTGTTGGCACTGCAGTTGGTTTTTTGTGGTGGTCGGAAGTGGTACTGTGCAAACCGACAGATGGCACGTCATGGGAATCATGGGAATGAGGTCGTCTCCGCAAAGGACTCTTATTGTCGCTGAGAGATTTTTGAGAGAGTGACGCTTTTCCTGTCTCAATCATGTCTTGTTCATTGTCATCTTGTATTCGCTCGGAAGAGTCTTCTTTTGCATGTTTTGGCTGCTGCTGTTTTCCTTGGTCCTTGTCGTCGTCAAAGAGCCCCATGATGGTATCTTTCCCCATTTGCACTGCCAGAATCATCAACAGCAAGAGACCCACCAGTAGTCTGGCATTGGCATCGGTCAATTGCTTATCCAGCCAGACACCCAGTCCCATTCCGACAAAGCTCATGGGCAACAATAACTTGATGGTGTCAAAATCCAAATCCTTATAATGCAACCACGACGCCGACACGTCAATCATGGTCAATATAGGCACTTGCAGCGCTACGGCCAAGCCCAATCCTCCAGGAATACTCGTGGGGGATGTGGCGACGGTAGCGGCCGTTGCGACCGTGGCAAACCCTGGTACTCCACCCTTGCCCAATCCCAACAAGGCTGCAATGGCAATCAGTAACGGCAACTGTCCTTCCAACGACCATGCCTGACTCACGTAGGCTGCCATTGGATCGCCATTCTCCTGTTCCAGAAGTAGTTTGGTATTCATCATCTCTTATCAGTGGTACTGGTACGATAGTAGTACTTATTAATAATGGTTGCGATGGATGATGGATGTCCTCTTGGATATTCTTGTGGCTACGGTCTTGATGGCAACTTGGATCTTTCCGTTGTGTTTGAAAGCCCTAACTCTAATCCCAACAACCTCTTCCTTGTCGTGGGAGTTGGGAGAACTCTTTCACGATACACGAGACAGCAGCAACGATGGTTAACCGGTTTTTTCCGAACCCTTCGTTAGGAATCCAATGGAAGGAAATGGAAGAAAGCCGTGCATAGGAGATTAACCACAACAGTCAAAGAGACACACGATTGAGGGTGCCGGTGCGTGGTCGGCAGCAGCCCGCAACGTTCCTCGCATCGGCGGCTCACAATTTGAAAACCAAACCATGGAGCGATAGCAGAAACCCAACCATAAAACCTATACCCACAAACAATACCGGTAGACTAGAATACAACCCACGAAAAAACATGATGCGAGGACCATTCTTTCCAATTCTTTTAAAACAACTACTACGATGACGGCTTCTGTGGACACCCCTACCGTGCAGCCTGCTTACCGGTATCCAACGAGCGCCGGTGACGAATCCGTGCCGAACAGGAACGTCAAAGACAGGAGCATTTGAGGTGTCTTCATCGTCCTCAAGGCGTCAAGCCGAACAGCAGTGTCGCTACAGCCTCGTTCGTGGTCCCGGTGGAATGCTCTACCGTGTGCCTAACAATAACGGAACCACCACCAACGAATCTCGAACCAATAATACTAAGCAAGAACCCATGTATGTCCGCGGTCCAGATGTTAGGATCTACATGGTCCACAACAAACAGCCATCGGAACACACCGTGGCGGACAAGGAGAATACGGCGATGAATCAACCTCAAGACAACCGCTACAAGTCATCTCCCGAAAAGTCGAAGAACGGCAGCGCGGTAAAAGTCAACGAGAAACAAGGACTTGATGGAAGAAGTTCAAGTGACGCTCCACGACAAGAAGGAGACAGCCAAGAATCGTCGTCGTGTCACAATCATTGTCGAAGATGTCCCCGAGAGTGAACTGGAGGAAGAGGATGAAACCAAGTCCATCTCTGGCGAAACCGAAACCCTGGACCTGGAGAATCCTGGATGGAACCCATCTCAGCATAACAGGCAGGCGTACATTAGATACGTACGGTATCTCTAGCTATGGTCTCTATTGGAGGAACTCTGGATTTCAGATCGTGCGTGCAACTAGCACACCGCAGCGCAGTCTCAGAGCCTAGAACTTTTGAAACTCGTAGCTGGCTGAATGGCTGGCTGGATAAAACCAAATAACGACACGGGTTGCCAATAGCTCAATTTATATACTAGTACCTATTCACTGCACCGCCTCTTCGAAGCGTCCATATTATTAGCTCATAGCTCAAGCTAGTTTATCACCAGCCTTTCACTATACGGTCGTGAACTCTACGATTCTACGATTGTCAATTTTGGTTAAAGGATGCTTCATATAGATCGATTTGTGATCCTGTTCGCTGCATGTCAGATGCGGCGCTTGGTGCGGTACTGTATCACTCGAGACACTACCGGTACATGCTTCTCGGTCGGCGCTGATGACTCGCACGTCATGAAAGATGATGGTTTCGTGAGATGTGATCTTCCTTTCTGAGGGGTGACATTGCTTCCGACAGAGTCCTCAGTCCTTTCTGTAGTTATTAATAGTATATAGCTGGCTTTACGGTAAGGCAGAGAGCTGACTTAGCTCTCAATGCAGAAAGACTGTACTCGTGTATGATTGAATTCGTGTGGCGCATGCAGATTGAATTCGTGAATCGAATCGATCGGCAGCGAAACGACGGCAACAATAAAGGTGCGAGAAGACCTGTTCCTTTGCGTCAAGATGAGCACGATTGAGCCCAGCGTGAATAAATCGGACGAGAAACGACCCATCTTGGGTTGGGTTGATGAGCTATTAATAGCGCTCCGTGCCATCCAACATAATCAGCGAAATGCCGAAAGAAACGACCAGCCGCGTGTGTTGCAACATCAGCGAACTCTAATCACAGCGAGGCTCCATCGGCGCAGCAATTCCTTTGGTTCAGTCTCACAAATCTGAATTGGCACCAAGTCAAATCGGAATCATCTTTGCTCTTGATCGCTCTACGCAAAACAACCATCGTTCAAAATCACCATGAAGATTGCTCAAGTTCTTGCCACGATTGCTTTCGTCTTCTCCCTTGCCAACGCGTTCGGAACGGATAAGCTTCGAATGGTGACGGGGCGCAGAGCCTCTGCAAACGCGGTAAGATTTCAAAGGCGGGGATGAAGTTTTTGGAGGTGTGCTGTGCTCGATCATCTGCATTTCTCACTGGTAGACCGTTGCCTTTTGATTTCTTGCCTACCATCGACAGAACTTTGTTTTTGATGAAGGTCTTCTCTTGGACCGTGAGGAAGATCGTGTCCTAAGTGAAGGGCGGAGCTCGAGCAGCAGCAGTCGTAGTCGCGGAAGTCATAGTCGCTCTGGGAGCAGTCGAAGCAACCGAAACAGCACCATGACAATGAGTTTGGTTTCCAGCAGCAACAGCACCTTCTTTGGTTCCAGCAGCGGTAGCAGTGGAAGCACAAGCCGTCGCAGCAGCAACAGTCCAAGTGCCATCCGCAGCCAAAACAGTACTGGTACTATGGTGGGAAGTATGAGTGGCAGCAGCAGCAGCAGCAGCAGCAGTCGAAGTACCATTGGTTCCAGTGGTAGTGGTGGAAGCACAAGTCAAGGCAGCAGCAACAGTCGAAGTGCCATTGGCAGCCAAAACAGTACTGGTACGATGGTTGAGCAAGTAATGAGTGGCAGCAGCAGCAGCAGCAGCAGTAGTCGAAGTGCCATTGGCTCCAGTGGTAGTGGTGGAAGCACAAGTCGCCGAAGCAGCAACAGTCGAAGTGCCATTGGCAGCCAAAACAGTACTGGTTCGATGGTGGGCAGTATGAGTGGCAGCAGCAGCAGCACGTCGAAGCACCATTGTTCCAGTGTAGTGGTGGAAGCACAAGTCGCGCAGCAGCAACAGTCGAAGTGCCATTGGCAGCCAAAACAGTACTGGTACGATGGTGGGCAGTATGAGTGGCAGCAGCAGCAGCAGCAGGCAGCAGCAGTAGTAGTCGAAGTGCCATTGGCTCCAGTGGTAGTGGTGGAAGCACAAGTCGCCGAAGCAGCAACAGTCGAAGTGCCATTGGCAGCCAAAACAGGACTGGTTCGATGGTGGGCAGTATGAGTGGCAGCAGCACTGGCAGCAGCAGCAGCAGTCGAAGCACCATTGGTTCCAGTGGTAGTGGTGGAAGCACAAGTCGCCGCAGCAGCAACAGTCGAAGTGGGATCGGCAGCCAAAACAGCACTGGTACGATGGTGGGCAGTATGAGTGGCAGCAGCAGTGGCAGTGGCAGCGGCAGCAGTCGGAGTGCCATTGGTGCCAGTGGTAGAAGTGGAAGCACAAGTCGCCGCAGCAGCAACAGTCGAAGTGCCATTGGCAGTAGCAACAGCACAACGGTTAGCAGCAATTCCACCTCGAGGGGAAGCATCAGTGGCAGCAGGAGTCGCAGTTCTGGGCACAGTCGAAGTGGCATGGGCATGAGCATGGGATCCATTGCAGCGACGACAGCCCCAACACCTGTTGTCTGCTCTTGTGATCTTCTCTGTGAAAGTTTTGGAGATTGTTGTGAGGTCTGCACTCCTTCACCTACCTCCGTGTCCAATAACTCCACGAGTGACATCCCAAGCACAGTACCATCCAATGAGCCACAACCGACACGTCCAACCCGCTCTCCGCGCCCCTCCGGAACAACTCGCTCTCGTCCAAGCCCGTCGGGATCCTCTCGCTCTGCGCGTCCTACCAGACCCCCTCGCTCTCCTCGCCCTTCAGGACCCACTCGCTCCCGTCCAAGTCCACGGTCTCGCAGTCCTCGCTCCCCCCGCAGTCCGCGATCCAGCCCCACAACACCCCCAACAGGGTCCCCTATAAGGTTCACTGGCTCACCCACTTCATCTCCCACTGGAAGCCCCACTGTCAATCCCACTGGAAGCCCAACAGGAACATCCACTGGCACTGTATCTCCCACAAGTCCACTTCTTCCCACTGGAAGCCAACAGGATCACCAACAGGAAGTCCCACTTCTTCTCCCACTGAAGGTCCCACTGCATCGCCCATGAGAATCCCACTCCCGAAGTCCACTCATCGCCACTGGATCCACTGCTCCATCCCATGGAAGTCCCACTGCCTTCACGGAGTCCCACTTCATCTCTACTGGAAGTCCCACTGCATTGCCCACGAGAAGTCCCACTGCTCTCCACTGGAAGTCCCACTTCATCTCCTACTGGAAGTCCCACTGCATTGCCCACGAGAAGTCCCACTGCCTCTCCACTGGAAGTCCCACTTCATCTCCTACTGGAAGTCCCACTGCATCCCCAATGGAAGTCCCACTTCATCTCCCACTGGAAGTCCCACTGCATCTCCCACTGGAAGTCCCACTGCCTCTCCCACTGGAAGTCCCACTGCCTCTCCGACTGGAAGTCCCACTTCATCTCCTACTGGAAGTCCCAACTGCATCGCCCACTGGAAGTCCCACTGCCTCTCCCACTGAAGGTCCCACTTCATCTCTATGGAAGTCCACTGCATCGCCCACTGGAAGTCCCACTGCTTCTCCCACTGAAGGTCCCACTGCATCTCCTACTGGAAGTCCCACTGCCTCTCCCACTGGAAGTCCCACTGCCTCTCCCACTGGAAGTCCCACTTCATCTCCTACTGGAAGTCCCACTGCATCGCCCACTGGAAGTCCCACTGCCTCTCCCACTGGAAGTCCCACTTCATCTCCTACTGGAAGTCCCACTGCACTCCCACTGGAAGTCCACTCATCTCCAACTGGAACTCCCACTCCTCTCCACTGGAAGTCCCACTGCATCGCCCACTGGAAGTCCCAACTGCTCTCCACTGGAAGCCCACTCCTCCCACTGGAAGTCCCACTTCATCTCCTACTGCCTCTCCCACTGCCTCTCCCACTGGAAGTCCCACTTCCTCTCCCACTGGAAGTCCCACTTCTTCTCCCACTGGAAGCCCAACTGCCATCTCCCAACTGGAAGCCCAACTGCCTCACCCAACTGGAAGCCCAACTGCAGGCTCACCAACTGGAAGCCCAACTGGCGCACCAACTGGAAGCCCAACAGGATCACCAACAGGAAGTCCCACTTCATCTCCTACTGGAAGTCCAACTGCATTGCCCACTGGAAGCCCAACGGGATCACCAACTGGAAGTCCCACTTCATCTCCTACCGGAAGTCCCACTTCATCTCCCACTGAAAGTCCCACTGCCTCTCCCACTGAAAGCCCAACTGGCTCACCAACTGAAAGCCCCACATCATCACCAACGGATTCACCAACCAGTTCTCCTACGGTAACCCCAACAGTAATGCCCACTGAAATGCCAACTGGAACCCCAACAGCAATGCCCTTTGAAATGCCTACCGGAACAGCCACAAGTCCCACAACCGGAGGCTGTCATGATTGTGGCTGCTTCCAATGTACCGGGCTTCGTGTCCTCGATAATGGCTCACTTGACATTACCATTGGTCACTGCAAGGCTGGTAGCATTAGCTGGATGTGTTGCGTTGGAATCTATGATAGTAACGGTATGGCCGGTGCCCCAGGTGAATGTGTGTTGACAGGGTGTCAAGGGACTCTTGATGGCCGTCTTGATGAAATGCGGAAGTGCAATGGCATTCCTGAAGGTGAAGGCTTAAATATCAATGTCCCCAGTGGCACCACAAAGATTGAGATCAACACGCATGATGGACAAACCATGGGTACAGCTAACAACATTGACACCGTGTGCGGTGGAAATGGCAACCAAAATGGGGGCTGTGCACAAAGAGCTGGTGCGCCCGTGACAGCCCATTGTTTGATTGAATTCGATATCCCTATGGACTGTCCGCCAATGTAGAGCTCCGTTCTGACAACCCTTACGGATGCAGTCAGATCGATTCGATCAAGAGAGTAGAATCTAAAACATAACAATGCTCATCTTTCATCTCATCTGCTGACGACGCATTTACTGTACTAGCCTATAACTTCCATAGTGCACGGCAACCTATTGCCGCTCTCTGCAATCAGTTGGATCTGGGCGAGTTCGAGAAAGTGAGACAGATTGCTTTTGAATGACATGCCTGAATTGCCGCTGCAGGCGTTGACTCCTATACAACATACCGCTTTTTGGAGATGGGTTATGTCGGTTCTTGAAAAGACTGGGTTTAACGCCTACCGCAATCAGTTGTTCGTTCCTGTAGAGACAGATGAGGAGGTTCTGAAGGGAGGCTACAAAACATCTGTGTATATTATGTGGCCATCACCATCGAGTATTTCATCCTATCCCATCCGTTTTGCCAGTGGCTCTAGCTAGAAATAACTGTCCTCGTAAAATTATCAGATCTACAAGATATATACCTTCTTCCGCTCCGAACCTCTTCAACTTTATTGGCCCAACGATCCATCTAACCTCTGATGTGAAGGGTCTCAATAAGGTGAAACAAGGAAGTGAGGGTTGACGTCTTGCTCTTGAAGCCCAACTCCTTGTGGATTGCGTTGACTGCTCCGTATCTCATGCGCACATACTTCTCGTCCATTCCAAGGGTAATGCAAAGCTCTGCTGCATTCTCGCGCTTCACCAACGCAAAGTACTTATCCAAGTCGTTTGCTTCGATTTCGCGCAATTTGCGATCGATGTCGTCTCTCAAGTAAGCTTGGATATCATTGTGCGTCGCGAACGTTGCAGCTTCACGCTTCATCATCAGGCCAGGGAAGAAGTACTTGGCCACTTTCCACGTTTCGTCTACCGTCAAGAGAACGTTATCGCGTTCGTCTCCTGCTGTTTTACCTTTTGTGGCTGCGGAAGTTTGCAGTGCGTCTTTTTCGACAGCGATTTCTTCCTTGGCGGTGGGGGAGGCAGCTTGTGCTGCTGCTTTGTCGACCCCGCCAGCACTGCAAGTAGAGATTGTTGGCTCAATCGTGTCAGCAGATTCCTCGACTTGCATCTCATTATCTCCAGAAGACTCTGCAATCGTAGCACTATCAACTGGATCCTTCGTTACAGCACCATCAAAGCGACGGATGCACTTGAGTAGCAATAGCAGCGGCAGTGAAAAAAGCGGCTGTGACGGTAGTGTCGTTTTTCATGGTTGCAGCAGCTACTCTAAAACCCCCTATCATCGCTAGCTAGGGTATAGTTGCTTTCTGGTATTGACGCTAGCTAGCACTTGCAATGTTTTGTGACAGCACGACGATCGAGCTCATGATGTGCCACGCTCTGTCATTGGAGCGTGGGTTCACAGCGTGGAGGAGCGTGGCACGCTTCGATAGCTAGCCAGCTCTGGAGTGGTAGAACGCGACCACAGTCACTCGACTCGTCACTCGTAGCGAAGTGCAAGAAACTGAGACGGTTTAATAAAGTAGGTAGATTATCGATATCTATGGAAGCCAGTTCGAGTCAGAGACCCTCAAATCCGAGTCAAGCCTGTAGTTAGAGTGAGAAGTCCACAGTTCTCAGCAAGGGGGGTTGGAGCTGCTGCTACTGTGGGTGCTGCTGTTGGTGACCAAGTCTCCAGCTCAAACTTTTCATGGAACAGGCGAAATGACCCCTCATGAAAACCTTTTGAGCAATCATGTCTTGATGAGTTCCAAATCGCTGCAAATATATATTATTGGCCTCCAAGCATTGTGGATGGTTACCAATGGCGACTTTAGTGCTAGCTAGAAATCAGCTATAGCAAAAGCCAGCGATCTGTCAAAGGAAATTGGCGGGAACCTCGTGTGATTCGACGAGATTCCTTTTTGGTACCGTACGGTTGGCGGGCAACACAATCGGGTATATATGTGGCGAAAGCTATAGCGAGAGCTACTGTACTAGACTGGAACTAATAACAGTATATTCATGGCACAGAGAGTTCCCAGACGTCGCCATTGGAACGAAGCTGCATACTGCTTCTAGCCAGCTAGCTAGCTATAGATGACGATAATGAGAAAGGCTATAAACAAGAGGGCAAAACACACAAACCAGATGAAAAACGAAATGTTACGAGTATCCCTACTGTATTAGTCTATTGAAATACAAGATCTCGTGATCATGCCGTGCCATCCGAATTTGATTCGATGGACATGTATATTTCTGGCCCTCTTTGCGTGATATTATTTGTTGATTGAAGGAGCGATTGAATAGACGATAAATGGCATCGCTGGTTGTTTTGCACTGATATTGAGGAGCGAATAGCCTCTTTTTATTCTTGTCTGAATTTTTGTGGCAACCCAAAAAGGTCGTTCATTTGGTGGCGACAGAAACTGCAGTGATGGTGGGTCTCTTATTTTATTCTTGCTTGACAATAGTCAATGGTCCAGTGTTATCCTTGCATTCGGCATTGTAGTCCCGATGCGCTCCGTCACAATAAGGGAATTTTTCCGATCTCCAACACCGACAGTAGGATACCTTTCCTTTGGGAGACGCTTCAATGAGATCTTCAATATCCTTGACGGTACATCGAAGGCCGACCTTGGGATTCTCTTTCTCAATGGATGGATTGACGGGGATTATGACGGGTTTGGGTTTGGGGACTAGTAGAAAGGAGAGTAATAGACCTATTCCAATGCCAATGGCAATACTGATGGGGTCTACTGCTAGTACTGGGAGCGAGTCCATGGTCTTGTTTTTGAAATATTGCTTGATAGTAATGTTTTTGCTTGTTGGTGTGAGAACAGAATCAAAATCAGAGAGGAGGAAGGATCCGAAGGATTTGACCGTTGGATCTTTTCCAAATTCCTCCCCCCAGCATTCGTTCGTGGGACAACGCGTAACTGCTCCTGCTGAGGAGAGCCTCATTTTTCTGACGTCAGTAGGCCCATCACTCCATCAACACACTGATGGACACTTCCCCAAACGGAGGTGGTCTGTGCTTCTATCTTACCACTGCCTTCTGGCTGGCTTGCTAGCTAGGCTATGGCAAAGCTAGTAGTGATCCAGGCTGGAGACTATCGTTGACGACCAGATGACATCAAACAATAATTGAAGATGCTGCGGCCAACACTCATCTGTTGGTGTTTCTGGATTGCGGTTGCGTCCGTGTTGATTGGAACATGTAGAATCGATGGAGTCTCGGGTGCTGCTTCCTTTCTTCCATCCTCACGAGTAGACTGGCTGTCCGAAAATTGTTGGACGGCATCATCATCGTGTTCTACTAGCTTCGTACGACAATCACCCACCAGCCGTACAGAAGATGCAACTACCATCACTGCAGGCACGGTCCTTCGCACGGCATGTCGCAAATACCAAAAGGAACATTCCAAACCATCCGGTCGTCAGTACACCACTCGCAAAAATGCTCAATCCAAAGGTATTCGCATAACCACCACCCATGGCGTGCAAGACGATTACAATCATTATCGTACCGTCGCCCTCCAATCGACGCCGGATCGTGCCGTGTCGTTGTGGACCACCGACGTCATGGCCGTGCTACAGGCACATGGATTTGCGCAGGTGGAGCTGGGAGATTTGGGAGAAAACATTAGTGTCGACGGAGTCCCGTACTCGTTTTTCAAAGTGGGACAACAATACACCTTTATTATGGCATCCTCATCATTATCGAGTAGTAGTAGTAGTAGTGCTACTACTTTGGAAAATAGTGATAATGACAAGAATGTCATTCTGGAGATTACCGAACGCATGGAACCCTGTGGAAATCTGTGCAAGTTGCCTTACATCAATGCCGACCATCTCCAACCCAAGGAACGCATCCAAAAATGTCAAGAACTCTTGGCGGTCCTGGATCAGCAGGAGGGGATGCGAGGATGGTATGCTAAAGTCATTCAGGAAGGAACCATCCAACCGGGTGATATTGTTAAAAAGGTATGATAGCTAGTAGATTGCTAATTAGACTGATGTACGAGTCTACGGTAGATATGATAATAGACGAACAACAGATGGCTGCAAGGCGTGGACCAGGCTCCAAAGAATGGACCATAGCGAGAACTATGCATATTCATAGAAGAAAACTGTTTTGGCTGAAAATAAAATGTTAAAACTGGACCTATGGCAATTATTAGAAATCGTAATAACAAGAGTCACTCAGTCAGTCCTATTTCTCTTTCGTTAATTGGAGACTGCACTGCCCCCAAATGTCGTCCATAAACCACTTTATTGAGAAGTGTACGTGTTTATGAGCCTATTGTCTCCTTACTGTGTTCTCCTTTGATCATCCCAAATCCTCCTGCAAGGCCTGTACTGTAAAACGGCTTCTATTAATTAATAGTAGTAAATACAATGTTTTGCTTTTTACATGTTTTGTTTTGCTTTGCTTTTTTCTCGCAAAGCCGTTCTTTTACGGAGGTGCAGTCGGCTTGTGGATGATGCTGCTTGGTGGTGAGGCAAGGGACTGCTGTGGTGGCGGTTGGTGGTACTGAGGCTGTTGCCGTTGAAGAGGTGGCTGCGCGTACTGAGCTGATGGAGTCACGCTATGGTTGGGTTTTGGTGGATTGGAAGGCGGTGCTGGGGGCGGAGCCGAGAATATCGAGGGAACACTGGCCATTGCCGTTCTTTTGGCGCAGTCGGCCTTCAATGTTTGGTTTGTAATAAATGGCTCAGGCATCCCGGATAGCCGACAAGTTGTCTTCCGTATCATCACTTGTTTCTGGTTCGGCTTCATTGGCAGCCTCTTCCTCGTCTACATTTTGCGGCTGGGAATTCTGCCTCCTCTTATGGAGAGTAGTGACGACACCTGCAATAATCTCAATGTTGAAGAGTACAAGATAGGACCCAACTACATAGTAGGCATACTGTGAATTGCCCATGTAGCTCCGTTTTACGGGAGATGTCCACAGCAGAAACAAGGCTGACAAGTGGATGGCAGAACTGAGCAAATAGCCACCAATGACAAAACTTGCCAAAAGAGCGACCCGGTAATATGACTGCCAATGGCGCCAATGCGGGAAGAATGCCAGTGGCAAGTAGAACAAGTGGGTCAATGAAATGATGGCTTGCGAGGCTACAATGCCCTTGCCAGCAAACAACACCAGGAACACCCATGCCAGTAAGAGAATGTGGTGGACCAGCAGCTGGGGCCATCGTTGTGTCATTTGAGTTCGATAGCCCGCCAATAGAGATGACTCGATGATGTTGGGAACAACCACCGATACAAGCACCATCGTGACTGTCAACAAGTGATCGGCATTATAGAGTTGGTGTTCAGGTGGGCCAATGACAGTATTCAGAGTATTGCGAATGAGAAAGGGCGACGTCCCATTGTTGGTGGCAGCCTGCCAAAACTGAGGATTGGACAACCACAAGAGCACATCCAGGGCCATGCGACCGGCTACACCATAATGAATCCATGCTTGGACAATTCTGGGCCGATTCGGCGGTGTCGACGAGGATTGGCCGTCATGGCCGTCATGCGGATGCTTTGCTACAGATCCGTCATGGTGGCTACCGGTACAGGACAATGACTTGCTGCTGGAGCAAATGCTTTCCTGGCTCTCTACGTCCATCTTACACATTGTCCTTGGCTGGGAGAAAGAAACAGGGCTTTCGAGTTTTGGGACGAGCGCCTTTCCCACAACAAGGCTCACAGCTCACAATTATTCCGGTACCCGGTAGTGAAGCAAGGGGGACTCGATTTGAAGAGTTTCCGCCAGTCACGGTTTGGCACAGTTACCAGTCCACAAGAAGTGGCTATGCCTTGCTCCTCAAGAAGTAAGAATGCAGCCCGTATAGTACCTGCAATTGTGCTCCATGCGCTGGCTAGACAGTCCAGGGACGGTCTTTAGAAGCTAAGAATGTCCCGCAAAAGCTGCTGATTTACAATTGGTCCCCATAGATTTTTCGACTAATAAGTGTCGTTTTTCCATCTATCAGCGATGCCGGAAAATCATCTGTTGAAACACGAAACATCGATTGGAAATGCAAGGATAGGACGAAGTAAGTCTCATGGGGAAATCGAATGCGTCGGCGCTGCAAATACTAATAGCTATCCATACCATTGTACTAGCTAGGTTCGGTACATAGCGGAATGTTTTCCTGGTTCCAAACGGATAATTTCCAAGCTGCTCCAACAGCCAACAGCAGTTGTGTCTCGGATGTACGAACATCCACCTGATGGATCTGTTCCATACAAACCCCGAGCTAACTATCCGAGTCTACCGGTACTGTCTACAAGCTTCAGGTGGGAGTCGGAAGCCAGGAAGATCTTTCAAGATCTATCTGGATCTTCCTGGCCGGGACTGCGGAGCCTGCTATGTCCGTTATCCGCGACTAAATCTTTGTACACATCCATTCCTGCTTCTTTTTTGGCGCGACCCATCAACAAAACCTGAGCGTTGTTCTTGCTTATTTGTTGAGTAGCTATTACAAAGTGCCAGTGACGGATGCTGAGGCGATATTATCTCGAGGGAAGCAAAGATCAAGCTGCCGTAAGCCTTTTAAAAGGGTCACCACAGGTATCGAAAGTGGTTAACCTTAAAAGCTCCCGTAGAGTACCAGTGTTCTTTTCAAGGGCATTGACTGAATATTGATTGCATACCTTTGGTCATTTTGCTTTGCGAAAAGATGCCTTTTGTCTAGAGGAATGGCTGGGTAATGGACATGATCCAGGCAAGATTACGGGTGCACCTCAATCGATGATAAATGAATTGGCTGAGCACGAGAGTCCAAGACACTATGTTTTAATTAAAGATTGTAAATTGTAAATCTTGCACCAAGGGGAAGCGAATGACTGCATGATGGCTTGTTTGTCTTCAATGGTAACCAAACACAGAAACGAGCATCGAGAATTTAAAACACCCACGCGTTTTCCCTCCAAGCTATAGTTTCGCTCTAGACTCATTTATAAGAATGCTCTATTGGTTGGGCTCAGTCTCCGACCAGTGAGGGCAATCTGGACCCTCTTTCTCATGAGCTCTTCGGCTCATCAGGATCGAGAGGTTCCTTTTTTTAAAAACAAAGTAGTCTAATAGCAGGGCTGATAAAATCCAGGAAGAATACACTCTTTGACTTGGCGGACCTCTGCTTCTGGATCTCTTGCTGTCTCGGAAGCACAATTTGGGCGCAATCTTCTCTGTACAGTCGTACCACTAGACTATCTACACGTACTCAAAGCAAAAATAATAATCATTCATAAGAATACCCTACTAGCTTGAGTCCTATGGTAGCAATACCACTTTAGTTAGACTTTATCATAAGAAGAATAACTTGTTTGCTGACTTTTGACCCTCTGCTTCTGCCCATGCTTCGGGATTCACAAGTGAGGAACAACCTTCCCTCTGCTTCACAGCAAAAAGGTAAAATTGGGCAATGTTTCGTTCGAAACTTAGACTAGATTTAATTCAGGGTTCAGTAAAATTAAATAATGGTACTAGTAGTCTAGTGTCAGGTTATTCTACCTGTGATAACTTTTTCTTGGGCTCATTTTTCAGAATCTTATGACCAAGTCTAGAGTTTAATGATATGTCAATCATGGGTACTCGCGTTCTGCATGTTCCTCGAGGCAGGAGGCAATCAAATTCTCGCCGGTGTCCGGTGTCATCAACATGGGCTCGCTCAATTCTATTTTTGGCCGATAGACTAGCCAAAAAGGCAGGGGCAGGGTATCCACCACTTTTTCTTCAACCCTCTTTTTTCTCACCATCCAGCTTGGTAGTACTGTAGCTGTCTTTTACAACCCAGCTCGGGCAGCTCTTCTCCACTGTATTGATTGATCTTGACTTGGTAATACCTGTTCTACTATTGATAGCTATCTATCTATCTATCTTGCCTTATCTTAAAAACAAGCAGAAGAAGAAGCAGCACCAGTGCCATTTTTCTCAAAAGACCGACCACCACACAACAACAACAATCCCCTCTTTATTGCTACTAGACTATTGGAGACATTGAATATTCTATTGCCCGCTGTTTTTGTTATCTACAGCTTCATTTATTCATCTATCCAACAACCAATATACAACAACACAACAAGCAACTAGCAAGCAACCAACTAATTCCAAAGATGACCAACTCGACGGGCCCGAATGTCCCTATTATGCAGTACGGCTACCGCGACGATGACGACGATGACTCGGAAGACGAATCGCAGCGCATGGGTGGTTTCTTGGGTGGCGTGTTGCGTGGCAGCAGCGGCAATGCCGATCGACCCGGCATGAGCACGCTGGCGGCCAAATTGGGCGGTTCCTTCATGGGAAGTTTCAACCATGGGAGTCAACGAGGAGGCTTGAACCATGAAGAAGACGATTATGACCATCATCACAACAAGCAGTGCAAAGGCAATGAAGACGACGAGGATGACTCGGACGACGATTCACAAAGCAGTCACGAATCAGTGGCGCAAAAGGCATCGAAAGCACTCAAGAAAGTCGGGCAGAGTCTTCGACTCGGTAGACGAAAAGACGATGAGTCGTCTTCGGAAGAAGAAGACTCGGATGATGATGAAGACGAGACGGAAGAAGACGAAGACGACGACGAAATGAGTAGTTCTGTCAAGTCGTTTGCGTCTCGTACTCTTTCCAAAGTCACTGGCAAGGTATCCAATGTGCTGCGGCTAGGACGACGCAGTGACGACGATGACAGTGACAGCGACGATGATGAAGAAGAAGACCCGCTCTCTGCCGACTTTAATCCTCGAACTAGCACGGGCTCACACACGAGTCATTCGGGATCATCTCTCCACATTCCCGGCGACAATAATAATAATCCTCGTCACAGTCGACGTCGCAGCAACGAACGAGAATCCGCCAATAATAATCGAAGGAGCAGCAACGAACGAGAAAAACCATCGCTGTTTACACGATCCTTGACATCCTCTGCCAATCCGTCATCCAAAGGAGGCCTCTTTCGACGATCCAGCAACGAACAACAAACACCACCTAGCAGTGGTTTGCGTCGCTCCAACACCACACAACCCGCACCCACAAAAACATCGCCTCGTCGGACACGAAGTGGTGATGGATCACCGACACGAGGCAACCTTCGTGTCAGTCGCAATCGAGGTGCCGTTACACCAAAGGCTGCGGCAGTTGCGTTGGCGGCAGAAGACGGCGTCGCTCTCAAACTCGCCGTCTCTGCCACCAAGAAAAAACCCACCCGTCAGCGGTCGCACGGTCGTGTCACGCCCAAAGCCGCCGCACAAGCGTTGGCGGCCGAAATGAGTGACGAATCGTCGTCCAACAACAACAACAACAAGCATTTCAACCCTGCCGCACAATACGGCGCTCCTGCTAGTAGTAGTACTACTGGTGTACCCGATTGGAGCATGAATGTCACGGAAGCCATGCTGGAACAAGCCATGTCCGATACTGCCGAAGAGGATGGAAAATTCAAAATGAATGTACCCAAAAATCTACTCAAGGAAAAAATCCCCAATGGCAAAAATATTCGAACGTAACGAGCACCAGAACAATGCCACACAAAACAAAAAGAGGCAACAACAATAGGAATACAAAAAGGAGAAGAAGAAAATAAATCAACACGACACTGCCGCGCAAAATAAATGCTCTCGACACGGCCGGAATGTCCTTTGGAAGGAACCATCCAAATGGTCGTCACAAACACAACACACACAACAAGAATGCGATTTGCGAACGAACGAGCGAGCGGTAGGTTCGTTCCTTTATATATATAATATTGCATGTAATAGCAAACTGAATATCATATCATATCAAATCAATAGCAAGAAAAATCCAACAAGAGAGTTGGTCCCCCGAAAGGGGGGGCATGTAGGTACCGTACGGCTGGATTCAAGTCGATTCAAGAAACGATTGCGGTAGGCACGAAAGACTGATCAGGACATTACGAACCGGACGGAGCATGACGGGAAGGCAATCGCTTCGCAACGGCCTGAAAGAGTGATCGGAACAGAAGCCGGTCACAGACAGCACGAGGGAGACATCCGTCGAAACTGCAGGGTTCCAAACCCGAAGGAAAATTTGAGTAATGGTTTCTACCTACCTCAATGACACAAGTAAGTGCCGACAATACACATCCGACAGGAAGCTGAATTTCATCGAACCGACAAACAGACTACAACGGATCTCTAGCTAGGGAGCACCTCGACCCCGTCGCAACGACCAAGTTCGGCCACACGGTTGCAACGTTGGCATCATCCATGCCCTCCGATTCCTGGTCCTTCGAAATCGATCCACGATGACCGCTACAAACCAAAAGCATCCCTGTGCACTGAACGAAGTCACACCTGACAGCTGGATTCCAAGAGCAGAAGGAGCTGGAACTACCAAATGAAGGGATCACCGGAAGCGTCCTTTTAGGAAAGGAAATCACTTCATGTCCGAAAATGAATGGCATCACCGAGTCTGGTCCTAAGCGACAGCACTTACTTGTATCGAATAAGTGTCACTGTCTCGCGCAATTTCGTTGGGAGAGATTTCAAAACATGCAGTCGAGCGTGGCCCTTGGTCTCTTCCACGTTGGAAAGTACGTTCAGCCCGACAAGAAAGAAAGGTCCCTCTGAGTGACACGCTGATACTTACCGTAGCCCTGCTTGAGCATCACATCACAACAATCAACGCAACCGTGCCAGTTATTCTGCGCCTGTCTCAGTGGGAGTTGCGTACAAGAAGTACGGGTCAGCCTGCAAACCCAGCTTGTCGTGGCGTCTCTGGTTGGACCAGGTCTTTAGAAATCCAAACAAACGATGCCAAATATCTCCACATTTTCAAATGATCGGCCAAGCTACGGCCAAATCTGATGGCAATCAGGTACTAGACTAGTACCATGATAACCAGCAGGTCTTTTGGATGCTTTGGGCAATTGTGTGGAGACCACGCTATGATCTCAGCAAACCTCATCTTATGGATCCCGGCTGTCAGCCAGTCAGCAGCATCATGCAAACCTTGCAGGAAGGAGAGGCCATTGAACTTGAAACATAGGCAACTGACAATGATATCGACTTGACTGCCATTTGGGATGAAGAAACAGCTCTGACAAAACAACACATTTCTTACCCTCATTTTTCTTTGGCCAGGTAAGGTAACCCGAGGTCAATTGCATAGTTATGCTCTGCATGAATGAGTGGGGTGCTACTTTGGCAATCAATGGCAGCTATCTAGCTAGCAGCTTCTTGCACAAGATGGCAGCAGCATTTGTCGATCTCTGGATGCTCATAGTGCTCACTCTTAGTTTAGTTTAAAAAGCTCACTTTGTTGCAGTCAATCCTTTAACCATGTCAATCTAGTCTTATGGCGTTCTCGTAGTAGCCTCCATCTGGACAATCTCAACTCCAACATATGCATTGCACCCGGCTCTCCTTTTCCTCGCTGCAACAACTTGTTGCTTCTACTCACAGTCACGGCAGTATTGGCGATGTCATCAACATAGCGGCTGTATCGCCAGTTCGTGCTCTCTTCAAAGGTCGAGATGGTGATGGAGGGGCCAAGTTAGGATAGACCGTTTGAATGCTTCGATTTTGTGTGAGAGAAACCCAGATTTGATCCAAGCGTTCGACTTGCGATGGCTCACTATTGGCGACATATACTGATTCTCAGCTCTGGTATCGTGCTGGACAAGACAAATTGTAGCTACTTTCACCTTACATAGCGGTTGTATCGCCAGTTCGTGCTATCTTCAAAGTTCGAGATGGTGATGGAGGGGCCAAGCTAGGATAGACCGTTTGAATGCTTCGATTTTGAGTGAGAGAAAACCAGATTTGATCAAAGCGTTCGACTTGCGATGGCTCACTATTGGCGACATATACTGATTCCCAGCTCTGGTATCGTGCCGGACAAGACAAATTATAGCTACCAAAAGTGCAGTAGCCGTCTGTCATGATTGACGTGTCGTGCATCGAGGTATCCGCTATGGTCGTTGAAAAATTCCATTAGGCGGTGTTTGTTCTTACTGTCCGGGTGAAGGATGATTAGAACCGTTTTGTCTCCTCCATGGTGAATGAGCATTTTGATTGCGTATGGATCAGTGAGCATGTAGCTAGCAATAAACTTATTTATCAATTGCAGCAAAAAGTGAGTATTCTAAATATAATTTACTGGGATTGACAGAGTCAACCCATCAAGCCACAGTTCTGTTGCCTCGTGCACAGTCGAATTCACTGGCGCTTGAGCTAACACCCAGGCAAGACCACGTAATGGATGACGGGCGGGGAGATCTGCGGGCTGCGAGTCCCTTGGTCTTGGTGCTGCAAAGAAGGAACGGTCCAAGGTAATATCAATTCCTTCGTGCAGCGTCTTCAGTCGTTGATTAAACCAACCGAATCCTAATCTTCTGGTGTCAAGGAATCGTAATATTCACGAACATCGTCATCGCAGTCGTCTTCGGCCTGAAATGCAGCACCATAGCCACCGTCGTCACTGTCGTTATCGTCACTCATCACAGGCAAGTACTAGCAAGTTTTAAAATACGGTATGTTTAATGTTTAATGTGGGTTGCTTTTGTGGTGGAGTGGCCTGAAACCTGAAACCTCAAACAAGTGCATTTTCTCGGTGTACTTGTGTGCGTACCGGTACATGTTTAAAAATGTGGTCTCACCATGAGTGGGGAACTTGTTAAATCCTTCAGCGCCGTTTTGCAGGGAAGTAGTAAATTGTTTGCGCTCACATTTTCAAGGGATTTACACCGTCGAGTCATTGAATTTGGTACAGTATGGCACGATACAGCGTACGGATTCGCGATCTTGCTTTTATGATGCTTGTCAACCCCGAACGAGGAAACTCCAGGCGACCACGGAGACACCAAGAGTCCGATTCGAGAGTTCTAGCTAGGTAACACCACTGAAACCATCATCCTTCACTTATTGGAAGCTTTGCAGTGAAGATTCATTGGCTCCACTAAGCTGACTTTACTGTGGCAATTTCCCCACAAAACAAGCCACTCCCGGCACCACTGTCCCCTGTGATTCAGGAAGACAAAGAAAGTGTAGATTTAAAGAAAGCTCCCTATTTTATAAGTTAGTGAATTGGGAGAGAGTTCAAAACAAGCAATCGAGGGCGGCCTTGATGCATGTTGGAAAGTACAGTACATTCAGCCCAACCCGAAAAGAAAGGACCATCTGAGTGCCCTGTTTGTACTGTTACACAAAGGTTCGAAAGTTCGTTTGGCTGTGGTTAGACTAGTGAAGGTTTTCCCAAAAAATTTGGGTGTGGTTGTCAAATTTGTCAAATATTCGAGTCTTTTGGTGTGCGGACGTCGTCATTGCTGCCCTGCATCCAATTGCAAAACATTCAGGTAGATGCGGTAATTTTATAATAAATACAAAACTAAACGTTACCTCAACTACGCTTCAAAAGCAGTCTTTGGCTGAGAGCAGTTTCTCTCTCAGGAGGATTCGATTCCCACTTCGGTTCGTGGCGTCCGAACCGAGGGCACGTGTTGCTGTTTTGCGTTACGATCGGGTGATCGGGTTTCTTCTCCAAGGCCAGTTGTGAGAAGAGGATGCTGGGAAGATTGAATAGCACTATTGCGACTCAGCCAAAGTAAACAGGTTCAGCACAATGCTCAGACACAACGACCTTAGGCATGGCCACGATGGTACGATGGTACATTTAGTATAGTCTAGATTGCATTGCATCCTTTGGCTGGTGTGGGAGCTCACAAAACTATCTACCTCACAATAATTACATTATCAAAGGAAAACACAAAATGACAGTTTCATCCATTTCTCCCAAGACATTTGCTTTGTATATGCTCAACAATGGCTTCCTTAGTGGAATAGCATACCTTGCCTTGCTTCTTGGAAATCAGTATGGATACATGGGAATACTGATTGGTTGGACTTTTCGTTCTCTCTTTCTTTGTTGGTGGCTCACCCATGGGGCCCCTGCCTTGGGCATTGTGCACAGAATGTATCCAGTGAGTTCTTCTGACGAGGAACCTCTTCTGCCTCAAATCCTGATCATGATAAGGGGTGGTGCATTGGAGTCCCTTTTGATTTACATGGTGTGTCACTGGGAAGGAATTCGTGCTGGATCACAGGATGAAGCTGCTTCTTTCTTGCTCCAATTCGCAACCTTCATTCCCAAGTCTTTCATTTGGGAGCTCATTTTTGACTTTGGCCACTATTGGACACATCGAGCTTGTCATGCAAACATGACATTGTACAAGTATGTCCACTGGGACCATCACCAGCATGAGAAACCTGGTGCCCTATCAAGCTTTCGTGTATCCATCCCAGAGCTTCTTTTCAGCATCCTGCTCCCAGCGGCAGTGGCTTTTTGTCTCTGTTTCCAACGGTTTACCTTGTTCCAGCTCCATCTGATCTTTACCTTCAAGACTGCTGTTGAGATTGGTGGTCATTCTGCCATTGAAGGTGATGACTTGTTCTCATTCCCCCAGGCTGGACCCTTGCTAAGAGAGATTTGTCTCGGACCAGGAGACCATGACCTCCATCATCGGCAAAGGCAATTCAACTTTTCAAAGCGATTCCGGCTTTGGGACATGATCTTTGGAACTTTCAAGGAGCCAAAGTCAAAAGCAGTCTAGTCCCTTTTTGTCATGGGCCCCCACGCACTCGTTGTCGGGGTGCCATACATTTCTACATAGCACAATAGACCATAGAGAATCAATGTATATATAGATTGTTCATGATGGGATCTAGCTTGCTAGTGGTATATTCAATTTCTTTTCGACCAAAAGGGGGTTTCGATGTTGTACCTAGTTGCATTCGATCTCCCAGTCAATCCATGGCTGCAGCTAATCCGTTTTCTTGCTTGCTCGACTGCCCATTAAAGGCCCAGCCAATACCAATGATGCCCTGTCTGGTGGCGATTGCCCTAAAAGCATGATGCTTGTTTGTCAAAAAGCTGCTCGACAAAGACACAGAGTCGATCAGCCTTCGCCTTAGGCAAAGAAGCGGCGATATTTGGGACTGGAGCAGGGGCGACAAACTGAGAACCAACACGGATAGCGTACTTCATGACTACCTATAATCTATTATCATCATGGGACCTGTTTCGATTCCACCAGAAGTTGGCTTGGCTATTCTACTATAGTCAAGTTCCTTTCCTCGTCCCAATCATTTCCAATGATCCGTTTTGCTGCTCTCCCGATACGTCCCATCAAAATGCCACAAGGGCCGAACCAAAGCCTCTCGATCGTCAATCCAATCCGTTTTGCTGCTCTCCCGCTATTTCCAAAAAAAAATCAACTCGCAAGCAAACAAGTTTCTGAAGAAAGCTCAGCCACAACAACCTCAATCACAAAAACGCGATCGGGTCGGCGTTCGCAGGTTGGATTAATCATTCGGATCGACTCCCGCGTTTTTTGCTCAACCTCGTTCCTAGCAGCGCCATCCGCGCACAGCAACCCACACACCTTCGAGCTTCCAGTGTGCTTCAAGAGGTAAATCGGCGACAGTGTTCGAATACGATAGGCCACCTTGTACCGCATGGGCAAGATAATTGTGTCCCTTGCATTCTTGGGATTTGGAGCTCACAAAACTTTCTACCTCACAATAATTACATTACCAAAGTTAAACACAAAATGACAGTTGCATCAATTTCTCCCAAGACATTTGCTTTGTATATGCTCAACAATGGCTTCCTTAGTGGAATAGCATATCTTGCCTTGCTTCTTGGAAATCAGTATGGATACATGGGAATACTGATTGGTTGGACTTTTCGTTCTCTCTTTCTTTGTTGGTGGCTCACCCATGGGGCCCCTGCCTTGGGCATTGTTCGCAGAATCTATCCAGTGAGTTCTTCTGATGAGGAACCTCTTCTGCCTCAAATCTTGATCATGATCAAAGGTGGAGCATTGGAGTCCCTGTTGATCTACCTGGTTTGTTACTGGGAAGGAATTCGTGCTGGAGCACAGGATGAAGCTGCTTCATTCTTGCTCCAATTCGCAACCTTCATTCCCAAGTCTTTCATTTGGGAGCTCATTTTTGACTTTGGCCACTACTGGACTCATCGTGCTTGCCATGCAAACATGACAGTGTACAAGTATGTCCACTGGGACCATCACGAGCACGAGAAACCTGGAGCCCTTTCAAGCTTCCGCATGTCCATCCCAGAGATTCTTTTCAGCAATGTACTCCCAGCAGTGGCTGCATTTGGTCTCTGTTACCAACGGTTTACCTTGTTCCAGCTCCATCTGATCTTTACCTTCAAGACTGCTGTTGAGATTGGTGGTCATTCTGCCATTGAAGGTGATGACTTGTTCTCATTCCCCCAGGCTGGACCATTGCTAAAAGAAATTTGTCTGGGACCAGGAGACCACGATCTCCATCATCGGCAAAGGCAATTCAACTTTTCAAAGCGATTCCGGCTTTGGGACATGATCTTTGGAACTTTCAAGGAGCCAAAGTCAAAAGCAGTCTAGTCCCTTTTTGTCATGGGCGCCCATGTTCTACATAACACATAGACCATAAAGATAACACAATAGAGAATGAGCGTGGACGTGGATTGCTCATGACGAGACCTATCAAGCTAGTGCTAATATTATATTTCATTTTCACCCGGTGGTGGCTTGGCTGTTGCATTCTGTGTCCCGTCAACCCATGGCTGGTGCCGCTCAAAGGTATTTTGGAACTCCTCGATGACGCCCAGCCCGGTGCATGGTGGTGGTGGCAATTGGTGCCCTAGCTAGCATGATGTTTGTTTGTCAAAATGCTGCTCACCAAAGACACAGAGTCGATCGGCCTCCGCCTGTTGAATGGCAGCCTTTTCGTGACAATGACTGTATCCCATGGATGCCTCGGCAATCAATTCGACATCCACTTCCTTTTCGCGTTGCTGCATTCGTTGTTCCCGAAGGACAGCGGCAACCAATTGCTTGCGTCGGATTTGAGATTCCAATGGATTCAAACTCTTTTCCAATCCTCGAGTGCCACGGGGATAGGCCGATGTTCCGCCAATTAGAACATCTCTCACAATGGTGCCCATTTCCAATCGGATCTGGCGCATCTCTTGTAGGGACCAAAAGGCTGCTTGCTTTTCTGCGGGAGTGACCACCGCCGTGGTCTTCTTGTCGTCTTTGGCGATCGTCTGCTCTTGAAAGTGGACAGATCGTCGCGCGCGTTTCTTCTTGTTGACTTTGGGCGGACTGGTAGCTGCAGCGTGCCAATGGTCGGGGAGGATGGTGCTTGGAGCAACCAAGCTGTCATGGGTGGTTGTTGTGATTGGGGTTGCGGCCACTGTGGCAAAGAGGGGTTCTCTTCCATGCTGTCTTGAGAGACAACATTGTCGGTAGAACAAGCACTCTGAAATAACATCTCGCCAAGCTCCTTGCTATCCTTGTGGTTCGTCATCGTCTTCTCACGCAAAGAGGACTGCCGTACTGGTTGTGGTTATGGAAAAAATTGTGTGTCGGATCGTGGTTGTCGGAACGAAGTCCGCGAGCCGATTTCCCGCCAAAAGCACGTCAAGTTCGAGTTCAAACACTTCAGCTATCCACATGTACCGGTACTCTTTAGCTCTGGCTGGCTGAGCTCTATTCGTAACGTACGAAGCAACAAGAACGCTGCAGGTATAAGTTTGCCTTCAATCTCTCTCTTGCTATAGCTAGTTAGCTAGCCTGTGGGCTCAACCTACCGTAAGACGAGTACAGCTCTAGCTACCCGTAGAACCCATTTCGCTCTTCGTGCATGGATGTAGAGGAGGACCTGATATTCCACCAGACCGGCTAATACCATCAAGGCAGAAGAACAGCCCCTCGCCGAATCAGCGCATGTGGACAAAATTCGCAACTAACCGAAGCAGTAGCTTCTCTTCAAAGAATAGCTAGCTACTTGTAGTTTAGAAGTTGCAATCCCTGTCCGTGTGCGGCGACAGAAGCGTGCCCCGGTTCTTCTTGATTGGCAAAAACTAATGGTCGAGTTGTCGATGACATTGCTGATTCTATTGAGATTCTACTTCACTCCATCAGGACCCAATACTATTTTCCCTATTTTCGTGGATTGTCTTTGATGCTGAAATTCCTGGGCTTTTGGTTCCTGCGCCCCCCTCTCAGTCGGCGTATTCTAGCTCTCTCACGGCCTCTGTTGGAGTCCTGCTGTCGTCGTGTGCCATCCCGTTGCTGTCGCCCTCGATTTCTTGCTCTCGGTGCCAATGTTGGGAGCTCAGTGTCCTCAAAATCGTCGTCATCGCCCAGCCATGTTGGCTCGAGCGTGGGGATTTTCGTGGGATTGGGGGCTGCCGCCACTGGAGTGCCGGATGTCGTACGTGTTATCGCATCAATCCCTGCTGTTCTGCCACCCGGGATCATCGTGGCCTCCATCAAAAGGTCCGGATCCAAAGTTTCGGGGTCTTCGCCGAAAATGGCAGCTGGTTTGAACCCTGTCATCACTGTGGGGGTCAACCCAATGTCTGCCAAGGCTGATGGTGGGATGGTGTCCTTTGGAGGCCTCTCCATTGATGGTGGTATGGTGCCCTTTGGAAGCATCATAGACGGTGGTATGGTTTGTGCAGCAGTTTGTTGAATTGATGGTGGCAGGGTTTGGGGCGTTTCTGTCGTTGCGCCTCCAGTTGTTGGCGTTGCGGTCTCTGGTGGATTCATAGTCCCATCATCTCCTGGAGTCACGGTTGGCATTGCCGTATCCATGTCTTCGTCGTCCTCAGGCGCTGGACTCGTTGGTGTCTCTGAGAGACTGGTGATGGAGAAAATGTTGTTGATCATTCCAGCCCTTCGTAGATCTGATATGCGGCGATTTAGTTCAGCCCGCAGGGCATTCATAGATGGGGCTGCTGGACTGGGATCGTCAACATTGTCACTCAGTGCAGGACAGAAACAAACGTCTTCATCCGGAAAACGTGACATCTGCATCTGTAGACCACGGACTCGTGAAGGATTAGTTTTCACTGGAGTGCCCGATGTTCTGGATGGCTCTGGATGATCACGTGTCCGTGGCAGCATTTCCAGGAAATGTAAGCTACGCCTCATGTTTGCAAAGATTGAAAACCAGCCATTGTTGTTGACAGGACAGTCTCTGCAAGTTGCTGCTACTTGAAAAAATGCAGGGTCTGTCCCTTGTGGCACCACTAACAAAGTGTCATCCGTCATTCTGAAATATCCATCACAGTTGGCAAAGGAGAGGTCATTGTAAACTTGTTCGAATAAAATGCTGAGAATGGCGTTTTCCATGCCAGATAAAGCCGTTGCATCCCCATCAAACTCAACAAGAACGTAGGTGAGGAAGTCTTCAATGTTGGAGTTGCATGTTACCTGCACTTCCTCATCAAGGGGAACCTCTTCCAGAGCCACCACACGACCCACATTGGTGACCGTGCCCTCCTCAACTAACCTCTCTATGTCAGCATTATAGGCAAATACAAATTCCTCTTCTGATGGTGCATTGGGTTCCAGATCTTCCTGCCTCAATTGTAGAGTCCGCCCAGCACCCTGCTCAGGACAAGTACAGACATCGGATGCAACCAAGTCATCAGTGCTTCCAATGAAGTCAGCAGTAGATTGCTGCAGCCTCCTCCGTCTCCGAAAGCTATCATCAAAAAGAGAAAATGTTCCTTTCATAGAAAGCCAGGACCAAAACATACATGTGGTTAGAAGCACATGCCACTTCACAGTATATTTAAAAGATATAGGAGACGAGAGGCTGAATTACTTCTTACCAGTACTTGTAACGGGGCATGCACGGCAGGTTCCAGTCACCATGGCAAATGAGCTGTTTGTTGGGGGCGAGGAAGAATCATCTTCAGTATCCTCCAGACGGCGCCGTCCCCGTCGCTCCCCTGGGACAAACAAGGCAACACTCTCAATACCTCGAAAGTATCCATCACAATTTGCAAAGGTAAGCCCTGTGGATGCAGCGCGGAGGACATGTGAGCAAAAATGGTGGACTCATGGAATCAATGCAAGGCAGCTTGATATTGCAGCAACGTCTGTCTTGACGAATCTGGAACATGTGGGTGCGAACTATTTACCATTGTATGTTTCCTGAAAGCTGTTTTCCAGTGCGATTTGTTCGGGACCTGTCAAAAACTGTGGATTACCACTGAAAATGAGGCCCACAGAAGAACGAAAGTCTTCAACGTTTGCACTACACACAATTTCTTCCACTGGCTCCTCGCCTTCACAGTAATCAAAGTACTCTTTCCTAGACTTTGATTTGCTCTTGCTTCTTGACTTGCTTTTGGAACCATGATGTAGTGATTTGTGCTTGTATTTGTTCCCCTTCTTGGTGCCTGATTTTCGGTGTTTGTAGTGGTGGTACTTTTTCCCTTTGCTGCTCTTTTTGTCCTTTCGGTACTTTTTGTTGGCTAGGCTGATGCAGGATACTCCCTCAATCTCATCGTCATCAGCACTGTCATCATACTCAAGAGAGTGATCCTTCTGGTAGTGATCATCATTGTGGTAGAGGTAGGGGTCGTAGTGTCTTCGACCGTACTTTGGCACATTGCGACGTTTTCCTTTGGAAGATTTCGAATAGCCTGCACTAATCTTGTGTCGCAGTCTACCTCCATTCCAGCTGGACAGAGTCCGCATGTGATCCCGGCGAGCCATCATGTCCCCAAGTACCCAGTTGGTTAATTCGTTTGGGTCTTGATCGTTGTTGCTCTCTGAGATACCCGTGGCTCCTACCAATGCCGCATGCCTGCACAGCAGCAATGCCCCCACGACAACGATCCAAAGGCCCATTTTCGTCGATCCCATTTTCATGTCCCTGTTACGTGCCACTGATGGCAAGCGAGCTAATAGTATGCCATAGAGTTTGGCTGTGAGAGACTGTGGTGAGCTTGATGGCAACAACGGCAACAACCCCAAATTTCGGAACTCAACGTCAATATTATGGAGGAAGTATCCGTGAGCAAGGCAACCAGGCGCTGTGTATTTGCAAGCAGATCTGAAGGCTTCTAGATCTTCACCCTGCCCTTGAAACCTAATCTTATCCCCAGTTTTAAGAATGAGTCGATCGGACAAGAATCCTAGCTAGCCACCGTAGTGAGCACCAATCCAACAAGAAAAAGATCTGCCCCTCTCTCACTTTGCCGAAAGCCAAAACCAAAACCGACCTCATCAATAAACCAAATTGACTGTCACTGGAAGCTAGCTAGCAATAAGATGATGTCTTCTGGAGGCCCCAAAGACAATGAGAATCCTACGATCCATGCGGTGGAGAAGGCAGACGATCATCAGAAGAAGCGTCCTTTGGGTTGGTCTCAGTTGAATTGTCTGCACGTGGTGGCCCCGCCACATATACACAAGGAAGACGAAGAAGGCAAGGACGACGAGGAGCTGTGGTTGTCGTCTATGGATCGATCCGTCTTGCATGCCATTGTGGATACATGGGAAGCGTCTCGTGGAGAAGGAGTCAAGCTCTTGCGCAAGGCGGGTGTAGGAATTCCCCCATTTACCGCTTCCACTACAGCTAGTTCTCTACTGGTTTCATCTCCACCTCGCTTTGTCCCCGCCACCACCAAGACCGGCCAAAGTACATGTAGCGAAAAACAAGACCCAAAAGGACACGGTCGCGATGCGATTACAGCAGACGAAATTTTTGACATTATTCGCAGCATTCAAGATCCAGAGCATGCCGGGGTCACCCTAGAACAGTTGAGGGTGGTCAGCAGGGCTCAGATCCAAGTCAATGATGTCATGGATGCCAATTCCAATGGAAACAGCAACCCAAAAATAGATACACTCGACCTGTCAGCTGATCTCTCCTTTGTCTCTGTCCGATTCACGTAAGTTGAATATATCTACCATCTATTTGGTTTTGGTGCAGTCATTGGTTTGGTCGCCTCATCGCCTCATCATTCGTACACTTTTCTTTTGCCTCTTTTCCCCCTCAATAATTGTAGACCCACCATTCCGCACTGTTCCATGGCCACTCTCATTGGTCTCAGCATCAAAGTCAAGCTCATGCGGTCTCTCCCCAAACGATTCAAAATTCACGTGGCCATTGAACCAGGGACACACAACTCGGAATTGGCAGTATCCAAACAACTCAATGACAAGGAGCGAGTAGCGGCGGCACTAGAGAATGCGCATCTGTTGGGAATTGTCAACAAGTGTATTCGAGAAGGAATGGTCTTGTAAGTAAGTATTGAATAAGCAGTGCCACAGGTACACAACCATAAAAAAATTTCTGATTATAGAAGCATCATGAGCACTATCAACATGCGGGGGATGGTGGCTGAACTCGAGTATAGCCTGCAACTATGCCAGCTGGCGGCTACATGTACAGGACTTGCGGCATTAATATAGCAAACAGAAACGAAGTGGTGTGTAGACGGCCAGATTGATATTCGGCCACGTCGGTCGCCTTCCACACTGCATGCACCGGTAACTACACCACACCACAACGCAAGACCATCACTGTGGGGGCTGCGGGTTGCGTAGATGTTGACGTCCTCTTTTCTTCTAAGCCTACTACGCTAAGATGATGTACGGTTGGCATAAAAAGGCCCCGATCGGCCAAACGAAAGCCAGCTCCAAAAGGTTGATTGATTGATTGATTGAATGAATGAATTAGTCTATGAATTGTTGTTGTTGTTGTCATTGTTGTTGTCTCCACCACCACCGTTATTGGTGGACGCCCGATAGAGTCTGGAAATGTATCGTTGTCCGGGCGCATTGCAGCATCGAAAGAGACCCAAATCTTGGCAGACACCACACCACGTGAAATCGGCCACTTCATCGGGTCCGGGTACGGCAAATAAAAATCCCACCATGGTTAGCACCAGCGCCAAGAATAGCCAAATCATGGCCCACAGCGTATGCGTGCCCCCCTTGATATCGGCCATGGTATGAGCATCAGTTCCTCCCGACGCCTCTCCATTGACAACATGATTAGTCCCAAACAAATCTTGGACACTGGTAATGGCATTCATACAGGTCGTGACGGCCAAGCAGATGAACACATTGCGCATGTGCGTCGATGGCAGTTTCCACGCCACGCATCCGAGGACAAATCCGAGCAATAAAATAAAACAAATGCCAAAGGCATTGCGAATCCAAATCAAGACACTCAAAATCATCATGAATGCCAGCGCCATGGTCCAAAATCGCGGTCCTCGTTTGGTGCGTCGGCACACCAGTAGCAAACAGCCAATGACGGCCGTGCCTTGATATCCCGCCGACACGACAAATCCACGACGACTTCCCTTGACAGCCGTCGTGGCCAATCCACTGGTATCGGGAAAAATTTCCAATTTGACGATACTGCCACCCGCCAAAATAGCCGCCAACCCGTGACACAATTCGTGAATCCACGTGGAAAAGATGGAGAAGGGATACAATGCCCATTTGATGAATGGAATATTCAAGACAATCAAAATGAGGAGGGTAATCAACAAGAGACGACCGTCGCGTTGAAACGTCCCCCAAAAGTATTCTCCCCATGTTTGTTCCGATGCCGTTGCCGCTGCTGATTTGGTCCGATTGTCGTTGCCCGTATTCACATTGGCAGTCGCAATAGCAATAGGAGGTGCCGCTGTTTCCGTGCCCACCGTCACGGGTTGGAGATTGTTGTTGTTGGGTGCGGCTTGATTCTCCACGTCCACGGCCCAACCGGGAAGGGCTTCGTCGTTTGTCTTGACAGTAGTGCTACTGCTCTTGTTGTTGTTGCTGGGAGAGGGCTCGGACAGCCATTCTGGAGTACCCGATGCCATGGTCTACTACTAATAGTCTATTGATGAAGTCTGTCTTGGTTTGTTGAAATATCTTCAATCGGTTGTGCTCAGACGTGATTATGATTTATGACCTTGTTATTAGGGGGTTGGAAGCAAGAAGGATCAAGGACGCGCGGGAACACAAGAAAACAGAGAACACGTACCGTATGCAATTTTTGAATAGAATCAATTTGGCGGACCACTTGTCTACTGTGCTGCTACCGGGTGCCCTAAACTGATAACATGGGGGCAGAGAGATTTGACCCCACCAGCCAGGGAAATATTAATAAAAGTCAACATATGAAGTTAAGGGACATGGGTCGCCTCGTGATTGACCATCCTCGTTGCTGCCATCATCAGCACTGCTACTAGCTCTGCTACAACCATTGTCTATTGTAACAGTGCCCGAATCCAAAACAATGTCAGACTCAAATGCAATTCCTATAATCTAAAGTGTGGCTTCAGAAAACAGCTGCAAGTTATCTGTTTTTTAACAATGATTCAGTAATTATTGGCAATAAAACTAATTAAACTAGTAAAAGTAACAAAATATATAAATATATAAAATAAATAGATTATAATAATACAACTAATTTATGTAATATTAAAATATTTTTCTGTTATATAACACAAGTTTTTCTACAAACTAATATTATTCACAAATATTAAAATATATCTAAAATAAAAAAGGATAAATCCTTTAATTTTGCTCTATTTTTAATTATTTTTAATTGAGAAACTAAAAAACAATTTAATGATCTATTAAAATCATTCATGTCGCCAGTGGGTATACCCCAAAGTGTGACCCCAATACCCACTGGCTAAGTTGTCTAATTAAATTAATGAAATACATCATTGTGAGTATTCTCTTAAACGTCATGCAAAAACGTCGTGCAACAATGTCATGTAAACAAGTCGTGTAAACAAGTCGCGTAAACAAGTCGCGTAAACAAGTCGCGTCAACAAGTCGCGTAAAAATGTCGTGCAAAAATGTCGTGCAAAAATTGTCGTGCAAAAATGTCGTGCAAAATGTCGTGCAAAATGTCGTGCAAAAATGTCGTGCAAAATGTCGTGCAAAATGTCGTGCAAAATTTCGTGCAAAATGTCGTGTAAAATTTCGTGCAAAATTTCGCGTAATGTTGCTAATTGCCACACAGCGTAACTTTATCACGAATGTAATTTTGATGTCATATGGAATTGCAAAGTTATCTTAAATTTCGCGTAATATAGTTGTATTCGTATGTCATGCAGCTCATTGTCGCATAATACAGTAGCTATATTCTTATGTATGAGAGCTAGATTCTCGCGTGTTTAAGCTAGATTCTCGCGCGTTTGAGTGAGATTTTCGCGTGTTTGAGTTAGATTCTTGCTTGTTACAGCTCGACTCTTATATTTTTGAAATTCATACTCGCATATTTCAACTTTGTTGTTAAGCAAAACTTCTATGTCAGCGAAATCTCTTTTTGGCACACACGTAAGAGAAATATATTCTCGTCGCGTTATTTTTGCTTTATTGTCTTGTGAAATACATTGGTTGTCGTATCACACTTGTGCAAGAGCAAGAGCTATATTCTTGCATATTTTTAGATTGCTCGTATTATGTAATGCAAACGACTTCAATGTCGCGTGATAGAATTACATTTTTCATATTAGAGCTAGACTTTTGTGTGTTAGAGCTGAATTTTTGCTTGTTTTCGCGCATTAGAGCTATGTCTTACATTTTCGTGTGTTACAGCTACATTCTTCTTGCATGTTAGAATTATATTCTTGTGCATTTTAGATTGTCTTTATGCAAATTTCAGTTCTCTCTTCTAAATGTCACACACACGCGTTGCAGAGCTACTTTCTCATATGCTGTGTATTAATGCATGAAAAAATACTTTTTCCGCGTTTTAGTTGTGTCTATATCATGACAGAGTACATGTTGGTTTTTAGAGTGCTTCCTTGTGTAGTATTGAGTGCCGCTCTCGCATGTCATTTTGACTAATACATTCTGATGAGTATTTTAGCTTTGTTGTTGTATTCTAGTAGTCTCTTCTAGTACACATGTGAGAGAACTATTCTCGTTTGTTTTAGTAGCTTTATTATCATGTGAAATACATTATCTTTGTTATGATATTACACGAGTGAGAGAGCTAGACTTTCGCGCGTTTTAGCTTTGGAAGTACTATATCATTGTGCAATTTGGCTTTGGTGTCAAGGAGTGTAATAGAACTACATTTTCGCATGTGTCAGAGTTTCTGAGTCAGTTTGTACATTAAGAGTCTACTACATTTTTGGCGTTTGTGTGTTAGACTACATTATCATGTGTTTTAGATTTGTTGTTGTAACATATTAGAACTTTGTAAGATTTCTGTGCTGTGAGACCGTCACAGAACCATTCCAATGTATGTTAGCTTTTTTTTGTCATGTGAAATGCATTTATTGCGTGTCATACGTGGAATTTTCTGTATTATGCCATGCAATTTAGCTGCCAAGCTATATTTTTGATGATAGAAGTATACATCATTGCATTAAGTTACATTTTTCGCGCAATAGAGTACATTTTCACGATTAGAACTATATTTTGTGGGTCAGAGCTGTGATCTGATGTTTAGAGCTATGTTCTTATGTGTTAGAATTATCAATAAATTTTGTAATAGAGTCGCGTGATGTTGTCGTGCAATGTAGCTATATAAATATGTTGGTAAAAATGTCAAAAACATCATATTTTTACATTAAAATGAATTTATTTTTGCATTTTTATTTTAGAAAAAATTTATTTAAAGTCCCAGTACAACAGTAAATAACGACTGCCAACAGTCAACAAAAACAACGTTTTGCAATTGGATATTTGCAATACACAGTTCACCCCCAGCTTGAGCAGCTACAGATACTGGAGTAGGTATACATCTCTTAACTCTCAATCGGTTTGGCACCAAGCCTTGCAGCTGCGACGTTCTAGCAGCACCTTTATTCCACTCTTTTTGAGGCCTTCCAAACAGCAGTTAGATGCCCCATACAATTTTCTACAGTACCAGAAAGCACCTTATTGTTTTACGCGCACTACTCTACAACAAGGCAGCTACTGACTTCCCGCTCATATAGATGTTGAGGAGGGCTACAAGCTTGATCCATCCCTGCACTGGTTGTACGCAAATTCCATATGCGCCTCTCACCTCATTGCCTTTCGTTATTTGTTAGTCTACTTTTTTAGCTCCTGGTGAGTCGAATTTGTTATTTACATTGTTTTGCTTTTGGACTCTCACTGGGCCCCATATCCCAGCTCGAATGGCTTCTGGCCGGCCGGGGACGCTCGCGCCGCCTATATACCGAGATGGTCGCAAACCAAGAAAACGGTGGGATTGAGATCCGTTTTTGAGTCACGACGACAGCCGCGTAGCATTCCTACTGATTTCTAGCTGTACGTACCTGTTTCGGGTCCGTTCACCTTCAGTCGTTCCAATCTTTCCCAAGACAACATAGCTTCGACCTTGGTCAAAAGATAATGCTCAAGCATTGTGGGCAGCTCCGTCCGTCCGTCCCAAACAGTAATGGTGGCCGGTGGCCGGTGCCGGTACCGTGAAACCTACAAGTCCTGCTAGCTAGCTACGGTAGCTAGGTTGTGGGGTTGCAAACTAAACTTGTCTCTAGCTAGCTAGCTAGCTAGCTAGCACTGTACTCATCGATCAGCATGGATCACAGCTGCATCCACAAAGTAAGGTGCCTTGGCACACATTTGTGGTGGTCTTTCTGCCAGTACAGCCATGATCCTCATGACATTCCCTTTCATAACCACGCATCATGCCACACAGCTCATCGGGGATGCTGCCAGACAAGGATGTATTGGTGAACATTAAGGTTCGCAACTTGGTCAAGGCAAGGAGCTCTGTGGGTAGAGTTCCAGACAAGTATGTGTCATGCAGTTGTAGCTCCTGAAGGTTGGACATGAGACCAATCTCACTTGGAATGGTGCCGGTGAATCTATTCCCATTCATGTATAGCCCTGCCAATGCAGTCAGGCTTGAAAACAAGCCTGGTGTGAGCTTGCCCTCTAGCTGGTTGGAACTCATGTCTAGCCAAATCAAGTCTGTACAAAAAGAGTATGGTAAACTATAAGATAACCGTTTTGTCAGAACATCCCTGACTATACATAACTTACTGCTTAGCTTTGATAATTCTGGTGGAAGGCGTCCTGAAAGAGAACTCTCCAGCAGGTTTAGAGAGGTCTATGAAAAAATGGCCAACAGGGACAAAGAACTGTAAGCATGTCACCATGCAGCTAGAGCACCAATATATCTGACAGCTTTACTTACTAGCTGTGTCATTTGCCCAAGTTGGCTTGGCATCAACCCTCTAAGGTTCCAATCTTCAAGGTACAACATCGTAAGATTGGACAACCTTGCAATTTCAGCTTGGTGTACAGAGATTAGTAAAATCTAGATACCTCTTTCTGGTACATGTGCAACAAAAGAGGACTTACTGGGTATTCGGGCATTGACATCATCAGCCCTGTTGCTTAGCAAGAGAGACTCAAGTTCGGGAAAGCTTTCAGCAATATTGGACACAAGTTGCTCTGAGGCTAGTCGAGGACAATCACTTATTCCAAAGGATGTCAAGTTTGTTAGTTGGAATAGTTCTGAGGGGACTGTGCCTGGTAAGGGTATACAATGTCCAGCATATTAGTGATGACAAATGCATGGTAAGCTGCAGCACACAGTTGAAGCGTACCTGTCAGCTGGGTCATGATCAAGAAGGTTAAGCTTGTAAGGAAACCCAAATTGCCCAGTTCCGTGGGCACAGTTCCACCTATTCCACCCCCGCCAAGGCCAAGCGACCTCAAATATGACAGGAGACCCAGCTCTGTAGGAATTGTTCCTGGAAGTGCTGGACTGAATGTTACCAGCTCTGTCAGTTTTGTTAGTAATCCAATTTCGGTTGGGATCTGCCCTTTCAATTCCATGTTTCCTGGCAATTCCAGAACCTCCAAATCAGCACTCAAAAGGGATAGCTCTGGTGGAATGGTTCCATCCAGCTTGTTTCCAACAAAGGACAAACCTCTTATATGCCCAGAATCATCACACCGCATGTAGTCGGGAGTCAGGGATCGCTGTTCCCAGCTGCACTCATGTACGTCCCAGTCTAGCCAGCCATGATGATTCACCCAAGAGTCTCCCCTGGTGGAGAAGAAGAAGGTAGCCAAAACAAATAGTTGGGTCAGCCTCCAGTTGGGATAGCTTTGAATGCTCAGCTGGTTATCCAACATCCATTCATACGCCTTGTGTTGGGGAGATCTATGGTCTTGTAGAGCTTCCAAGGTGCAGTCGGGAAGATTAAGAGATGCCAGAAGGCCATGAATCGAACTTGAACTAATTGGTGCTTGTGTGGCCGCGGGGAGCACTGGAACCCGAACCACCCCGTTTTCTGTGACTGATTGGCTGGTGCTTTCTCCGCTCCTGATAATTCGATTCACCGCAACAAAAACTACCAGGAAACTGGACACAATGAGCATGCCAAAAATAATTTGAAGCGAAATGTCACGCAAAAGTTTTCTCTTCGAAGTAGTTCTGCTTCTTGCTATGAAGGGGACTCCACTGGGGAGCAATTCTTCCGTTCCCTGATGGTCGATGGGATATGCGACAGCTTGAATATCTTCTTCCTCCCAGTTTTCACCTTCATTGTCCGATCCCGGAGATCCACCTTCTTCTTGAAGAGGAGCGCCGATCCCATCAACAGGATACGCTCCTGGCTGCACAAACTCTGCTATGACATTTCGCATGCGCCTCAAGGATGTCATACCAATATTTGGGATTGGAATGTTGTCTTGAATTTTGTGGGGTTTTGGGAAACCCAACTCTGGAGCCTGTTCAGAGTCAATGGCTGCCCTGGCATCAGCGGCTCTTTGGGCCACAATTCCCATCAAGTCAAAGCCATCATTATTGTGACTACCGGTGCTTTTCGTATTATTATGTGGGCCAAGCGCAGAGAGATTCTCGCTTGGGTGTTGGGTCACTAGATGGTGTTCTCTTCTTCGAGAATTGTTGTGGTCTTCAACTGCTGCTGCAATCCTCTGATCCACAATCTTCATCAGCTCAAAGTCGTCATCACTATTGTCAGTATTCATTGTCGTCCTTCTTTTGAGGACGGAATATCTCGATACAACTGACTATACCGGCAAGTGTGAGCAGTCACCAAGAAAAAAGAGCACAGCCTGGTCGTGTAGAAGGTGACAAACAACAATTTGTAATGGTGCATGGACATGGTGGAAACCTCGCCGCCACTTCTGTGTGGATGGTGGTGCATCAGCACTCTGGAAAGTCATTTTGAGTCACGAGTCGGCAACGCGGCAACGACCTCGATACCGGTATCATACTGGTAGCTGACGGGAAATTACATGTAGCAAAAACTAACTTGTTAGGTTTTCCGAACTATGGCTACTGGCAACCAAGATTCTACATGAAACAACGATACTCCCACCCGTTGCCTGTCTGCAGCACTGCTGTTTATCGTTCTGGCACCAACACGGATGCATCGCCGCCTCGAAACTTAAACGGTTCAAGGTAGACAACTCTTCTGCATCTACTGTACCAAGCTAGCAGAATCCCCTGCGCGTCCTCATCCCTGGTTGCTCGCTTATTTAGTGCTCCATTGGAAATTCTGTCGCGCGCACCACTAATAACCAAAGCCAAACCATAAGCAGCCGCCAATACATGTAGCTAGCTAGCTAGCTAGACAATGGTGGCATTGACCACCGGCAGATCATCGGAACCACCATGGTCAATTTCAGCCATCACTACTGGAATGGTCACGACTTGTGACGCCGTAGGAGTGTGACTCGCAACCACTGGGTTGCTGGTTGGCACCACAACGGCCGCCACCGCCTCTACGGGCCTCCGGAAGTAGTCGGAAACATCAAATCCCAACTCTCTCAGACGACGCTTGTACGCCGCCAGCGTCTTCCAGGGTTGTTCGGTGGGATGTCGTCCAATCACCCGAATCAACTGTTTGGCGGCGTCGAATTGTCGTGTCATGATGAAACAGTACAAGAAATAGTTGCGACTTGTCATTTCGAGACTCCATTCGTGGGCTGTCGTTGTTGTTGTGGTTGTTGTTGTCGTCGTGTCGTGTGGAAATGCCTTTTGGTAGGCACCGGAAATGTCTCGTCGGACGTGGGCGCGGCGCCAATAGCGAGATGATTGTTCGACGCCACATTCGTAGTGTGCCATGGGAATGAGGACCCACAGAGGATGCCCCGGGGCCAAGTCCATGGTACTATCGTAAGCATACGCGAGCATGCGTTCGTGACTTCCATACCATTGACGAGAGTAGTACTGGAGTGCCCGACAATGCGCCGTGGTACAGAGTGGTTCGGAAGTTTCCTTTTGAAGACTGGTTTGACAGTCTGTCATGGAGACACCATTGGCCGTGGCTTGACTGCCCAGACCCGTGGCAATGGTCATGCCAGCGGCATAGAACAATGCCTCTCTGCGACAATAGGGTTTGGATTGTCGAAATTCGTGTGCCGCGTCCAGTAATCGCTTGAGAAAGATGGCCGCTCGTTGGGGCGAGCGTACAGCGGGACGGGCATGCCACGCCCATGCCGCGTAAATGTGCAATCGCAAGAGCCGACAATCCACATTGTCGGGTTCCTGTTCCAGCCATTCCTCCAACCAAGGAGTCATCATGTCTTCCTCCAACGACCACGTTTTGGCGAGTTCCGCCTCCACGACGGTCATCCAAAAGTAGCGTTGTTGACTGTTATTATTGTTGTTGTTGTTGTTGTTGTGAGGGATATTGGCAAAGAAATTTCGAATGGCTTGCCAATTTCCACACTGGACAAATAGTTGGAGGTTTGCGGCAGTTTGTGGATCCAGTTCCGTGGGTTGGAAAAAGGAAAACGATGTACCGGGAAGTTCTTCCAGGCACTCTTCTTCGTCTTCTTGCTGAGGGACACCCGTCAATTCCACCAGTTCCATGCGACCCGTCCGTGGATTCCGTTGCCGTTGACGACGTCGACGTCGTTGTTGTCGTCGTTGTGGTTCCTCCAAATAAGGCGTCCCCTGTCTCTGCGCAAAGCGAATGACACAGCAAGCCAATATCGCAAAAAAGAAAATGGCTCCGAGAATGTCATCATCATCCCCATTCAAGTTGATGCTGATCTTGTTGTTGCTGCTGGAGTGATGATGGCGGTTGCTGCTGCGGTGGCCGCTGCTGTAGGGGTTGCCGCTGCTGACATAGACATACGCCTTTGTTTGTCCTTGACACGCCGACACAGTCTCGTAGCCATAACGAATATTGGAGCAATCGAGAAGCACTCCCTCTTCGTCTTTATATTCAAATCTCCCGTCTGTATAGCAGGTGGGTTCCGAGACAATCTCACAGCGTCTGCATTGCCGTCCTTCAAAGGAGGCGGAGCAGCGGGGAAAACCTGGAGTCCACTTGTCGGTAGTTTTGACGCAGAAACGGGCATCGACATCGGACGAATCACCATTATTGGGACTCTTGGGGTCCTCAAAACAGCCATTGAACGAAAACTGCGATGAGGGAGCCATAGTTGTCACTGTTGTTCTGTCGGCTGCTGGTCTTGTCGTACTAGTGTCAGAATAATATGCATGCAACGATCTCAACGCCATGGTGATGGTTCATCAAGTCAGATCGAGTGCTTTTGAGGTGATAAAAGTTGCACGCATGTGGAACGTGGAGTTCGAAGTGCATCCACGACAGAGAATTCACATGGTTCTGGTGAAAAGGGTAGTTTCATGGAAGATCCGAAAAATGAAATTTTGAGTTTTGAGGGATTGATCATTCATAACGTTACTACCAGGTACTGCTGTACGTAAAATGAGCTTTTGCTATGTACTTTATTGCTTGATTGACTAAATTGAATCATCAAATCGTTCAATCTGGCTCCCAGCCGGTGCGTGAATCTGAATGCTGGCAGTGAAGCTTGGATGTGCCAAATATTGGTGAGCGGTGAACGGATGGCAAGCCAAGGCAGAGGGGCGGCTCCAACCGGCTACAGGCAGCTAGAATTCTGCAGCTCTCGCAGAAGTGTGGTGTGGCTACCATACGGTAGCCCATACCGGTACGGTACGAAAGAATGCTGTAGCCATCCGCCTCATCCGAAGAACCTCCGTTCGTCTTTTGGTTTTGCATACGCGATATGCAATCGAATTAGAACATTCAAGCAATTATTGACAGTATAAAATACTACAGCTGAAGACAGGCTACAACTATGGGAGCTTCATTCAATGCAAAAAATATGTATGTATGACATGTGTGTGCAGCGAGCGATCACCTACAAAATGACACAACCACAAGTTGCTGTTTCTGCCAATTTCATTTCCGCCAATTCTTCCCATGCCGCAATGGCAGGCAGGTACTCGGCATGGCTAATCTTGTTGTTGCCATCGGCATCACTTTGCTCCATGATCCAATCCAAATCTTCGTCAGAAATGTACAAATTGACCACCAATCCATTTCGGGATCGACCAGCCTTGCGTTCGTAATCCTCCAGCATGGATCGGAGCTCCTTTTTGGACAGATACCCATCCTTGCCCTTGTCGTACTTTTGAAAGATGATGTCAATCTTCTTGGCTTTTCTAATGTACTCTCCATACTTTTCCACGGCATCCACCAAGGCTTCTTTGCAGAGTGCACCGTCTTCCATGCCAGGCGGCGGTGACATGCCGTCCCGTTGCTGTGAATGTCGGGCCGTGTTCATGACCAATTGCACGGCATCCTCTTGCAGTTTGGCAGGCTCGATAATGAGCAGTGATCGGGCCAATAGTTTCTTGATTTCCGATGATTGTGCGAGCCATTCTCCGTCGGCCGACATGACATCAAAGATTTCGGCTGCTCGATCCTTGAGCAGTCGTCGCTTGTAGGATAGATGATTGCGTTCCAACTCCATGAGTTTGGAGTTGCGACGTCGTCGTGCCGAAGATGCTGCTGCTGCCGCCATGGTTAGTTACTGTATTGCTCTGGCTCTATGCGATGGTGTGGATAGGTAGTAACTGAAGCTTGACGGATATGAAGTAGACAAGAGAGAGAGGAGAATAACTGTTTTAGAAGAGAGAGTTGGGTTGTGGACTCGACAACAGTTACTGGATCGGGCAGCGGTGTCTACTCGTGCAGAAACAACTTCTGAAGCTGCTGCTGCATCGCAAATCGCGAAGGAACGAAGAAATAAAAATGAGGGTTCCAAACACCCGAAACCTTTTTACCAGATGGATCAGCTGCTCTAGCTACTAGATCTCACTCAGATCTGACTGATGTCTCGATAGTCAAGAGTTAGAGTGGTGGATATGGTCCGCCTTGCAAGGAACGGTGCCGCCACGGGAATTATGAGATGGTCCACAATCCTGTTTATTCTACGATGATCCATTGATGATCTAGTAAAACTGATGACATAGAGAACTTCCTTTGAAGGAGAAGTGAATTCGTAAGCCGGTTATAACAGGCTTATTTGGGGTCTCTTTATTTATGGATTTGCACCCAAGATTGGGTGTCCAAGCTGGATCCATCTTCTGGATGTTGAACTGTTGTGGTACCGGTACCAGGTACCAGCGACGCAGAATGGCAACATGCACTTCGGTACGGTACGGTACAGCAAGTGCGGTCGCACCTTACGGTACATGTACCGCATTAGCATTGCTGAGCTCATTGCTGCCCCAGGCCAATGTACGTAGCTAGTACATGTACTAGTAGCATGTTCCTCTAACAGCTATCTACATGACATTTTATCTCACTGGCTGGCTAGCTACTGGCAAACAGATACATGTAAGCAATGTAGAAGCAATGTAGATGGCTGATGACCTCGCGAGGCTGGTGGCAGGGTGCAGGGTACCCGAGCTGCAAACAGCCAGAAGCTAAGTTCAAGCCAGAGGCCATCTACTAGCACGCGGGTGGGAGTCCCCCAACTTAATGTATCGGTTATTATTTGTTGCAGGATCATCGTAAAGATTGTTTGGCTGGGTTTGCATCAGTTTCAGCTGAAATACATTGGCTGCCTGCGTTTAGACGACAATGAAGAATGATCTATATTGGTTTTATGAAAGGCAGCCTCCTTGATAGCTTTCGCCTCTTTAGTAATATGTGTCCATATGTATGCATTTTTGTACAAGTTGTAGTAGAGCATCATCCAGGCCTAGAAGAAACAAGATTCGTCATCCGAGAAATCATCATAGTCTGACTGGTCTTCAGGTTCCAGTAACGACTGTGCTGCCTGGATTTGCGGTGAGAACTTGGTTACGGAGCAACGTCGACGGATACCCTCTTGCTTCTTGATTGGGGCGCTATCTGAGTAGTATCCCAGGTCATCTCCGTCACTGTCGGTTCTAGGACGTCCGCAGTGGGCACCATAGCCAAGATCACTTGGCCTTGCATCATCTTCATAGTATCCCAACTTGAAGCCTCCAAGGTCTTGCAGTGCTGCCGGCACTCCTCTGTTTGGTGTCGTACTACGAAAATCATGCAGAGTTTCGGCCCACCTGCCTTCTCGAAACTTCTCCTGGGATGCGGCTCGTTCCAGAAGCAAACCACTGCTGTTAGAAACGCGGCGACGAGGCGACAGATTCATCTCGTTCGAATGAGAGCTGTGAGAAGATGATTCGTTGCAGGTCGTTGCCGTACGAATGGAAGAACCATCGTCGTTGGTGATCTTCGCGGCATTGCCTGCCGGACTAGAAACTCTGTCGTCGGTTGCTGTCGATGTCATCATGGTTTTGAGGGATGGATGAGACAGAGCGATCAATCTGAAAATTGTGAGCTAACTTTCATGCTACTGTTCCGGTACGGTATGCATAGCCAAAGCTATCGCTACCCTGACGCTGCAAGTGGCTTAGTGGCTTCTTTTTGGCTTCAAGCAAGAACTATCAACAGCAGCCGTGTCCCTGGAGTTATCCGTACTAGCTAGCTAGATAATATCTTCTCTACTTGTTGGATCGGGCTATCAGGTTGAGAACTGTATGTGGCGTGGTGCCGTACTAGTGGGGCTGTTGTGGTTCACGACCAGGTCGACCAGTGGAAAGGGGCGCGGGGCAAAAAACCGAAGGCCCCCAATTGCCCTATCGACTCCCGCAACCTATGTCAGACTGTTTCCTTTCCGAGCTCGCTGTTGCCAACAGTTTTGAGCAATCCTTATCGGTACTGTAGCAGCAAAGAAAACAGGTGCCGGCCGGTTCAATCCAATTCCTGTCAGACTGTTTCCTCGTGAGATCGTCCAGTTGGGGCCATGGGAAAGCTCGGAAGCAGCTAGCTAGTTGGCCAACGAACCACGACCTTCTGAGGATGGCTTCTTTTTCCTGGATAGTTTGCTTCTACAAGTGTGTCGCCCTTCTGCTCTATGGCCTTGCCAGAGCAATCAATCTTCGCACTCACACCCGGCACCCAAAGCAGAGGACTGGAGGAAGCAAACTTCCCTCCTCCTGCTGAGGAACAGAAACATTTTCCTTTCTCCTCCACTCAGATTGAAAGTTTGGTTCATTGTAGCGGGACGCATCGCTCGTTAATTTGACGGCCGACGAGGAACAGAAACGTTGCTTTCTCCACTCAGATTTGGTTCATTGTAGCGGGACTCATCTGTCATCCAGCCATTTGACTGCCAACAATGGCATATCACACCTGATCGTTGCACCCAAAGGCGTTCCTTCTCGACCGCAACCGCTTGATCCGGATCAATGGCCCGCATGAACAGTGCTGCAGAACAAAGCTGGTTCAATTGGATTCAGCAAGCATTCCATCCATCCACCTTTTGCCCCAGGTAGCTACTAGCTAGTGAAGTTCCCACTCCTGGCCTGCACTGCACGCGGACACAGCTCCTCCTACGATTTGAGACAACTCAGAGAACTAGCTACCGTATCCAGACACATATGTGCTGTATTCTTTTAAAAAAGTTGGCTATATGTACAACTGTAACCAGTTTCTATAATGCAACTAGTTGGGGTTCGTTCGCCCCAGTCACTACATCCGTCATTGGACTTTCCATTCCAAGAACACTTCTTGAATAGGACTACCGTGCAATGGCGCCCTCTGTCCGGTGTCACAAAAGCCCAGCTTGGAATAAAATTGAAGGACATCGTCTCCATGTTCCGGAGTGCTCAAAAAGACCGTTTCCAGTCCCAATTCTTTTGCCTTTTCTTCTACTAACTTTCCCAGTTTTGTGCCCCAACCTTTCCGACGAATGGAAGGGAATAGGCACATTCTCCGAAGCTCGCCTTTTCGTTCCTTTGTGTTGACTTCCAACCCTGTCATGCCGACGACCTCATCCTTCGATGTTACCAGGACCCAAAAGAAACCTCCACTTTCAAAGTAGATTTGTTCAATGTTATTAAAGTCACTATCCGGGGACGTGGTTGCTGTTTCAATGTATCTTTTGGCGTTGGGTAGATACTTGGCGTCATGGTACTTGGTCCATTCCTCTGCAATGTTGTGCCGAAAGACTTGTTTGATGGCATCAACATCTTTGGCGGCATCAAAGCGTCTCACGCGGAGCAAATCGCTATCATTGGCATCTCCCATTCTGAAGGCACCAATTGGGGGGAGCAAGAGACCAACTATTAGTAGTATGGTTACTCTCGATAGTAGATGTAAGAGCGACGGCGCTGCCTCCATCAAGACGATTGAGATGATGTCCAAGACTTTGGGTGGGCGGGTGGCGGGTGGCGCACTGGCTTTGGATGCAGTTTTGGAATGATTGAAGATTCTAGGACCCCGCAGTCCCGTGATTGCATCAATTTTCACTGGGTGACGATCGTTCTAGTGGTTAGGGGTAGAGATATCACGATATCACGTGATATCTCCAGTGACGATTTTGTTCGTGTTCTAAGTTTCCACAGAGATGTCCGATTCTCATTCTGTTTGGATGAAATGAAAGAGGAGAATTAGGGGATATCCATACATTCAACAAGCACGAGAATCGGACACTTCTGTGAAGAATTACATCCCTAGCAATAGAGGTATCATTACAAATACCATCCGTGTAAAAGCACTCGATAGTTTTATTACGTGTTATTGTCTAGTAGAAACAAACAACAAGCGACCATGACACATCTGCCGCTGCTGCTACTACTGAAAGAGGATGATTAATAGGGTCCTCGGCGACTGCGTCGTGGGTGTTGATTGATCTGTTCGGCCTTGGGGAAGCACTGTCCATTTACCTTCACTTCTCCACAACCAAAGGCGTCGGAATGACAAGCACCAAAGTGGGTGTCAACGCAAGACATGTCACGACCATCAGGACCAAACCTTTTCTCTTTGGTCCTATCTTTGTTGCACAAGGGAGCATGACAGAACTTACACCACATGGACGTCCAGCATTGGATGGGGTTACCATTCTTGTCCAAGTATCCTCTGCAGACCCAGCATTGTTTGGTGACCGAATTGCCAACAGTTCTCCCCTTTCGAAGTTGTGCTGGTGTTATATCTCGATTCAAGTTTCCATGAGAATCCTTGCATCGCTCAATGGGAATATCGGAAGACTTCCCAAAGGATCGCTGAATGCGTGGTCCAATCCACGGACGCAACCCAGCACAAACCAAATCAGCCATCTTCATTATTCGAACCTGATCAACAACCTCGCGACGGTGTCCCTTCTCGACAATTCTCTGGTATCGGTAGTATCGATGCAAGTCGACTAAGGCCTGTCCTGTCAGTGTGGTGATAATTCGCATCCATGGGTTCTTTGTCTGCCAGCACTTCTCCAGAGCCAGAAGGTTCTGCCTTTGCTTGTTGTGCTCGTCGATCAAGGGCAAGTACTCATAAATGAAGTGGCAGATCTTGGGTCGATTGATGAGCTTGCTGCCGGTGTTGCCCCACTCATCTTCGAACTTGGATTCATACTTGATCTCCGACGGTTCAGTAGAACCACAACTGGAAATAAAATAGGATACCCCTTTCTGTGACCAGGCGTAAGCAATCGCCAATAGATCAATACCAGCAATAGTGGTAGTCATGACTACCCAGTGCCCTGCAGGTTTATCTCCATGTCTCGCCTTCAACACAGCGTTAAGGACTTCCATAGGATAGAACGCCTTGTTGTTCTTCACAATAAAAGTCGAGTTGACACCAAATCTTTTCTTCAGTTCCACACATGTCGCGACAGAACCAAACCAAGCATCACCACCACACCAACCATTCCTGACGACTTGTGCATCCTCAACTTGGCGAAGCACTTCTGCTGTGTGTGCCGGCATGTCAGGCTTTCCTGGGAGGCTGGACTTCAACCTGATCTGTTCTTCTTTGTCGGCATATAGATACTTCTTGAAGTTCTGTCGTTCAGCATTCATGGCAATGTCTTGGTTGACAAGACACCCAGTTATACACTCGACACCATTCCTGAGCATCGTCCCCAAAGGAACAGGCTTCCTTGGCTCATATGTAAGGTTTGGAAGACCTCCGGTCTTGGTTGACTTGGGCCTCCAACCAATCATACTTTCGTCCAGCATGAGGAGAACAACCCAGAACAATTCCTGCCTCTTCTTGTTGAAACCAATGACCGCTGGAACAATGACATCCCAAGGAACGTCTCGCTTATCCAGGTACCAGTATTCTTCAGGCCCAAAGCAGAGTCCAATAGCACAGGTAAATGCCTTCCAGTAATTCAATGGAAGATATTGGCCAAAGTCAGGGTATTCCTTGCGACCAGAGGAAGGGCCTCGCTTCCAAAGATCAGCGCCATTCTCAGTTTCCAAACAGGAGGCAATAAGGAGGAGAAAGCACTGCTTGACCATCCAATCGCCATCCTTGTTACCAAAGTAGCCATCATCATCATGGAACTTAATGTGGTCCGACTTGACAGTCGAGTACATTGGACTCTTAATCGAAGAGTGGAACTTGTCTATCTTGGCCGCCATTCCAGTAAGATCTGGCATGAAATGTTCAAAGAACACTTTCGCAAAATCAGTATTGGCATCAGAGTCACCGATATCGACATTCTTCTTGAAAGCAACACCATCGGGATAGTACATGGGATCTTTGTCTTCTGTGACGTGCACTCCATCTGGAAGAATCTTCCAAGGAACACCTTGCACGTCCTCGTCTGCCGACCAGTTCATGTCAAACGTCTTGGCTACAGAGATCTCTGCGTCTTCGAGTGCAAGGAAGTTGTCATTGCTTACTTGAAGTGGTGACAACTTTTTGCTTTTCTTCACTCGAATTTCGGCCAGTTTCTCTGGATCGTCAGTTGCACGATCGAAGGTGACTTCCTCGCATCCTTTGGCAAGTGCAGTCAGATTCTTGCGTCTGACAAACACCTCTTTCTCATCTGTGGGAAGACAATCAAACACAATATTATATCCTTGATTGGAGCTGCCAGACTTGATTGTCCCGTAGCAGTTGTGGTTATTGTTGAACTGGCGAATGGTGGCCTTTTGACCTTCTGTAGAGAGCAGATGAAAGAGCTGTCCTCTTGTTGTCTTGCATCTTCCACCAACATGAATTCGGGGAGCTCCCTGCTTCGCTTTGGTGTGGCGAGAGCTGTTCATGGGTGTTGCTCTCTTGGTTCCTTTCGGATTGGCAGTCGTTTCAGTGGGAGTGACTTCTGCACCACCAGTTGGAGGGGTTGTTCCATTTGCAAGTGATGCAAGTACAGCAGCAGTCTCATGGCGAGCGGCAGAGTCAAGTGGAGAGCCTCCACCAATGGATTCAGGAGGTGTTCCAACCAAGTTACCCGTCAACAATCCACCAGGAGTAGGAGCGGGGGGTGGAACAACAGCGCGAGTGTCGGGGTTATCATACAGACTATCCCCATCTTCATCATGTTGCACTCCAGCGGTAGGAGACATCTTCGCGATCTATGCTAAGGGATGCATTATCCAGCAGCAACCAGCGGTTAACAACCAGCGTGCATGTCATTTCTTTCTTCCAGAAAGATCATCTTCTGCTGTTGTTCCATTTCCATTGCCCGATCTCGACAGCAACGTACAGGAGTGAGGTAACTTTGCTCACAAAATCCAATGAATTTCTGGATAACAGAAACAACCATATCGCAACAACAACTACCCCCAATACACTCTAACGAAGCACTGGCGACAGCTCTATACTATAAGGAACCTAATGGTTCATGGTTAGATTGTCCTATCTCTTATTGTTATCGAGTTCGTTGTCTTGCAAAGTAGCTCTACAGAGATATCATTTCAGGTATCAAACGAGTGACCTCGTGATATCTCTACCCCTAACCACTAGGCGCGTCGCATGTAGGCCTGGTACAAACTTCTGGATGTCAGAAAAACAACGGCTGCCGCCATTCCGACAACAAAAATTCCGGAGAAAAGGAGGAGAGTTGGGAGAATTCGGATAGTTCGCTCTGGAGGTTACCATCATTGTATTCTCTCTCTACATGTTAGCTTTCCAGGAGTTTTCCACTAGCTTTCAGTGTTGACTCGCCACCGTGATGGTTAGCTTTCCCAGTTCTCCAGCTAACCTTTATTGCAAGTTGGCTGAAGCAAGGGGTTGTTTCGGAAAAAGAAGACTCTTTTTGGGAGCTTTCGAGCTATTTGAACAGGGCACGAGCTCCTCTATTTGAACATGGCACGAGCTCCTCTCTCACACCGGCTCCCTCTCACACCGAGAGTTTAGATTACAACACAATGGTTGCTGTGGGAGCGATCTGTCGATTACGAGGCATAGTAGCACTGACTTCTCTCCCTCATTGAATTTTTATCGTGATCAGAACAGAAATCCAAGCTTGGCCGACAAGAGTGTTGAGGCAGAGGAGTTCTTTATCCCAGACAATCGATTGTTCGATCGACTTGACTTGACTTGATCGTTCGATCGACTTGATTCTATTCAAGGTAAGTCTACTTGAGGTAAGTCTACCGTATTATCAAGAGTGTTATTGAAGGCGTAGATTCGAAAACCATCCCTCATTGAATTGCTATGGACCACAGGAAGGCAGTTCTCGGCCGTCAACAGGTGAGTTGGCTTTATTCAAATCGATCGACTCGACTCACACCTCTGTGGCTCCTGCCATCTTCTTCGAAAGCGATAAAACACAACACAGCAACACAAAATGGTGGAGGAGGAGCGGCCGATCGCTGCTACTGTTGCGAAAAGGTAAGTCTAATATCAAGTGTGTTATCATTGAATTCCTATGGTAAACAGGAGAGAAATACCAGCTTGGCCGACAACAGTGGTAGCTACCGGTAGGAGGAGTTCTTTACTCAAGCCGATCAATCAATCATCGATCGAATCGAGGTAAGCCTCTATTATCAAGAGTGTTATTGAAGGTACAGCGCTGACTTCTCTCCCTCATTGGATTCATATGGTATTCAGGAGAGATTCCAAGTTCAGCCGTCAAAAGTCGAAGACAGAAATTTGTGGCCTCCCGTGTATGGCAAAAATTGAGATCCAATGTTTATCCGAGAGAGTATCATGCATGACTTATTCACTTTTAGTTAGGTCATGCAATCTTCATGGATCCTTTTATTCCGTTCCCGCACTTTATTCCCTGATGTAGTAGTATGTAATTGCAGAAGCCAATCTGTTCATGTTCATGTTAATTTGTATCCCCAGCAGCTCCCTTTATACTGTACAAGGAGATCTCAACCAAGGATCGAGCCAAGGTCGGATATGGCTGTCCTTGTCTAATCATATTCAGTCGACAATGCTCCTTCGACGCTTGTTCACCCAGAACAGAATTCATCCGAGTCGTTATCCAGTTCTTCTTGATTGTAGTCTCGATCCTCCTCGACGTTCTCGAGTGCTCTTTCCTTTCCATCTACCTGGTCGTGGGAAGAGGCTTTTGTTGCTTCCTCCTCTATCCTTCGCTCCGACGCCATAACGGCTGCTTCTTCGAGACCAGGGTGTTCCGAAATGTGTTCCAGCGTCAACCCGCCTTGTTTTTCCGAGTCGTCACCTTCGATTGCAAATTCGCTAGTGCTGTCGAAGAAGTCCGAGACACGCCGCCCACCAGTGCTTGATGTGAAGCTGGCGCGTTCCACATGTGGTTGTATCGCTGGAGCTGCCACAGAAGCGCGAAACGGTGTACTGCCATTTGACAATGCCACGGACCCATGAGGCCCTCCACCAGTCCCTCCAACTGTGTGGGAAAAGGCTAGCGACGCGGGCTGTGACGTGGGCTCCAATCCCGAAACCATAATGCTTCCCCTCATCTTCATCTTGCCAAGTTCGGGGTTTCGACGAAGATAGTTGGCATTGTTGAAGCAAGACAATAAGGAGTGGTGCCATGGCAAAGACCCAAATTAGAAGGATTCGTCCAAAGTACACAGAGTTGACGGAAGAATCTCCAATGACTGCGAGGATTGGCAAACCCACAAACCATGCTTGCAGCTGAGTGACAATGAGGTAGAACACAGTGGACGTATCTGATAGATCTTGTGAGATATCCTTGGTCCGCCAGACGAAGAAACCGGTGAGCAATGTACAGGCCATGAGAATGGCGGAAAGAGGGGCAAAGAAGGCAGCGAAATTGTCTGAATGGCATTTGCCATACGTTTCGGGAGGAGACAGACTGACAAAATCATGTTCCCAGCGCCAAGGCGACACTGCTGTCCATACAATCAAGATGGTCACAATGACGAAAAGGACCAATCCCAGGGGCCAAAGAACCTGCAACTCTATTCGGGTTCGTCGTTGAGCGCTCATGACTTGATCCACACGCCAGAGCTTATTGTCACCAGAGAGGCGAAGCGTTCACAATGAGCTGTTACAAGGAGTCTTAAGAATCAGATTATTCTTAAGAATCAGGAAAAAATCTTGGGAAAATTATGATTCTTAAGAATCAAATACTGGGTAGACAAGGATTCTTAAGAATCAGACTATTCTTAAGAATCAGAATTTTCCAGATTCTTGGAAATTGATGATTCTTAAGAATCAGCAAATGATTCTTAAGAATCAGTTTTTTCAAAATCAGATTCTTAAGAAAAAGCTAGATTATTCTTAAGAATCAGCAATGAAAAATGCTGATTCTTAAGAATCATTGAATGGAATTTGCTGATTCTTAAGAATCCTCTCCAAATTATGATGATTCTTAAGAATCCTCAATGCAAATATGCTGAATCTTGGGAATACTTGTAAAAATCAAGAAAGACTCCATTGCAATGGTTTTGGTATGCACTAATGCATCATTACAAGACTTGTCTTATCAGCAAACATTGTTGTTGGTTAGCAGATAGTATCAGGGGATAGCATTGCTAGCTATGAAGCCCATATTGCTAGTATATTAGGTTGCATACTGGGTGCCTGATGATTCTTAAGAATCAGCAAAAAGAACAAAATGATTCTTAAGAATCCCCATTCTCCAGATTCCTCACACCAGAGCCATTGATGTATGATAATATCAAACGTAATCAATGTAGGCATAGGATGCGTAGAGAGTGCTTACCTTGCAGAATATGGCACTGTAGATAATGGCGTGGCCGATGAATACGAGCAACGGAACAGACATGCACGCCGCTGTGATGGGAGCGAGATAAGCAAAACAACGGATTGGTAAGCAATTTGCCCATTCACTCCTGCATCCTTGCGCTCGTGTTGTCAATCATGTACATACCATCGAGCTGTCCATCGTCGAGTCCCCGACTTTCATCCAAGGAGAGCGGCAGAATGGTGCACACTTCAATGAACGATCCCAAACAAATGAGCTTGAGAAAGAACGGTTGCGCCATGCGTATCGCTCCATCCTTTTGATAATAGGTAACGGCAGCAAAGGATGCCAGGGCAAAGACTGCGCCAAAGACAAACAGAAAGAGTCCAAGACCAAATACCCAATTGGAGAGGAAATTCTCTTCAGATACCACAAATTGTGGATTGGGCAGAGTATCGGACGAAGTGCTTCCAAAGAGGAATGACTGCAGCGTTATCCATTGTTGCGTGGATGTGTCGAGATGAGCGGCAATGGGTGTCTCAACAGTCATGACGCCGCTGTCTTGGTTTTCAACGACTCGAAAGTTGAACATGGCCATTTGCATGGTATCCACGGCTCGGAACCGTTCGTCTTTGTTGTAGTCAAAGGCCACAGTCCCCGAAGCTCCCAGGAACGGTTCTAGCTGCACAATGTTTCGAACAACATCATTCTTCGGTGGTTTGGGCTCGTCTTTCTTGGGTGGTGGTTTGGAATCTCCTTCCTCGCCGTCAGGCCTCGGTGGCGGTCCATCCTTGGAGTCTTCATCGTCCTCTGGTCTGGGTGGCGGTGAATTGTTGTTGTCTTGTAGAAATCGTCGATTGTCTTCTTCCATCTTATCATCGTCTTTTGCGTCTTTCTGCAGTTTCTCTTTGATCGCATAGCATTTTCCCATTCCCATGGCCAGAATCGAGTCGTAGACATACGAAGACAATCGAAAGGGGATTGCCGTTTGAAAATGGTCTTGTCCGAGCGGAATGCCTGTTTTGGGATAGTCTATTCTTGTGGCATCAAATTCCTGGAACCTTGGGAGGAATGGATCCATTGCGGGTAGTTGGCTGTTGGTTTCAGCATCCGCATGAACGACCAGTTCAAAAGGATCCATGGTATTGAACCATGCCGCTCCATGTAGTAGTTTCGCAATGGGGTGGTCTTTGTCCTGCAGTTCCTTTCCAAATAGATAGTTGATCTCTCTGGGACGAACGTTGTCTTCAAACAAAAAGTACTGATAGTCTCCCTGCAGCATGTCGAGTGTTTCTAAATGCTGTGCCATCCAGAGGAGCGCCTCTGGTTTTCGGTAGTCTGCCAGAATGAGCACGTTGTGAATTCCCGTGAGTTGTATCTGTTCTAGATCTTGTCGTGTCTTTTCCCAATCCTCATGTTTGTCTTCTTCAAATCGAAGTACTCTGGTTTCAATGCCTTGCTTGGCCATGGCTTCCGGGATTTTGTCTTCTAGCAATCGTCCCTTTTTGGAACCATTGGCAATGACTGCCAGATGTGTCATGTCCATGTAGTGCTTCAAATAGAAGGCCAGGTGTTTGCAGTAGTCCTTGAGATCCATCATGTTTCCAATGGCCGTCTTGCTATCTTTGCCTGCCAAATCATCAATGTCCATTCCGGTCAATGTCATGGTGGGCAGTTCATGGACTTCTGTGTAAGTAATGGTCTTTTCTTGACCTTTGCCATCGAAGGGTCCCACTACTCCACAGATACTGCTACTACTAGTACTGTCGTCATTTTCGTTCGTTCCGTAGCCTTCGACCGCTTGCACCAATTCTTGAAATCCAGTCGTGTCCTCTTGCTGTGTGTCGCGAGTCAACAAATCTCCAAACTCCACCAGCTTTCGCGTACTACTGACAGAACTGGGCGAGACACCAGTCCTATTACCATCACCACCATCTTGTGTAATGGTGCAACCCTCATATTCCTCATTGAGATAGTCAATGGCCAACTGAGCAGAGGCCGCGTAATGGGCTCCCAATTCTGTAAAGTTGGCATCTGCCGTGTCTCCTTTCTCTGTGGAAAAGGGAGCCAACAGAAGATAACGGCAGTTCACTGCTTGGATATCATTCACGTTGTCATTATTGTCATTGCTTGGCGAGACAGTGGAAACATTCTGAGCTGAAGCAAAGGGAAGCAACACTGCCAGTAATAAGCGTACACACCACATGGTAACAGTGCTCTCACTCTGCCTTCTCATACATCTAATACTGCTGTTGATCGGTCTGCTCATTGCCGTTGTGTTGGAGAGGAGAAGAAAGAAAAACAAATACTAAAAATAGATGATACGAAGGAGAGAGGAGATGCTTATCGTCACGGCCTTGGGGAACTTACAGCATCCAAACAAGGTAAGGTGACCTCATGAAGCACTCAGAACAAGCTGGATCGATGAGTTGACATACATAGGACATAGAGACAAACTTGACTGGATACAAAACGTGAACACTTCTTAAATCTTAGATTCTTTGGTGAATACACGGAAAGTCCAACGAAGAAGCTAGATGAGCTGTAAAAGGAATTCTGCAAGCTCCAAACATGATTGTTGGAAGTTTTGGGGCGTCCAATCGGTTGACTTTTCCGAATTCCCAATGTTCTAGCTACTGTAGCTTAAAATAGTTCCTTTGATTCCCTTTCTATCTGGAGCTGTCGTCTTCCTGGAATAGGACCAATGCAACCGCCGGAAATCACCCAAAATCTCCCCGAGGACGGGGCTCACTTGCCATGGCTTTGGATGCAGTTTCGGGCTTGAACACATCACTCACGTTTCCAGTCACGAACGGCAAGCCTCAAAATCCATGGGCCACAGCCACCTAAAACGACTTTGCAAGCACATCCAGCTAGCAGTATGGTACCGTAGCAGTAGCCTCTAGCTAGATAAAACGGCACCAGGCATGCCAGAGGCTTACAAAGCCGAATGAATCAATTTTCTGCATACTGTAAGATTAGCAACATCCTACTCTCTTGGTTGTACTTTGTTGCTTTCTTTTCTAAACTACACCACCCATCAACTGAAATATTCCAATAAAAGTAGTCTCTATAGAACAGGCGCAGTATCATCCCACAAATGAATCAGATCAGAACAAAACATATAAAAAAAGTAACTCACAGAATGATGCACTTGTCTGGGTGTTCCAATTTCATTTGAGCCAATTCTTCCCATGCCGCAATGGCTGGTAAATACTCGGCATGGTTGATCTTTCCCGTATGATCAGCATCACTTTCCTCAATGATCCAATCAATATCTTCTTCCGTAACCATGAGCCTGATGGCAACACCCCTCTTGGCTCTATTGGCTTTCAATTCTCGATCCTGTAACAACTTCATCAATTCTTTTCGGCTCAGATATCCATCTTGTTCCTTGTCGTATTTCTGGAATGCCGCATCAATCTGTCGACCATTCTTAATGTACTCCCCATACTGCTTCACTGCCTTCATTAGTGGCTCTTTCGCCATGGCCCCTTTTTTGTCGTCAGGAGGGGTCAATCCGTCCTTTTCTTGAAGACGATGCGCCGTATCCACCACCAGCTGCACGGCATCGGGATGAAGCGATCCCTCCTTTCGCATCATGGCCAGTGCCAACAGGTCATTGATTTGGGATTCGAGCAACCACTCGCCATCGTCCGACAAGTCATCAAACTTTTCTCCCGTGCGTTCCTTCAAAACGCGACGATTGTGCGACGCTTTCTTGCGTAAAACTGCGTGTTCCTTGGCACGGGCTTCCTGATCGCGCCAACGACCTGCCGAGGAAGCGGCTGCCATGATGATCTCGTCTCGTCTCGAATCGATAGGGAAAGAAGGGTGGGGCTCTCTCAATGGCACGGCTGCTTGTACCGGTATGATTCTCGTTGGTTTGAGGGAAGTGTCAAAGGATGACTTGGCGGTCACAGACACTGAAGCTCGGAACCGACATCGGACAATTCAGCCTGCAGAGCGGTTTGTCCAGTCACAGTTGTTGAATGCTGCAACGGATCTCCCTGCCACAACAGCTGCTCACAACAAAAATCCATGGACTCAAACGCTCAAACTACGAAACCGGCACATGTACGTACATGTATGTACCAACAGGAACTACGGTACCGGTACGTAGCAAAGGACCACTCCGGAGTACAGGACATTAAAAAACAGCTGTTGTCGTTGTTGGTTCTTGTACCGTACGATACGTAAATTCCAGATCTAATTGGCGCTGTGCGGGCTTTTGAAGCGTCAAGTTCTCCCGGGCGTCTCAAAACAGTAAATTAAGCCCACACCATCTCGTCTAGCTAGACAACACCTCGCAAGCGTGTCACTATTTCAACTACTAGGTACCAGTACTGAACTATAGACATGGAAGGAGTCCCGATTACAAAGGAGTAGCATCCAGCCCCTGTCCACAACCGAACCCAGGTGTGGAGGATTGGCTTCGCTTCAATGGAAGCGAATGCTATTCAACAGCTTATTCAATCTGATCCCTGGATTGCGTTAGCCAGATCTGCACTCGTTTATTTCCTCTCTCTCGTCCAACCCATCATAAAAAAGCAGAGGCTCGAACCAACATAAGACTTTGCAGGAAAAGCAAAACAATGAACATCTATGCCGTAATCCTTCTTTTAGTGTCACTGCAAGTGGCAACGGCCCAGGTCCTGCCACCCGAAAAGATCTGCAAGGGACCACCTATCACCTTTACAAAGCCAAACTTTGCTGACTGGTCTGACCCAGCTAATCAGGATGCCATCTCGCCATCGGTTACCCTTACGAGAGCAGACCACTGGCCTCTGCTCAATGTGGCTCTGGGTCAAACTCCTCGAGATGTACAGAATCCTTCTGGTGTTTCGTTTGCCGTCGGATCCACCACTGACACAAATTTGGTGTTTCAGAGCTTTACAAGGGCCCATCAAGGTTGGATTGGTGAAATGTTCACTACAAATTATGGGACTGATGTTACCAATGTGATGGTGATGTATTTACAGGCAGAGGATTTGTATGTCGACTTGACATTTCAATCCTGGTCCAAAGGGCGTGATGGTGGAGGCTTCAGTTACACACGTTCCACTTGTTGCCAGCTTGGTGGCTGTGGTTCTGCAATGTCAGGAGACCCTCATGTCATGTCTTGGTCAGGAGAATGGTTTGATTACCATGGTCAATGGTACGTTTGTTTTGACATTTCAGCTTGGGTTGTCATTGCTCGGTCTGACTTTAATTCGATTCCTTTGTTTTGCAGTGATTTGAAGCTCATGCATGTTCCCAACTTCCAAGGAAAAGATGATTTGGACGTTCATGTCCGTACCACTGGACGATATCTGTACAGCTACATTGAAACTGTTGCTGTCCGTATTGGCAGCGAGACCATGGAAGTATCCAGTTGGGGTGAATACTCCATCAACGGAGTAGAGAATGCCATGATCAAGTCTCAGGGAAGTACGGCACTCAGGAAGAGCATTGCTATTTCCCAAATTGGAGGATACCCCATCTTTCATATGCAAACCAATCCAAAGACTCACCGCTTCGACATCATGATCACGGGTAGTTCCAACATCACTATGAGCATCTTGAAGGACATTGTCAGTGTCAGGGTCCATAATCCAACGAAAGCAGACTTTGGAAATGTGGTTGGGCTGTCGGGTGACTTCACTGGTCGTTTGCTGGCCAGAGATGGTGTCACTGACTTGAGTGGAGACATCAATGCGTTGGGACAAGAGTGGCAGGTTCGTGATGATGAGCCCATGCTTTTCCAGGCTGTGAGGGCTCCCCAGTACCCAGCCAAGTGCATCCTTCCTGGCATGACCAAGAAGGAAGCCCGTCGTCTCGGTGAGGGTATTGCTGAAGAAGATGCCAAGGTTGCTTGTGATCATTTGAGAGATGATGCACATGCCTTTGCCAATTGTATCTACGATGTTACTGCCACCAATGATCTTGACCAAGCCATGAGTGGCGCTTTCTAGTAGGCAGCAGTGCATATGCTGGGTAACCTTATTGTTTGATTCCCGCCGATAATTACCCTATTTACAACGACTATATCAATGCCTTCCCCATCAATACCATCTTCCCGGTGGTGCTCTTGCCGAACGCTTCCTCGGAACCTATGCTGATCTTATCGAAGGTGTCGTCTACCGACGTCACAACTGGGAAAAGCCCCTGATTTTTACCATGGTCATTCTTCAAAAGGTCCCTCATGTTCGCCGGACCCGCGACATCAAACCACTGCTGACTCGGCGTCTTGATCAATGGGACAGTGGTCTTTATGAATCACTTGCTACCGAATGTCACAAAGCCATGGAGTCTTTCCTCTCCGATCGCCGTGGCTCCAGCACACCAGAACAACGAGCCCGCCGCTTTCAGCATCTCATGCTTCAAGGTGAGGTGCGCCGAGCTGTCCGCTTTATCACTGCACGTGAACAATTCGGCGTGCTGCTCCCCACAGCTCACACTGATGACGGCAAGGGCACCGAGCGGTCTGTCTTGGACATTCTCAAATCCAAGCATCCCTCTCCAACCCCCATTAATTTCGCCCAGCTTCCCAAATTCGATGCTCCCCCACCAGCCTTTGTAGATCTTCAAATTACCCCTGAAATTACTGAACAGGTTGCTGGCAAACTATCCGGTGCTTGTGGCCTAGGCGGCACCGATGGTCCAACTCTCAAAAATTGGCTCCTTCGCTATCGACGAGCTAGTACCCACCTTCGAGCTGCGTTTGGTCTCTTTGCTCAATGGCAAGCCAACAACTTGGTTCCTTGGGCCGCCATCCGAGCTCTCAATGCCAATCGCGGCATGGCTCTCGATAAATTTCCCGGTGTACGCCCCATAGGTATTGGTAACATTGAACGACGCTACATTGCCAAATGTGTCCTCGCTGTTGCTGGCCCCGCTGCGGCTGCAGCAGCTGGCACTTCTCAGCTTTCCGTTGGTTTGAAAGCAGGCATTGAAGGTGCCGTCCACACGGCCAATCATGTCTGGGATCATCACCTTGGCTCATCTGACAGTCTCGACTCTGATTTCGGCTTCCTTATTATAGATGCCTCTAATGCCTTCAACGAATTGAATCGAACTGCCATGCTTTATACAGTTCGCCATCTTTGGCCCGAAGGCGCCCGCTTTACCTTCAACAGTTACAAACATTGGTCCCTTGTTATTTTTCACGACTCCACCGCTGAACAGCTCACATTATCCTCAGCGCTGTTGGAGTCGTGCAAGGTGATCCTTTAGCCATGTACTGCTACGGTTTAGCCTTAGTTCCTCTCATTAAACGGCTTCACCATGAGTTCCCTCACCTTCTGCATCTCTGGTATGCCGATGACGCCAATGCTGCCGGCAAATTTACTGATTTACAATTGCTTCTAGACCGTCTTATTCGGCTAGGCAAACCATTCGGCTACTTTGTTCAGCGCAATAAATGCACAATTATTACTCACAGTGCCAATTTTCACACAGCCACCACTCAGTTTACGCGTACCCGCGGCTCTCAACTCAAAGTCACAATGGTGCCAGATTTCTCGGTGGTCATATCGGCGAACCTGAAGCCCTTTCCTCCTGGGTTGATTCCAAAATCACAACTTGGACGGCCTGCATTCAATCTCTTTGTGAAGTGGCTCAGTTCACCCCCAGTCGGCTTATATTCCTGCCAAAAGTCTCTCCAAATGGAATGGCAATTTGTGCAAACGTGTCTGTCGTGTCCCCTCGGACTCTTGGCTTCCCTTGGAAAATGCTCTGGATTTTGAGCTTCTCCCCGCTCTATGGAACCTTCATTCAAGCGAACTGCCCCCCCGAGCTCTCACTTCCCTCCCAAACAAGTTTGCCGGCCTTTCTCTCCCCAACCCCATTACGGAAGCCCCCCTCCGCTACATTGCCAGTCGCGAAATTACTTCGGAAATTACCCGCTCCCTTCTTGCCCCCTTGCCCTTAATTCCCATTGAGCCTCTCCACACCCTGATTCACCCCTTCAGAATTGAAGACCACGCACAGCCCTCACAGAAGGTCGTACAGCGCCACCAAACGCCATCAGACGCCTACCAAGCGGCTTTCGAGACCCATCAAGCCACCTCACTCCGGCTGAGCAGTCCGCCTCAATCGCAGTCGTTGCACTGGCTCCTGGCTTGCATCATGCCCAATATTGCCAAACCACTCACCTCTCTGCTCAAAATGGCGTGATGCTCTTTTTCCCGGTTCGGTCTTACCCCCCAGCTCTTCCAGCACTTTGTGATGGCTGTACGGGTCCCTTCAGCGTTCCACATGCTCTGGATTGCAAACGCGGCGGCTTAATCATCCGTCGCCATAAGAAATCGCAATGAACTTGGTTCTATTGCATGTGAATGCTTTGGTTCCTCTAGCGTCCAGTCAGAACCCCCTTCCCTCTGTTCCCCCCCTACTCTCCCTGCCGGTACCCAATTTCTACCTTCCTCCCTTCTCCCCCCCCTCTCAATCCCCTCCAGCCCTGAGCTCTTACGTGGTGTGATCTTTCTATTCGCGGCTTGTTGAACGAGGTACTACAGCTATTAATGACGTCGGTCACTGATTTTGACTGTGCCTCTTACCGCAACAAAGATCCCTCAAAGTTTTAACCAACAAGAACGCGACAAAATTTCCAAATATAAAGATGCGTGCGAGTCAATCGCGCTTCCTTCCACCCCTTTGTTGTTTCAGTGGATGGCATGCTTGCCCCTCAAGCCAAGACTCTCTTTACAACGCCTTGCTTCTGCTACTGCTCCAAAACTCAATTTTCCACTCTCAAATGATGTTCTTCATGCAGACCCGTATCTTCAATTGCCCTTGTGAAAGCTACCCATTTATGTCTCCGTGGATCCCGCAAAGCCACCTTTGCCCGTAATTAATGGTCCTCAATTTCTTGCCCCTGATCCCTCAGAACCTAGTCCTGAATTTCGACTGTTCTTTGCTTAAGCCTGGCCCCGGCTGGCTTCCGTAGATAATTTCCCTACTCTAAACCCCTTTTACCCTACTCTAATAAACCCCCGTTTTAAAATAATAAATTTGATGCCCGCCTCGTTGACTTGGACGTCGTCGCTGTTACCAAAACCACGATATTCTGCGTGAAACTATTACTAGAGTTTTACGTGCGTGAAACAGTGCGTGAAACTAGTTTCACGCAGGTTCTTTACAGAAGATTCGATTGAGATTCGATTCGATTCTTAGCAGTCCCATTTCCGCACCCTGCCGGTACTAAAGTACACGTGTATCTGGTCGATGCACGAACCAAGAAAAGAAGCGAAGTGATGATTGTACTAGCTAGTACACTACTAGTACGTCCAGCGTTGCTCTCATTGGCAAGAAAAGACGTAAAGACTACAACAGCATCCAACCATGGCGACGACCGTGGGCACCTGCGACTCCGTAATAGCGGAAATCAAGACCTCTATGGAACAGGCGGGTTTCTTTTATGACGTGAACAACACAGTGAGCTGTGCCTGCAAAGCCACCACTTCCAACACAAGCGATGTTTTGGCGCAATTGCCGTTCACCAACAACGGGTTCTACGTTCAATGCAACTTTTGTCCGCAATGCGACGCTACGGGTGTTTGCGCCGATCGATCTATCATCTTTGAAACATTTGAAGATGAAACCACCAGAGGATTTGATGGGCTCGTGTTCCGAGAAGATTGTTTCACTTACACTAGCGGGCGGCCCTCGGATACGGTTTGCACCCAAGACTATTTTGATTTTGATTTGGGATATCAAGTGTGTAACACCACCGTAAATGACAACCAATGCAGTAGTTGTGCATATGAGCGTTGCGATGCAAATGATGAATTTAGTAGGAAGCCAATGAGAATGGATTGCAGCAATCAACCTGGTGGAGAAGTCTTTCACCCATGCACCTTTGCCGAGGATGGCAAAATTGTCAGAGGAAGCAATCTCAGTGGTGTTTTCACCATTTGGAACGAAGACTTTTTGTGCGTCGACGGACCTACAATGCCAACCATCAGTGAAGGAAACATTATCCCCGCTCTGGATATGTCATGGGTTGGTGTGTTGACCGCGCTTCTATGGTGGGCCCTCTGAGATGAGAGCAAACTACTGGAGTAGTACTGTAGTGTCAAGGCGCACTGTAATAGATGATAATATGACCGGCGTCTTTGATGGATTGCAACGCAACCAGAGGCGACAGATGGTACTCCTCAATATATCAACCTTTTGAATTTCTCCTGCACTGCATGGAACTGTAGAGAACTGCAATGAAGTTGCTTCGATTCGTATGTTGTAGATAGGCACTGACCAATTGCATCTCGCTGTAGAAGTAGAAGTCGGCGCTCACTAGTTGGAAATACGTATCTATGCACGAGGATGATATCCTGCTCTTATAACTCTAGCTAGGCACCACGATGCATGACATCGAGGTACGATGATGCATGGTCCCGACTCGACCCGTCTAACGTATTAGTTAACATACAACAGGAAGAACCGCCTTGATTCACATTGACACGAAGCAACCGCATGCCTTAAAACAGTGAAACGGTGGCTGCATACCGAATCACACACTTCCTCCTCTTTCGCCCCCCGTGCGGGTTCATGGGAGATTTGCCAGCCGTTTAGTTGCACGGTAGCACATACCGTCGGTTTGCATCATATGCAGCCAGCAATCGCTTCTACATTTACGGTACTTGGTACCAACCCACATTCTCATTGTGCCCCTTTCAAAACTGCCGTTCCCCTGGGTGGCCAGCTCAAACATCAAAGAACGGTTGGCCACTATTCCGTTCTAGCGACGCTAGACTGGAAAGTGAGAGGGCCACATCATCGCCCATCTCGACCAAATTGCCTCCAGATTCCACTCGAACCATCTCGTCCTGTTCAAAAGGAGTGACACCGTCCTCGACCAGCTGCTCCTCGAGCGTTTCTAGTCGGAAGGGTTTCGGTAGCACACAGTTGGCTCCACAGTTTCGAAAGTGATCCACATCCTCTGACATTACGTTCCCAGTAACCCCGGCAATATAAGACGAGCATCCCATCTTCCTCATTTTCTCACAGGCCTCAGGACCGTTCATATTGGGCATTTCTGTTGGGACGATGAAAGAAACACGACGAACACCATTGTCAGTTTACACACTGCTCGCAAGTAGACGGCAGGACAATGAGGCAACGCTAGCTAGTTAGCAACGCACCATAATCTAACAGGATACAGTCGTATGGTTTCCCGGATTCCATGGCTTTCTTCACCATTTCCACCGCTTCCTTTCCGTCACAAGCACCCTCGCAAGTGTGACCGCTCCGTTGCAGCAAACGAATGCACAGTTTGCGATTGGAAACGGCATCATCCACCACCAAAATGTTCAGCTTGGGGATAGAAAACTCGCTGTCTTCTTCTTTGCCTCCTGACCCGTCCTTCAACGGTGTGGCGTCTGTTGGGTCATGGGTAGACTTTTCGTCTTCATTGGTCTCATAGAGGGGGAGCGTAACGGTAAAAATACTTCCCATTCCCAAACCACCGGAATGCGCCGACAGCTTTCCGTCGTGCTGGCTGACAACTCCTTGTGAAATGTTCATCCCCAAGCCCGACCCCCCACCGGCTTGGAACTTGTTGGCATTAAACTGTGTGCCGTCATCAAACACCGTCTTGGTTTGCTCCTTTGTCATACCCACTCCGTCATCAATCACTTGAATGACTACATCGCCTCGAAGAATGAGTGTTACTCGCTCTTCCTTGGCCAATGCCACAATCTCGTCTCTTCGTTTGTGTTCCGGGAGCTGCTTTTCAAAGACTCGCACAATCAGGTTTCCGCCTTCGCGAGAGAATTTGAGTCCATTGGAAATCAAGTTTCGAAAGACCTGCGTCAGCTTCACATTGTCACCCACTACCTTGCAAAAGCCGAGATCCGACGGCACACCACTCGAACAACATGCCTCGACATCGTCATCATCCTTGCCATTGAGACGCGAAAAGTCAATCGTCAAGTGGACTCGCTTTTCCAGGGCTGCAATCTTGAATTCATGCACCGTCCGTTCCAACGAATGCCAAATGGGTATCAGCGACAACTCCAATGTCAACGTGCCCATTTGAATCTTGTCATAGTTGAGTAGGTCCGACAGCACACCAACAGCTGCATCGGCATTTTGAAAGACTTGTGTCGACAATTGCATCCATTCTTCGACTCGTTCCTTGTCAATCTTGTCTCCAACCATCTTGGTGGTGGTGGTGCTGGATTGCGATCCACGCCGCAGTCCCAAGACGCTGGCAAAGTCATGTTGCAACAGCGTCAAGCCAAGGCACACAGTGTTCAAGGGCGTTCGGACCTGAAGAAGACGAAACAGCAAGTTAGGCGGCTATACCAAAACGTAACCTCGCGTACAGGCACACTCTCCATCTCCAGAACTTACCTCATGACTGACATACCGCACAAACTGTCGTTTGGCTTCTAGTAGTTTCTTCTTGTCATGAAATTCTCGTCGGACAAAGTAATCATATCCCAAAAAGAGGAGTGCGGTCAAGGCCATGATGAGTACCGCCCCAATACATGCGGTTTTGGGATTGTTGGTCTGATAGGCAAGCATGTAGTCTTGGGTGGCGTAAATGTCCATGTAGTAGGGTACCGTGTTGTTGCTAAAGTAGCGTGGATTGATGCGCGTTCCGACGGAGGAAAACAAGTGTGCAGAAGTGTCGTGCAAGTCGCCTTCCCCGGCATAGACGGCCATTCCGTCTTGGATGCGGTAGGTGTGAGCCCGTGTGGGCGTTCGTAGGACGACATGAAGGCCATTGACATCGGATTCAAAACCGTGCTTGAGGAGATCGTGCCAGATTTGTTTGCCCACGATAAAGCCAGTGAGCTGTTTGTAAGGATATGGAAGGATAGAAAGTGGGCAAAGACAAGGCATGGGGTCAGATACATCAATCAATCAAAGTATGGGAGACAGTCACTCGTCCATCAAGCAGCTCCAGCGAGCTAGGTAGCTAGCTAGAGAGGATGACACAACGCAACGTACCTTTGCTGGATCCTTGCGAGGATAAATGGGTACCATCATCATTCCTGCCGGTCCTGGATCGACCTCGGCTTTGGTTTCGGACCACATGAGGTCCGTGATACTTCCACATTCTCGTTCGTAGTCTTGCGTTTGGGCGCGTTCGTCCGAACATGCCATGACATTGTCAATGGCCGCAGCTCGATTGTGTTCAAAGTAGACATTGAGCATGAGGACGGGATGCGCTCCATGGTCCGATTGCAGGAACGGCAGCAATATATCCTTGTGGTCGCGACGATGGTACGTCCATCCAGTGGTACTGGGAAAGCGTCCATCCGGAAAAGTGGCATTGCCGTGCGGTCCCTTGCCAAAGGAAAAGATGCCGCGTCCAAAGGCACTGACACCGGTTGTATTGTCGTAGTTGCTGGTATTGTAGAACAAGTCGTAGGCAAATGCTTCAAACGACGCTTGTTGGGCTCCACCCGGTTGGACAATGGGACAAAACGAGAGTGATCCTTCCGTGACAATCCCCAAACTCCGCGCAATGGACGTGTATCCGTCCAGGTAGACATTGGGCCATGCGTCCGCTTGTGGATTGGCGGATCCGACCATCAAGGCGAGTGAATCGGTGGCCTTTTTCTTTTCTTGCACCACCAACTGCGCCACGGACAGCGCCCGTTCCGCAATGCTGTCAAACCGGGATGCCGCTTGCGACTCTTGCGCTGCTGCCATGAGCGCATACGCGGCATAGCCCAATCCGGCCGCGGCCGTCACCAGCACCACGAGAAAGACGAGTCGTCCGTACAAGACGCTCTTGGATGTTTGGAGAATGGCCGGAGTCTTGTCGGACGTTGTTGCGTGAGAGGATATGGACCGCGTCTTGCTTGTGCTGCTGCTGCCGCCGCGTTTCCTAGTACTACTAGTGACATGGTTGGTGGAGCGGCGTTTGGCATGGGTGTCGCTGCTGGTGGGGCTGCTCGTGCGGCTTGTTCGCAGACCAGGTGGAGGCATGGCCGGTCGACTGCTACTGTCGTCTTCTGGATGAAGAGGCTCCGCAGACTGCATCTTGCTTCTTCAAGGCTCAGACAAACAGATAGAAAAAGAAATCTATGGTGATGGAGGAGCTGGCTTGGAGCTTGGACTTGGATATTATGCTTTGTGATGATCAACAGGCCTGCGGTTTGCGACAAGCAATTGGCTACTCAGAGTAGCTAGCTTTGGTGTGGGGGTGTGCGAGAGTCGAGTCGACTGGAGAGTGATGTTTCGATGTTTTGGTGATCAGGGTGCTTTGTGATTGTTATCTCGATAGTGTCTTCTCTGCTTTGGTTTCGCGTTCGACCTTATCTCTTATTTCCACCTCTCCCTTCCCTTTCGTAAAAGGGATCCCTGTCCACGATTGACAGCTTTATACATAAGGTAGATGCGGTAAATAACATTTACTCATTCAAAACATAAACAGTAAACATAACTGTAACCCTATAATTACCTCAGCTACCTGCGTAGATAAGTCTCAATGCTCCATGCAGTTTGAGAAAGGCATCTGCTTCTTGTTTCTGCCCTCACAACATCGATCAAACAAGAACCACTTCTCTTGGTACAAATGTGTCCAAGATACAGCAACAATTTACCCAGGGACATGCATGTTAAAACTCATGCAATAAGTAAGTGACAGTAATGCCAGTCATGGATCGATTCTACTTCTCCAGGTGAGCGTGAATTAGAGATACTCGTGTGGGCAAATCTTGTGATGACCACAACTGACGCATCAGCCTTCCTTCCTTGTTCTTTTCATCTGATCTCACTGAAACGAGGAAGTCTCGAGAAACTCAGTGAGAAAAGCCGGTGGAGTTGATTTGGTAGTTCAACTCCCGCGTCTCCTCCATACCGGTACTGCCCTGTTCGGGAAACGGAGGATGCCTCCTCTCCGTAACTTTCTGTTGCCAAAGAGAAAGCTACCGCCATCCATCCGAGCTGAGGAGTGCCGAGGTCAACTCTTGGCACGGTCTTCGGGCCTGCCCAGAGATCGAAGCGCAGGCAACAATTTTCCGCAAGCGTTCTACTGAGTAGGGGTTTTCTCGTCCATCACCCGAGATAAGTGACCGAGGGAGGACACTCCTCTGCTGCGAAGAGATTGAGAGGGCGGGAGTCGAAAAAGTCGAAGAGAGTCTCTGGATTCCTGGATTCTAGGATTCGGGTGCTACATGGGCACCAAGCCGACAGTCCTCGATAGCTATTCCACAGTCCACCACTGCAGCGGTTACCTCTAAAGTTCTGCATACCGGTACTCCTCACCCGATGCATGGCAGTCCCGCCCACGTCCCAGAGATTTGAACCTATCATAGGTTCTCGGCCATAGAAGTCGACCACAGCTGGGCATGCCCTTGTTTCAATCGAACTTGGCCCCTGTAAAATTTCACTCAACAGAAAATCGCAGACTCCACTCCACTCCCAGTTCTGAGACGCTATGCACTTCCTTGTACCGGTACATGCACTAGTGTAGCCTCAAGGTCGGCAGTCATCACGGAGTCGCACTTCCGGGCAGTCATCCCAGTTGCAGATACGAGGTTACCCGGGATAGTTAGTTATCCAAGCCGTCTTCCCCCGAGAAAGGTACCGTATGGAGGCTACTAGCTAGCTAGCGTGATGCAAGAGATTATTGCATTTTTAAAAGAACAAAGGCCTGGCGACCCAGCAGGAAATCTTGGCAATCTGATGAGTCGAGTCGAGTCTGATCAGTGATCGAGTCGGTGCAAGCTTCATGTGCAAGAATTGTGGGGATACATTATCTTTCCTAAACTACTTGTATCCCTGTAGTTCGCCAGAGGGGAGTTCCGAAGCACACTGTGCGGCATTTCATGTTGGAGGTTGTGTCACCGCTCCAAAATTCCCTGAGGCGAGGCGAGAAAAGGCAATGGCTGCGTTGGAGACGAGGCAACCAAGTTGTCTGGGCTGGAGTGCGTCGAGTCTGTCAGCGCATGAAGCCTAAGAGGCGTTTTGGATCCGGTACGGTGTGGCTGGTTGCACAGGAGACGAAGAGTAACAGCGTGCGGACAAAGGACCACGCTCACAGCTAGCTCGTCGCGCTATTGATACTCGTAACGGTATCCTCGAATCCTTGAAGCGCGTGTCGCCATCGATCTTCCTGGTGCAGTCGCTTCATGCCGCCCCTACAAGTCACAGAGACCCTGCTTCAGTTCGTCAACATTGGCACCCGAGCACAGCAGCTCTGATAAAAGGTTGTTTGTCAAATGGACACGGGGGGTCAAAGCCGGACCGGAGAGTCAAGTGATGCAAGTCACCATGTCCAACCAAAACTTGGCAAAATGCCAGCTCTTCCTCAGCATGATGATGGAGACGGAATTCAAACAAACATACGAGAGTCTCTTCCCCTTCGAAGATGCTTTTGCCACTCCTCGTGTCAGGTCCGACAAGACACCTAAGTGAGGGCTACCTCCGAGCTTCAAACGGAGAGAATGTATCCCATTCGGGTGATCCCCGATGGCTTTGCCTAGCCCATCAACTGATGTGAAAAAAGCAAAAGGTTGGCAATATCCCAGAAGAGCCTCTGAAGCATTGGGAGGCATCCGATTGCATGGAAAAGTTGATCGGAGGATAAATCGCCATCGGACTCAACAAGTATTGGCTCGAGCTCCCGTAGGACCAACATATGGTCTAAGCAATACGCCGCGTTCCGACGAGTCGAGTGAGACTCCGAGTACAGTGTACATCGATCTGCAGGTGTTTCAGGGTTCAAGGGGGGGGGTAACTTTTTATTGTAGGCTTGAATGGATTCTCCACCTTTCTAGGACGCGGACGGTGCGGTACATGGAGGCAGCAAACCGTCCCCCGCAGTTGAGCTTCTGATAGGCAGAATGCTGGGGCTCGTATGTGCAACTGGGCTTGCCGCAGATACATTGTAAAATAGCTCGCTTGTCTTTTGATTCAGATGCACTTGCATTCTGCAGCTCTATCCATGGCATTCCAGCAAAATTTCAGGAGGGAAGTCCTCCTGTCGGGCCTTCTGTTGAAGAGCTTCTCGAAGATACTTCGAGGAGAAATCCAGGCTGTCGCTGCTGTGCTCATAAGATAGTTGTCAATTGCAACCGGATTACTGCCTGCTAAGCCCACTGCTCCTACATTTGGAACGTTCGTGCAGACAGGCATCCCAGAAGCAGTCCTGGACACCATCTGCGTCTTTCTTCGAGCTCATTCGTTTTAAAACCATTCAGCTCCAGAAACCACTCCCAGCAACACGATTCTCGACGACAAGCATTCACATTGACTGTCGAGCTCTGATATGTTTCATGGCCTTGTAAAATGGGGCATACATCGGAGGTTGCCCCAATGCGTTGACAAGATCATGCTGGCGCAAAGCAAGCCACAAACTCAGTACGGTGAATCTTCCGGGAAGTCGTGGTCCAAGGCATGCTTGTGCACACAGGCCACAAAGCTCATTATTGGTTCGCCCCACCAGGGCTTATGAACCACAACTTGGTATCTTGCCATCTCTTCGCAACGAATGAGTTCCGCATACGGTAGCTGCAATTGTGTTGTGCCGTCAAGGGTTTGATGAGGTACAGTGCTTTGTCGAGTCGTACAGAGTCGCTCCCTCTGGCTGTAGCAGGGGACGCTGGCGCTTGTCTGGACCGAAAGTTGGATTCGCGCTGCGCCATTGTTCTTTCTGGCATTCTGAGTCGCCACATCTTTGAGCTGCCTGACCGTGATACATCTGCATAGCTAGCAAGCTTCGACTAGATAAAAGGCCTGGCTAGCCGGCTGATCAAACAGATCGACACAGCGCATGGACAGTTGAGCCTAGCTAGTAGATATTTTTCTTACGCTCGTTTCTATTTGGTTGGCCCCCAGCCAGCCAATCCGTCGTCTAGAGCTAGCTTGCTACTCTGGCTCTCAAGTTGGACGATGCACATGTTGCTCGGCCCTTTTCTGTTTTGAAGGTGCTGTCGAACTCCTCTCCAGTAACGGTATAGGACGATGCACATGTTGCTCGGCCCTTTTCTGTTTTGAAGGTGCTGTAGAACTCCTCTCCAGTAACGGTATATTCAGTGTCAAAGGCTAGGACGTCATCCAAATACTGTTTGTCATTTTCAAAGCAAGATGAGAGGCTTGATCGAGTTCGCAACCGTCGCGCTGACAAGGCTCCAACGAGCAACGCCATGACTGCAACGATGCCAATAATAATGGATTGGTCTTGAGCGGTTGAGGATCGGCCCCATGACTTGATTTTCATCTCCAAGGGAAGAGGTACCAGTAAGCGAGGAAGAGTGGAGTTGCTGTTGGAGGCTGCCATCATTCGTCTGTTGCCGTCGACGGGTCAATTGAAATGCAGGAGAAGTTACTACGGGATAGAGTGGACAAATGGTGAGGATGGGTATCAGAGGAGGGCCGCCGAGACTACTATACTATTGTGTTGCCGCATGATCGAGTGCTTTTGAGTACTATGGTCATTGGTTTTGATCATGCGTACATTCAACGAGCTATGTACTAGTACCAGGTACAGGCTGTATTGAGTGTTATAGTTACACGCAAATAGCTTGCGTGAAACTGAAGTTTCACGCAGACGTTAAAAATATAATTCCACTCAGAGGGGAAATTATAATTTCACGCACGTGAAACTATAGTTTCACGCACGTACTTTATCTCTTCGAGTCTCGTTTCTTAGGCTCCACCATGTTGCTCAGTCATCTTGCCAACTTCGCTTTTCCCCAATAAAAACGAGAGCAACCTCCATGTATCGCAATCGCCACATGCCAAGCAAGATGGATGCAAAGAAATAATGATATCAAGATGAATTTGATCCGACGATGCCTAGTCCTTCCACAAGTGTTGGTAGCCTTTGTCATGACTGTGTACCTTTCAGGTGTTTGGTGGGTGAACACTCATCTGATTACTTCCCATGTCCCTGTCACTGCCGTTACTACTACCATGACAAGTAAAAGTACTCAAGTCCGCCTTTTGCCCACAAGATCAACACACGAAGATGATACGAATCATGCCAACATTCCCCCGTTAGATGCTGACTTTCCCTTGGAACCAATTCCCCGTCCTCCCTTGGACTCAATCGTCCAGGGTTGGAACATTACAGGGGACGCTTCGTGGCTGTTGAATGTGGCCATTATTGGGTTCCCCAAAACAGGCACTTCCACGCTGATGCGGTATCTGCACAAGAGTCCCCAAGTGCATGTCTTTGACGAAGAACGCTGTGAAATGGGGTACAATCAACATGCACGTCTCATGGAGAGTTTGTACAAGGATATCCCTCCAGGGCATACACTACGAGGGATCAAGTGTCCACGAGATTTGGAATCCAATTTGGCACTCCACAATTATCAAACCTATTTTCCCAAGACCGACTTTTTGGTAGGTCTACGGCATCCCGTACTCTGGTTTGAATCCTTTTACAATTTCAGAGTCAACAATTACTTTTCCATGCCACCGGCGGAAACCCTGACAGGACGGTGCGCCCGACGACATCAAGGATTGTGTACCTTTCGAGGCAATTTTCACTTGTTTCTCGCCAATCTGGGAAAAACCAATATACTCTCCAATCCAGCAGAGAAGGCACTGATTCCACCCGAATATCACAAAATGATTCAACCCATTCCCTTGCAAGGACGCATCTTTTTGTGGGATGTTTCACAACTCCAAACCGATCAAGAGTTGCTCCAAAACAACAACCATTCATCCTTATTATTACAGCAACAACCACAACTAAGACACAGCAATGTCCAATTCCGACACGACTTGCAACAATTTCTGCGATTGGACGATCCCCTTCCCGAAATGATCAAAATCAAACCGGGATTTCATCATCGCAACAATCAAACGGCTGCCCAGCAAGTGGCAGCACAAAAGATTGATATTTGCCAACCACAATATCAATCCATTCGCCAGATACTCGTGAGACAGGGCAAACTGGCAGCTACATGGATTCGAGAGTACTTTTTGGAGGCACCAGGAGTGTACGTGTCACAAAAAGAGTACTTTTGCCAAGTCATTTTGAAACAATGGGAACAGGATCCCTGTGAATTCCGGACTGTCTAAGTGCACACAACACTACCTTCCAAGCTATCTGTTTGAGGCTTGCTATCATATCATACATGAATTTGGTCAGTGGATGCAGGTGGGTGGCCTCTAGCTAGCAGCCAGTATCATCTGTCTTTCCCGTTTGCAATATGTATGGGAAGTGGGAAGAAGCACAAACTCAAGGCACACATTGGCTTCAGCACCAGCCACAAAATGGAGTGAGTCAGGATGAGCAAGGAACCACGCAAGTGCCTCTTAGTAGGCAGCATGCCCTTTGGCAAAGCGAGCAGTTGTGTATGGAAACGGGCGCCGAGAGATTGGGCCCTGATGCCTTGATTTCCATGCCCAATGTTCAAACCGAAATATCCACCCAAGGAGTTGGTGCAACACATTGATTGATTTTGTGTACCAACAATTCATGGAGGAAAGCTGGTCCGTCTTTCAAAGGATCAAGAAAGAAGGATTGATTGCACAAGATGTTCCTTTTCAAGTTGGCACACCCACAGGCAGTGGCATCAGCTGTATCTCCATCCATACCGGCTCGGTTAAAAAGAAGTACAGGCCTGCTACCGGTATGGACGAGCGGTTGGCTCACGCGGTGATGGAAATGATTCAACCTGCAGGGAAAGATAACGTCCTTATTCAGGTCAGGTGGAAATTGCCATGGAAAGTTCAATGGCATGGATGTTACCCGAGTGCCCGCCTTCACAGTTTGCCACATCGATGGGTGATGGAGCATTTGCATCAATATCCAAGGTTTTGGTTTGCGTTGTCACTAAGGTCGTGACAACGTTTCCAAGTCACCTCAACCTGGACTATGTACACTATCCCTTTGCCGAGCAAACCACCATCGACAAATCCTTCCACGTATGCTCGTCTCAAGGATGTGCAACTTCCAAGGATATCGTTGGAAGGTCATTCCGTTATTCTGAAGGCGATTGAATCTGCTAGAGAACAGCCAGTGGACATTGCCTGTTTTTGTGGGCGCGGACGGCGCAGTGCCGAGGTGGCCACGCAGCTCTTGGAGACCATAAAGCACCCCTTTCTGCTTGATCGGCTAGCTAGAGTTAGCTAACACTAGGCTGTTTCTTCTTAGTGACGTTACGGCAATCTGAACTTTAGCGTCAACGATGGTGATGGTTCGTTCAGGAACAAAAAGCGAACTCGCTGTCGGATGGACCAGGCGAAGATGACTAAGTTGTAGTGTCATCATTTTTTCTCACCATTCCCGAAGCAAACAAACTGGCAGCAACATGATTTCGGATTCCAGAAACCCGTACCGGTACTACCTTCCGGTGGAGGAAACAATTCCACCATTGCCGACGCACAATGTCGTGGCCATGATACTGTCTATCTTGGTGTTGTGCATTGGCCTTTTGGCATGTATCATCGTGTGTCCTGCGGAACTATTTCTCCTCCTGGGAGGGCTCGAATTGGGTGGCATTCTAGCGGCCCTTGCATCGTCGAATCCTTGGACACAATACATGGCCCCCAAATTGTTGTGGGGTTCGATTATTTGCACAGCGATGGGACTCTTGAAGCTCCGTTGCCGAAGACAAGAAGACCTGGAAGGCTCCTTCTGCTCCTTCCTAGACGTGGAATTGGGCGATTCTTGGGACGATGCCTACGAGAGTGCCGTTGCCCGAGTGCGGCTACAGAAAGATGGAAACCTGATTTGTACGACCCAGTTTCAATAGATGCATGCCTGGTGGAGCATTTTATCGAGAACTCGCACTGCCGGGCGGCGAAGGAGGCAACACGTTAAAAAGATGTCCCAGTCCAACGGCACCGAGCCCCACATTCGACGAGCTTTGTACGAGTGAAGGATGACGCCTACATGTATGCATGTGTGGTCGGAAGTGCTATCTTGATTCTCATGATACCCTCATCCTCTTCCGGATGTTCTGGCTCACGTATTGGCTGCAGGGTAGCTGCACCATGATACCATCACTCGTGCTGTCAAACTGCGGTCGGTTCGCTTCTCACATGCTCCGAATTTCTAATTTCTAAGCGAACCCAGGCCCCGTGTGCCCAGACGAGACGAAGCCACAGAGCAGCATTGTTACCATTCAATTAGTCCCACCCGAGAACAGTGCCATTTTAATCTAACACATCTACATGTATCAAATGCCTCTGAAAGAAAGATGATCTCTCATCATACGTCTAGCACGTACTACAACATCCCACAAAAGGCGACGCTGCCTCCACTTACCGTACATGTAACGGCGGACAACGTCGTGGCCATCAGTCTGTTCCTGTGCGTTGGCCTTCTCGTTGCAGCTTGCATCCTCATCGTTTGCCCCAGGGAAATGCTTCCAGCGGAATTGTTTTTCTTAATGGGAGGAGCCAGCTTGGTAGGATTCCTGGCAGCCCTGGTCTCTTCTAATCCATTGACGCATCAACTCGCACTCAGAATGTTAGTGTCTACGCTTGTGTTCACTACCATTGGAGTGTTGAAACTTCGCTGTCGCCACAGGAACATCGGACGAAGTGCATCCTTCTCCGACCAAGTCGAGCTGGATGATTGGGACGATCGTGTTCACCTCGTACAAAAAAGGGGCAACATGTCGGAACCAACAGGCCTAGCGTCGATTGAGGCGAATGCGAGTGTTTGAGATGCCTCGTGGCGACAGAGCCAAAGGACACGAATGCATCCCTGGCACGATGTCGACGCATTTGCAAGCAAGCAAGCCCGCGAAAGTTGAGATCTTCGCCTCCGACCGCGGATGCGTCGAGTAATTTGCTTCAATCTGGTGCGTCTGGCTTCCTCAGCACCACGGCTTCGATGGCACGAGTTGCACGCACTGGAGATGGCTCCGCTATTGCCTGGCTGCAGTAAGTATGCCAGGGCTGAAACTTTCCTCTCCTACGTTTCATGATGAACAGTTCTTATAAATAAATCGTTAGTTGTAGTGTAATAGGGTCCCCACCACACAAATCATGACGTTGTTTTGTTTCGTTCTCTCTTGTCTTTTTTGTCCAAGGTTCAGTTTCATTCGTTCTACGTGTATTCGTTTGGTTGTTGTTGTTTAAAAAAAATCCCATTTTGTGAGATCGGTGCCACGACGGTTTCGATTGAACCCTTCATTCCCATCCGTGTTGTATATCGATCCGTCGTGACGGTCACATTATCAATGCAAGAACGTAGCGGCACACCTGCCCATTCCTCTTTTTTTAAAGCAGATTGTCGTACTCGTTCGCAGCTATCTCGTCATCATCATGACGACGGTGCTGCCTTTTTGTTCTTTTCGTCAAACATGTTCAAGACATGTCGAAAGCTCGCATTGGAGACGCTCATGTTGTCATCGTAATTCTCCCCCAACAATTCTGCTTCTTCCCGTCGTCGTCGATGTTCCCGTTCTCTCCGTTGGGCTGTATTTTCTTCTTCAAATACATCTTCGGTAATGGTCAGTGCTACCGACGATGCCATGGAGAATGATTCGACCGACAGGGTACTGCTGCAGGTACTACGATTGGCTCGACTGACGACCTTGTTGCGAATGGATGTCCCGCTGGTACCAGTGCTGGTGCTACTGTGATAATGTGGCTTGTTGTTGTTGATGCTGCTACTGCTGTTGCGTAACCGGGCGGCTCGTCTGGAAGAGGATGGTTTGGGTGGAATGACGGCCGTGCTAAACATCATGTCTTTGAATTCGTCAAAAGATATTTTTCCATCTCCATTGTCATCGACTTGTCGTACAATGACATTGAGGATGTATCCTTCCATGTCATCGTCCAAGGAAAGTACTTCTTTGAGGTTGTCGACTGAGATGTATCCCTTGTTTTCCTTGTCGAATATTTTGAATGCGGCCATGAGTTTAAAGTCGTCAATGAGATTCTTTTCCATCAGCGACGCCACGACGAACTCCGAGTATTCGATTCTGTAAGTATGATAAGTAAATAAAGGATGATGAAAATAGAATGGGATTGTTCGTCGTGGTGAGTACAGATTACAAACCAAGACCCTCATTGTTTTGATAGTACTTACGCCCCCGATCCTGAAAAGTTGACTTGCTCAAACATGGAATTCAAATCGGCATCACTGAGTGCATGTCCAAAGAATTCCTTGTAACTGGTTTCGACATCTTGTCGTGTGAGTTTCCCGTCGCAATCGTGATCGAGACTTCGAAAGACATTGTCAATTTCTTCCTTTTCTTGTTTCTTGAGGAATTGCGATGCAATGAGCGAGCAGACGCATTGTTTGAGTTTGGAATTGGCTTGGAACGATTGCAAATTTCCTAAAGACATGCGTGTGGATTCTCGTCGTTTTTGACAATGAATGTCCCGTCGTTGTCGAATCTGTTGCAACCAGGGATGCTGTAAGGCTTGTTCGGCCGTAGGTCGATTGTCTTCTTCGTACGCCAACAAGTAAGCAATAAAGTCCATGGCATTTTCCGAAACATCGTCCCAGCTGGCATCTTCAAAGTCGACTCGTCCACAGAGAATGGATTGCACGACATCTTGTTCGTCGGCACCATCAAAAGGAGCAAATCCGGCCAAGCAAACGTAGGCAATCACGCCGCTGTTGTTGAAATCAACACGACAAGTAAGTAAGGAGTGTGAGTGAGTGATTGTCTTGATTCGTGTTCGTATTGTTCTGTTTGTATTGTATGTATGTATATGTACGCACCAACTCCAAATATCACATTTGCAATCGTAATTGCCTTGAATGACTTGGGGACTCATGTAATAGGTCGATCCCTCCAATTCGGTGAATCGATCCCCATACGCGGCGAGACCAAAGTCGATGATTTTCAAATCTTCAAAATTCTTGTTTTCCTCGAGCAAAATGTTCTTCGCGAATTTCAGTTCAGTTGTGTTAGTGAGTCAATCAATTTGTCAATATATTTGATCGCCGCAAATCAAACGAACCATTTCCTACATACCTCTGGTTTCAAATCACGATGCGCCAATCGTTTATTCTTGTGACAATAATTGAGGCACGAGAGTACATTGTTCATGAGCAACGCGGCATCGTCTTCATTGAAGCGTCCAAATTCTTCCAATTCATCATAGAGTTCACCACCGGCGTAGATATCCGTGACGAGAAAAAAGTGTGTCTCCGATTCAAACAATGCATACAACTTCAATATATTGGGATGATCGAGATTCTTGACAATATCAAATTCGGCAATAACCTTGTCGTTGTCTTCCTTTTTGGCATGCTTGCCAACCACTTTGACAGCCCGCGGTTCTCCCGTTTGTTTGTCGACACACGCATAGACTTCCCCGAATCCTCCTTCACCGAGCAAGTCTCCAATCGTATAGTGCGCCTCGATGGAAGAATCGACATTGGTAGCGACGAATTGTTGCGCTCGAAATTTGACACTTTGTTGCGCCCATTGTTTCGACGAGTGCGACTGGGAGAGTGAGCCGTGCGACATCATCATATTCGAGTCATCGTCCATACCACCCAAATCATCAATCCGAATGGAATTGGTAAAATCGGGAATGCTGCCGGTAATACTGCTGCCATGACCATATGGATGCCCGCCAGCATTCATGTGCGACGTACTGCCGTGAAAACTGAGATTCAACAATCGTCTCGAACTCGCATTGTGCGTCCGCGGCACTCGAAAACCACTGCCGGTGGAATTGATACTCTTGCCACTTCGCATGGACATGAGTGCCATGGAGGAACCTTGGAATGGTGCATCGCCATGACGTCCCACTAATGCTTGGACGCGAAACGATTGTTGCGAAGCCATTTGATTGCGACGGCCAGCACTCGAACCCAAGTTCATGCCGCGTGTCGTAGGAGCCGTCGTCGTTGTTGTCGTAGTGTTGCCGCCACTCTCGCGACGATGGTTGGCGACTTCCGTTGCCATGGTCTTGTCTTGGGCCATACAAATAAATATCACAGTAGTAGCAAAAAGAGAGGTAGACTAATGGAAAGAGGAATGACTCGACTCGACTAGACAACCGCCAAAGAAGTGAATTAATGCGTCTATATATGTCTCTCTCTTGGGTTCCTCTCACTAGATAGCTACAGTATAGCTAGTTCTTTGGACAGCAGCAGGCTGTGATAGCAAGGTCAGGCTTTGGGACGGACGTCGGTTGTTTTGTGAACAAGCGCAGCTTCACCAGTCGCTCGCTAGATGGCTAGCTAGCGGTTGCTGGAGGCATGAAACTTCGTTCGATTGGCTTCTTCTTCTGTTTCGAGGGCAAATAAATAATTATTATTAATCGCGCTCGCTGATCATTAATCACATAATATGTGAGTCCAGCTGGTGCATCAACTGTGTCTGGTGCTGGGAACAATGCCCATACAAGACTTAAAGACTAATACTATTTGGAGAACTAAACACTAAAGCATACAAAGAAACTTTCCTTACAGTATAGTCATTAGGATTTGCTCTACAGTCACCCTGATCTTAACCTAGTCATGACTGGATTCGAGTATTCGTAAGGAGAACTCCACAATACCAAGAAAACGGCGAATTGTGAGATGCACAGTCCACCGATCGATGGTTCGTTGGTCGCTTTGACACTGGTATCTTGTACCAGTAGACAATAATGACTCCAGCCTGTACCGCCGTAAAAAGTTGCTGAAGCGGTATTCTAAGCCACTCTGATGTGCTACGGTTCTTTTGCGAGTCTTTGTTACTAGCTAGTTTGGGATTGATTGTATCATCCATCCAACAGGAAAAAGGCCCCAGCAACATGTATGTGCATCGTCTGACTTGACAGCCACAGTACCAGGCACCACACGGTGGATAGGATACGATAGCAAGCTGGTGGCTATGCAACATGTGCATCGTCCAACTTGAGAGCACAGCTGGAGATGACAGAAGGGCTTGAAGCTACCTACCGTATCTATCTAGTAGGGAGCGATAGAAACGAGCTTTTTAGGAGGCTCGGCAGTCCTGTGTCGATCTGGATGGTTGATCTGGCTGGCTGATCAGCTGGGTCTATTAGTATCTACGGTACTAGTCAAAGCTTGCTTGACAAGCAAAACAACGAGAGCTATCAAGGTGGAGGAGATCAGCACCACTGAAACGGGATCTCGGCGCGAGGATCATGGGCGGAGGCCGCAACAAGCAATCTAGCTCTATGCATAGCTCTAGCTAGCAAGAGGACAGAACAAAGGAGTCCAAACACGAATGATCTTCTACTATTGAAAGATGGACCAGCTTTCCTTCATGTATCAACGATACATGTACCCAAAATCGATAAATGTTGTGCCAATTCCTTGGGTGGATCTTTCGGTTTCTTCTTGAACATGGAATTGAAAATCAAGGCACCAAAGGGCCCAATTCTTTCTTGGTGGGGCGGCCGTTTCCACACACAGGCCCAACTCCTCGCTGCCAAAGGGCATGCTGCCTACTAGAAGGCCCTTGCGCGGTTCCTTGCTCATCCTGGCTCCATCTTATAGCAACGACAGGCAACATAATATTATGATGTTGTTGCCGTTGCTTCTTCAGAACGGCTCATGCGGCTTTCCGTGGTTGCTGTGCCGGATTAGATCGACGCCAAAGTTTTAAAGCCTGTTTTACTGTTTGAACGAATTTGTTTTATTGTTAGTCTACTTGGCTCGAGAAACACAGGACACCCATCAAGTTGCGTGGTTGAGTCGAGTGACGAGTCAGTCCTCAGTCCTCTCGTCGGCTACCGTCAGGTTGGTACCAGGCATCGGCACCACATGTGTGTTGAAATTTTGACGACAAGTTCAGTTGAACCTATTTAAAAAAATACCAGCACCAACGGTACTGTAGTAGCTACGGGGTTTAAGGGGTTTAGAGTACTCTAGTAGGGAGCTTGCTAGCTGATCAATCTAGCTAGAGAGCAATACCACATATGGTTGCCGAAAGCTTGTACATGAACCCAAATATCAAATCGTATGAACAAAGTATCCATTGCTTGACAACAACAAACATGGTCGGCGACAGGACGAACACCAGTAAAAAGAAAGGACACGGTTCAAGTTGGGGGGTTGAGTCCTGCCAGTCTGCTACGCTGCAGGTCGCAGGGTTGGTGGACGCAGGCGCCTCGAGTACGGCAACAGGGGCAGCCACATGAAGAGCTCCCAAAAAGAACAAAAGTGCTCATAAGAAAAAACTGCAAGGCATTGCACCACATTTACAATCAAAGACATCACCATCATCTGCATCATGAACAAGTTCTATTTTAATCCTGTGATCTTCTTTCTCTCTTGCCTAACCATCTCTGCTCTTGCCCAAAACTTTGCCGCTGCTGCAAACGAATCATGCGTGGTATATGACAGAAACAAAACCTACACATTGGCTCCAGGTGAAACGTTCACAACAGCTGAATTTTGCGTGCACGAGTACACTGCGTCAGACGGTGCCATGCCCAGCGAGATTGTTACCATGACCTACGAGTGTGCCGATGGGTGGGCTCAAGAGTACGACAGAAACGTTACCGTTTGTCCTACCAATGAACCAATCTGTTACGATCTGGACCAATACGCCGACCCTGTCAACTATACAGTGAATTGTCTCACCAACGAAACAGACAGCAGCAGTGCAGCAGCTCTGCCTATTGTGTCACCGATGTTGTGGATTGCTGGCGTCATGTTGAGCATGTTAGCAAGATAGTGGTGGCTTCCGTGCATGTAGATAACTCCACTAAATTAGACCCCCTAACAGATAGTGGTGGCTACCAGGCTACCAGGTGGTATGTAGTTTTGAAGCAACAGCTTTTACCGGTGAGTCACATCACCACAGATCACAGGTACTGCATCAGTAGACTAGTTGTACTGTAGGCAGCACTACTAGCTAGCCACCGGTAGCCAGATATTCAAACCGCATCTGTGACACGCCCACAAAATTTTATCACACTCCAAACTCAATAATAAGAAAGCTCTAACTGGGAGTCAGTACTGGAGCTTTCTTAGCCAACTGCTCTATTTTGTACTCATATTATTTCTAAGAAAACAAGCCAATTTCAGTATAGATGACTTTCTTACTAAGCTTCTAGATCAAACAGGTTAGTGTTTGGATACACCCAGTGCACCTGGCCCTTTGGGTCCAACTTGCTCAGAACCCTTAATTGGTTTGGATCAAGCATTAATGGTGGTCGCTGTGTCTGCCGTCAGGCAGAAAATTTTGCAGATTTGGGCACATGCTAGGAGAATTTCATGGTGTCAAACTAGTACTATTTCTTGTGCTTTGAGGTATCAATACTGGGAGATTTTCTTACAAGTTTGTGAAATTTCAGTATAGAAAGATTCTTATCTTTTTCTAAAATCTGAGTACTCGCTTTCTTATTTGGAGCTTCTTACCTTCAGGTTTGGGGTGTATGTAATAGAGCGTGCGTTTGTGGTTTGTACTGCCTGGTTCTCAAGATAGCTACCAGGTACAGTCGTACTGTACTTACTTTTGTGTGTTTGTGTCGAGTCTTCCTCGACTCCCAGCCACCGCCTCAGCCGTCCGCACTCCGGATGACATGGGCAGTTCACTAGGACTATTTAGGGACGACTAAATACACCTGTGTGTGCAGTGTCGAAACGATAGTGCTAGAGTTTGGGAACGGTGCTATCTAGTGCACCAATCCAAAACCGTTGGGATCCAAAACTGTTGGAAGGTGCAATCTGGTGCACCTAGCCAAAACCGTTGGAAACCGACATTGAACTGAGTAGCCCCTTAAAAAGAAAAGGACGCCATTGTCCTCTTCGATTGGTGGCTACATGCAAT